AAAAAGTGCTGTTGTTATAAATCGGAGCAAAATTGCTGGTACAAAAGTTGTTCACAGAAAACAAATAAACGTTGTAAAACCAATACATTACTCGTTCCACTCAGAATCTAAAACAATTGCATTCAAATATATTGTTTTGTTATAATTTATAAATTAAATGACGAAAATAGCGTATGAAAATTGAAACATTGCATAGCTTCTCGCCGTTAGTTGGTCGTGGAAATCTACCGAAGTTATTAATCGCAGTGTCACACGAAAGTGTCAAAAGTACGGACAAAGTATTCGTTGTAGTCTTAGGAACGACGATCAGCTGAGAATTCCGTTTTAGAATTATTTAGCATTTCGCAATTATATTTTGCGCCGTTTCGTTTATCAGTACGTCAGCGAAAACAATATCACAACCTAGTTCACAGAATTACACGAACAATTTAGGGGCGCCCCCGGGTAAACGCTGTCTTTTCAGCGGCCTTTTACGTCCGCACAATAATTTAATGTAAATAAAATATAGGAAAACGATTACGGAAATCATCTTCATTATAACGCTTGCAATAAACCGGGTACACGCGGATTCGGTAAAAAAATATTGCTACAGAATCAGAATATTTTGGCATCTATTGTGTAGTTGAATCGGGTTCGGTTGACTTGAACGGACGTCGAACGATTTAATCGATGATGGACGGTTGTCTTCGGTCGCTTTCTAATAGAACGATACACGACACGTACGTATATTTTGATTAATAGTAACTAACAGAAATCGTTCACAAAAATCCCCACTTATATTCCATCGAAAATAATTATTTAATCGCTTTATATTATAGTTGCAATTATGATATTAATATAAATCATACTATTCGTTCAGAAATTCCTGGTCACGTGTTTTGAAATTCCGTAAGTTTTTCTATTTTTTCAAACCTTGAACTTTTAATGCGTATAATAAATCTACTACAATTATACTTAGCATTTATAATGAATGATGCCAATCTTGAAATTTAGAACTAGATTTCTGGTAGAAAAACAAAATCAAAAATAATGAAACTTTTATTTTCGTAAATTTGTCTACTTCTCCTATACATTTAGCCCGGTTTAATGCAATTATTAAGAAAATTACTTGAAAAAAAAAAAATGATCTCCACAGTGCACAAACTAAATCCAAAATACTACAGAAAGGACTCACATTATTTTTTATTGGAACCAAATTTCTCATAAAACAATTATTAATAAATAGAAAAAAAAAAGACGGACATACTTCGCACACGGGTGCAGCCACTATTGTAGGTGGGAAGTTGGGAAGGTAGGATACAGACAGGAATTTAATGTACATCTGTAATCAATGGTAAACCATTGCTAACGAAGAAACGATTCTGAGTGGAGTTCAATTGATAGTGTTGCTATGTCAACAATATATTTAAAATGATAAAAACAATGTGCGTTTCCATGACAACGATTGTTTAAAAAAACATTTAAAATAACAAAAACTTAATAATAACAAAAAATAAATATAAACGGTTTCTAATGACAACTTTATTTTAATCATTCAATTTTTTTTAACCTAAAGAACCCGGTTTTACTTGTTATCTCGAATATTAATGAGAATTTCAAAAATCACATGTATAAAGTACCACCTAATGCACATTTCCAATCAGAAAAGACGCTATACTTGATAATCGGAGTAAACTTTATGATAGAAATAGTGTTCACGTAAAAGAAAAACATACATTGTAAAACCAATACATTCCTCGCTCCGCTCATAATCTAAAATTTAAAAATAACACACATCATAGTAAAAGAAATACATGTTTTGTTCAGGTGAAAATCTAAAATGGTATGATTGCTCTAGCAGTGTCTTGGTGAGAGTATACTGCGGCATACAACAATTTTAAATTACTATGTTTTTGAACCTGATGGATACGACAGTTTTATCCGGTTACTGTGAGTGTTTGTATCGAGATGAACGGAATAGAAGCTACTAATGAAAAATGAATTGACAAGAAAATTAATAGATTTGCTTACAATGTAAACGAAATTGGTAATGACTAATGATTAATTATTACCTTTCATCGCGTGTGCTTTCTGCGCTCATTTGGAAACGTTTGCTTCGCAACAATTTAAGTTCTACACATTCTAACGTAAACTGTTCCTATAGTGATTCGCATATAATACACATAAACACAGTAAATAACAGAATTATTTTACTCACAGCCAGACACGATGCGCAGACTGGCCAGTCGGTGACCAAACCTAGAAATTGCTTAAAAGTAACGAACAAATACAATTTATTATAATAGAAATTAACGATATTCGATTGAAAATCATAACTGACGGACAGTAACTGATCATGGGTTTTTTTTTAGAAAGCTACAACGGAAATATGTAAAACAATTTTGAGCCGATAACCGATAACTGCGCATTGGCTATTAGCGCCACCCAACGGAAACGGTTTAAACCAGAGCGATTATGTAGTGTTAACACAAACTTTTGGTCTTTATGAAAACGTGTGTGCGTACGGACGAAAATGCACTACACAGTGTACGTCTAAAGACGGGCCGGTGTATGGTATTTGCGTACTGTTACACAATTGCGCATACGAAATGTACTAAAATATGATGGAAACTAAACAAATAAAGTTGTTTTGGTTTTACGGTTTTCACCGTGAATACGCTAACATTCGTTGCGTGATCGACCCAACTGATTTTTAATATCCTGCGGTACATCCACATCTCAAACGCCTAGACGCGTTTGATCAACGCATTGGATAGAGTGTTTAATATCAATGGTTTTAATTATTTACAATCTCCTCGTCGTCATGATTATTGCCTATTATTAAATTGCTTTTCGGTCGGTCACGCATCGTGTATTCACAGTCCGTTTCTGTTTTTAAACGAAAACCGCAAAAGAAAAAAAAGGTAAAGAAAAACGAGTAACTGTTTAAACGGACGGACCGTGCTTACAGTGTAAATTATACATTATACATTATAATTATATATGTAACTGGTATACGTTCCTACGCATAATCAGAATCGTTGCTATTACGGCGTGCATAATAATTACGTACTTATGCAATTTAATGATTTTTTTTTTTTCGGCTAGCGAATCGATTAATTTGGCCGGACGTTGCCGCCGGATATTTATGTTTACATCCATCAGTCGGACCCGTTAATTTTCCGATCGAATAATTTTCACGCGGATACACGTATAAAATAAGACGTGCAATGAGAACTTAGCCGGCCGGTACCCGCGGAGTTCGCAAATATTATAATCCGTGTCATTTGATCCGATTGGTCAAGGTGTCCGACGGGCATACAGAATATGTTTTGCTTACAATCAGTTTGAATCCCGTGTGAAGGATTCAAACGCTATACGCTCTGATTGAATTATATCACCCGGTCTCGCGGTAATACATTTATAGCGGATATTAACAAACGGAAATAATCGAACAACATAGCATGTATCGTAAAACGGGTCCCTATCGTAGGTGCCTATAATCGAATTCGGTTATTTTCTCTCGTGTAAATTTGATCCTATACGGATTTAGGTACACACATACGTAATAATATTATCATAGCGTATAATCGTGTAAATCAATTTGCTTATTGTTGTGTTGACCGTTTCAATATTCGAAAAACCCATTGTCCAGTTTTTATAACAGTAAAACGAAAGCAAATAGACGGCGATCGTTTGTTTGAAAATAATAAAAAAAAATTATTTTAAAAACCTTGTTGTCCGCGCACTTGCGACGGATACGAATTTGATACTTTGACCGATTTGACTACACATACCTGCGGTCTAAACCTTAGGCGCAATTTTAGAGAGTGCAAACTACCAGGGGACGGCCCGACCCCTGGATTTTATTTCAGCGCCCCCGAATGGATAGTAGTTTCATTTATTTTACATTCAATACTATTCGTTGTCTAGTCACCAAACCGTGCGTTGAAATCCGTTTAAAATACGTATTCGTTCAAAGTTAATTTTATTATTCATATTGACTGACCCACCGGGTTTCATTAAATGAATTGAATATCGTATTATAATGCATATGGATACTTTTTCAATAATCTCAGAAGAACATCACAGTTTAATTTGCCGTTGTTGCCTTTTAAATGTACACTAATATTTTAAGGAGAAAAGATCCGTTTGTATGTTGGTTTGTGGTTATAGCCACAAACAAAAATGTTTGTTCCGGCTGCGAGATTCTGTGTATGTAATAACCAAATATTTTTTTCTTTGTAAACCATTCGTGATGTTTATGGAATTCTTTCAACGGTGAATGGCACACAATATTGCATTTTGTATGATTGATAGGCAGTCTGAAACAAAAATAAGAATGTTTTAAACAGATTTCAATTTATATTCCGCACTGATAACAACGTAATGATTATTTTCCATTTAACGGTAACATTATTTACAAGTCAGTTTTCTCGCTATTTGAACAGATGCAATTATATTCTGATACATTATCGATGACAGTAAATTAACAGGTGTGCATTCTTAATCAATAAACAATCATTTGTTATTTATTTTTCAACAGAAAAAATTATGCATGCTTTTTGAAAATAGATAAATTGCGTCGTTCATTACATCAACAACAATGAAACATTAAACATGTACACATGTGCCACGATGTGACAAATGGTAATAGCATTTTATTTCACATCAGTAAATAAAAATCAATATATAAAAAAAATCAACGGCGTATACTCCTTAAATTAAAACTAGTTTGTTCAATTGACGCATACATATTTTTTCAACTGTTCGTAAATTACCATGCGATTATTTAAATAAGCCAATAGTGCAAACACCTACATTATAAATTACTATTTACGTTTCGAGCACGGGGTATATTAATCCGAAATCTGCGTAAAAACGTGAAAACGTGTTGTTTCTAAGAAGAAAAAAAACCATCGCAGCAAACAACCGTCTCCTAAAGCGTACCGATCGAAAATATCTACGTGTATGACGCAATAGGATAAAATCATCCAGACGTTCAAGTCAATCGAAGCTGACTACACTACAAGCCAGGCGGCCAATAGACATTTATTCGGTAACAATATTTTTCGAGTTCCTAAACAAAAATTATAATGAAGTTGATTACGATAATCGTTTTCATATTTTGTGTTTATGTTCAATTACCTTCTGGAGGCAGGTGTGATTCAGGAGTTAGATTGAATTGTGCTCCTTTTGGTAAAACCGTTACTTGTTCACCGCCGTATATTAATCTTTGCTTTGAAGACCATTCTACTTGTTGTTGTGAATAATAACTCCTGCTAAAATTCCCCAGCACATAAATAAATAATATTATTTTATCAATACGCATGTAATCATTAACGAATGTTCTAAAATAGTCCTCTATTTCACTAAGTTTACTAGTTAAATTCTGTAAATTTGTCATTGTTTCAAATTATGATATTGTAAAAATTGGACATTCACAATTTTCGCGAACCTTATAATTTCAAAATAATTAAATCGTGTGAATTCACAAAAAATACGAATCCGAATTCCAGCAGAATCATAATTATTAATTGTCAACAATTACCTACAGTTTTAGAGATTTGGATTAAGTGGAATGTCTACGTGAACGTTTTAGAATTTTTAATAAATTTATAATATTCAAAAGAACTTAATTATATTATGGTTAGTTAAAAAATCGTCACATGCAACAGAAATGTACTCAATGAAACTTATTATAATCACCGTACCTAACATCGTGTATAACATTTTACTCATCAATATATTTACTAAGCATCTGCCTGCTAACTGTTGTTTATTAACTTTTTGTGAAATATTTACTTTCCTTATTTATCCGACTCCTATATACCAGGCATTAATCCTATTGACATTTTTTTTTTTTTTTTATTTATTAAAAACTTCGCTATTGCTCCATGAAAAAAATATGAATAATTGCATTCGGAATATCACGAATTTCCCGAATATTTCTCATAATTTACTTCCAACTATATTAGTGTTGCATATCTACATTTATAACTACGGTGTATAATATACCGTAATATATATGTTAACTAGTAACACCTACACTTTATGTCTGGGGTACGTCAGAATATAATTTGTGTATTCAAATCGTATCAAAATAAACGAAATACGACAATTTTGCGAAATGTTAATGTAATAATGTGAAATATAACACGACGTCATATAGCTATTTGCGGTAATTGTCACCTAGTAATTTATTATTGTTAATAGCACCGTACACGTTCCAATATCAAAACACGTTGAAATAAACAGTAATTTGCATTATTAAGTTGTCACATTTAAAAAATTAACAATAAAAATAATTAATAATGCCCACGCTACGACAAACGGCGAAAACCATATGTAAACAAACCATGAATATAAATCAAAATCATTAGGCATATATATATTTAAAGCGTATTATAATTTTATTGTTCAGCGCTGTACATAATAATACCAAGTCTAAATCTGCCTTTAATCAATATTGCACTCGTGCACTCATTTACCTAGTAATATAAAACGTATCGTTCCAAAAACTCATCGATGCAAACGACCATCGTCCAGGGCTTGGCTTGCGCTAAAGAATTCTCGGGACAATCCATATTTCAATGCGTGCCGGCTGAAAAAATTTTGTAAGAAAAAAACATTATAGCTCATGCTAGTAGGTGCTAGTTTTGATTCTATAGTATAATTAAATTATATAGTTCTACTTATATAAGCATCCTAAACAAACGCAAGCCTAAATTGATAGCTATGGATACGCTGATACTAGAATACATACTCAAAGCCGGTAGTGCATTATTGTTTAATGTCGTTTAAATGTGATAAATAACATTATAGGCTTTGGTAATGCTCAAAATATCAAATTATATCCTTGCCATTATGTGACGATCATCTTCGAACATCCGGGGAGGGGACACTATATTTTTTCAATAATATTTACCTTCCTGTTTAATTCCCATTAACTGAAATTTATAAGTTTACGTGACATAATATTTATGACCGTATATTCCTGTTTCAAGATTTTCTGCAATAGTATTTATCATAACTATATAATTATTTATGAAATAACAAAGAGTAGGTAGGTAGTTTACTTTCTAATAAACTGAAAAATATATAATATTATCAATATTGCATTTTATTGTTTAATTAATCAAATGAGTTACATTAAAGTTTAGATAAGTTTGAATAAAACGAGACTGCAAATTACGTTTATTTTTTGAAAATTGATCAACATTTTGAATTGAATTTAAATCATAAATTTTCAATGATGGCACATTTTCTAAAATAAAATCTAACTGCAGAGATACTCTATGAAGGTAATTTTTTGATTTCTCAAGAAGTTTTCCCGATAAATGGCAAAACCCGGGACAAATGTAGGAAAAACGAGAAAATAGGTACTATTTAAACAATTATTATCAAAGAAGTTATATAATGCATATGTAATTATTTTACCAAAATATAACATAAATATTGTTGACAAAGCAACAAACACTATCAACCGAACTCCGCTCAGAATCGTTTTTTCGCTAGAAATAGTTCATTGTTACTTACAAATTTACATAAAATTACTTATAACAGTGACTGCACCCGTCCCCATTATGCTAGGAGTGTTATTTTGATATTACATTCAATAGTAGACACTTTAAGTTTCAATCATTGTCCGTAATTTTAAATTTGGATGCAAGATCAATTACCTTAGAGGTAAGGGCAGATAATTTTTCAGATTGAGGATTAATCATAGTAACCATCCTATTCTGAGATGTTTTAATTTCATTCCAAAATTTCATCAAACTATCAATTTTAGGTTCTATTTTAAACAATAAATTGTTCAATTAATTTTTACATGAAACATAACTCCTTACAATTGAAGTAATACTAATAAAACAGACCGACGTAGATTATGTAGTTGACATTAATCACTTCAGTACCACTTGTTTAAATTTCCGGGAATTAAGTTACGCTAGATAGACAATTGGCTGATTAAGTTTTGATGTTAAGAAAATGAAAAAATATTGATATTTTTAAGTACCCATTGATTGTACTAGAAGAGCTACAAAAACTTACACCGATAAATGCTTTAATATTTCGTAAGTTTTCTCGTTTTCCTCCGGTTTCCTCAGTTTTTTCTATATTTATTGGGAAAGTTCCTGAGGAAATAAAAAATGATCTCTCTATTGTACCACTCTAGTCAAATTTTTCTTTTAGAAAAATCGCTATCATTGTAAATTAGAGTAAAAATACTGGTAGAAAAGTTGTCCACAGAAAAAAAATAAATAAATATTGTTGCATAACCAATACAAACTTCATTTCACTCAAAATCTAAATCAAAATTTAAAATAATAAAATCATTATTTTCGTATATTTTCCCGTTCTTTCTATATTTTTAATATGGGTTTGCTCAGTTATTAAAAAACTACTTTCTTACTCACCAACTAAATTAAAAATGTAATAAGAAAAGTCTTTTGTCATTTTTTTTTATTGAAGCAATATTTCTGGTAAAATACATAACTCATAAAAATTTAACAATTTAAGATTTGAAATTGTAGCATCGTAAATGTAAGTTTTCATTTTACGTTGTTCAAAATTATTATAAAAAAAAAAACTACTTAGAAAATCAAAAATCAACTATCTTCTTGATTACAGAAGATTCTCAAGAGAGAACATCGGTTACAAAAATATATAATCATGAAACCGTTACGATATAATTATGTGTTCGTTTATCTCTACGTTTTTCCGGTATTTCTCAATTAGTATAAAAATCTATTGGGAAATCAAAAAATGTCCGAAACTCACCATTGGTTTTTCATTCAAAATTGAGGAAAAAACAATGAAAGGACAAATGACATTTAACAATGTATATTAACCATTTATACGGATTGTTCAATTCCTGTGTACAGGATTACTAGCAATTGTCAGTTTAATATAATAGGTTTATAATAGAACACATTTAATAAAAACGTATAAACTAAATCTAAATTTAATCTAGAAAGATTTGATTTTCAGGAACACGGTTGAGAAATTGTTGACCAATGCTTGTAAATAGAGCGCCAAAAACTTCTTCGATGGCGGGCTGAAGTTCACTTAAAACTTCACGCCAATTTTCGTTTAGGAATACATTCATGTGATCTCCTGCAATTTTTAATAAATGATGAACAATCACACAAAAAACGTAAAAAAATGGCTTTCCCATTCATAAATAAATAATATTGGGTTTTATCCAGATAAATGTACGTAGATAAATTATCTAAATAGGTAAATTTTACCTCCTATTTTATTTAGATAAATACGAAATAAGACATCTGAGTTATCTCAGATAAATAGTTAAACGATCTTGATACATTTTTTTAAATCGTTATTTATGCAGAGTGGTCAACTTAACGTAATACTCTTATCTTATTACTGATTATCTCGTAAAATATTTGATTTTTTCGAAATTTGCTATTTAGGACTTCTCACATTTAAAAAATAAACATATCTAAAATGTTGCTAAATTTTTTCTTTTTTACCCTTATTTAAGAGGTGAAACTACTGCCTACTTTTGGTTTTCAAATTGCAACCTATGTTTAAAAACTCTTTAAATTGACAAAATATTGATTTAAATCAATTTTTGCGTTTTGATATTTAGCGTTGACAAGATATTCTACTTCCAACGGAGAGAGATTTACTACTCTCCTAAAGGAAAAAGCCGTGGAATCAAAATAATTATAATTACGGCGCTTTTATTTATAAAAAAAATGTGTCTAACTAGTAGATTGTAATCTATAGGAGAGTATTATCTATTCTCCCTCCCCCCGCTGGAACTTAGAAAATGGTAGTTTTACATTAAAAATGCATACAAATTAATTTTACTCAAAATGATACGAAGGAAATGTACGGCAATCATCCTAAGAAGGATAATGAAGTGCTGCATAATTTATATGGCTGTACAGAACGCGACGTTTTAATATTTTTCCACCATTCTCCCCTACTTAAACTTAAAAATATAATATCTCGTCAATGGGAAGACGGAAATCAACATTTCAAACTAATACTTCATCCGTGTAGGTATAGAAATTTAAGCGTAGATTACCACTTAAAAATCAACAGTCGGTATTGGTTTCACCCTTTAAAATAAGAGCAACAATAAAATGACTACAATGTAAAATTGTAAACATATTTATTTTTTAATAATCCAAAAAACAAATTCTGAATAAAGTTAATATTTTCCGAGATAATGTGTGTCTGATGTTATGTTCATTACTTTAAACACCTATTTCTTATATTTAATAGGTAAAGAATTTAATTTATATTAATATGGGTTAACAAATTAATTATTAAGTTGTATCAATCACACAACCTTTCTGAAATCTATACATTTGTACCAAATCTAGTACATCTATATTACTTTAAGCACTTAGTTTTATGACGAAATATGATCAAATGTTTTATGTATTTTTTAATCCACGTAAAAAGTTTCTGATTATATTTTATCTATTGTTATTAATTAGGTATTTTTGCGAGTTAACATATTGGATACTGATACTGTAATGACGTTTAAGTACGCGGGTAATCAACAAACGCACAAGGCCAACAATAATATATTATAATAGTAAATAGATCAAAAATATCATGCGTTATTTTAAAAAATTTTAAAATTTTAACGTTTCCTAATCGTTTTCATAAAACATAGGTAACAACTAAGGTCGGAAGAATAGATAAATGTCGACGACCTCGATTTTAATGAATGATAACAAATAAAACGCGTCACTTTTCACTGAACAAATTAACGAAAATATGAATTTTGAACCTTCACGCGAAGTTCCTTGGCTATTTGTGAGTCCCAGTATTCTTTATCGAAATTAAATTAAATGAATATCTTTCAAATTAGCCATCAAAATCCGATAAACACAGAGCAGATGACATTGCGGAATATATTACTATATGTGATTGTTTATACATAAAAATATCATATTTGCAACATTTAGTAATTTTAATGTTTTAATAGAATGTTTTTAAATCAAATAAATAAACGAATACGTTTTCACATTTCGCAGCATTGGAATACGTGCCTAATTACAAACCAGAGCTTTCATTTGAAAAAAAACGAATCGTGTTTTTTTTCATATAAAATGTTTTCAGACTTTTACATTTTACGTTATTTTAACAATAACAATAAAAAAACTTTTACGTTTTACATATTGAGTTATTAAAATTATAATTTATATTTATTATACACAGTGCTCTACTTGGGGAGGATGGGTGACACAAGGCTATTATTTGTTTTATATACGGAACAGTACATATTTGTATTTTTTTTTTTTTTTTTATCAAATTGAATTTTCATTCAAACTTAAACTTTACACACATATAAAAAAATTATTATTCGACTTTCTAATCAATAACACAACCGAACAAATTACGAAACTGAAATTGATTGGATCCGAAATCTTTGCACAATTAAATTAGGTACGTTCAATTCCCGAATTCAAACGTAGCGGAAGAAAATTATAATTTTTTTACTTCAGTCAGTCCGTTTAATCCGTTCTGTACACAGTCTATGTACGTGTAAATTATTAATCATAAGAAACTTATTTAATACGTACCCAAAGCTTTGTTCCCGTTAAACAAATTATCCAGTTGAACGTGAAAGTTTATTGGGATAAACGTCCACGTTAAATTTGCTACTTCCAAATACATTTGTTCCTTTCTGAACACTGGCTTCATTTCGACATTACCGGTGAACTTCAAAACGTCTGAAAAACACATTATCGCACCATAGTTAGTTTACTTGGGTTCAATGTGAACATTTTCCATACTTACCTATGATAAATTTGCACCTTCCCTTTCCAACAATTGGAAGGATGAGAACTTTTCCGTTCACTTCATAATCTCCCTCCATTAATAGAGAATTCGGTACGTGCGTCTCTACGTTAAGGCGATAACTTTTTGGATCGTAACTGTTGTAGTACAAAACATATAAACAGTCAATAATATTGTGTATTTCGATTAAAAAAAATTGTTATTTTTAACAGACAACACACTTACTGTGCACTATCTATAATCGTGTATTTCATGTTGGACACGATCAAGTCCGTAAAGTTCATGTTAACGCTGACCGGTCCAATTCCTTGTTCTATATTTAATGAGGCAATTCGATATGGATCCGATGTGATTAAACCTAAACTCGGGACGCCTATAAATAATTAAAATATTTTACGTATATGTATATTAGCTGATGTCTAGGGTTTATAGTGTTATATGTTACATACGTTACAGCCGTAGCGTTTGAATAACACTGTTTCATGATATAACTATAGTTTTACAAGTTACTTTATTTAATCTCTAGTTACAACGTGACATATAATACAGGGTGTCACACGAATGTACGAGTGTACCCATTGCAATATCTCTTGAAATAATAATGATAAACAAATTCTATTTTAGTTTTTTACTATTATTTCCCACAGGGATAAGGACTGAACATATTTATATATAAATTAAATTTGTTATGAATTGGTGAAAAAAATTTTAAAAAAACTTTTTTATTTTATTATTTTTGAAGTCAATTTTTAGAATTTATTTTTTTTAAAATATTGACATTTCAACTTTCTATCTTTATTAAATTCGTTAATTTTTTATAAGTTTTTAAAGATCAGAGAAAAAATATTTGTTTTAATTTGTTTTTAATTTCATCCGTGTTACCAAGGTAATCCACAATTTAACAAAAATAATTTAATTTTCGTACCAAAAATACTTAAAATCCTTTCAACCCGACAAAAAGTAGAGTATGTTTTTCTCCGAGGTCTAGCCTATCTCTATACCGGAAATCATTAAAATTCTTAATTCAAATAGTATCAAGTTACTTTAGAAACCGATTCAACACTTTAACTTAAATATATAAACTGACATTAGGGTACATAGATATATGTTATAACATAATCATTCTTACCTTTTATCAACTGAGGAACAGAACTTTGCAGTGCATTTTTGATACATTCGTCAAATTTTGGATCACTTTTCTTGCATTGTATGAAACCTTTGGCTGTATTAATGAAATATAGTACGTTACTAGATATGTCAATTCAAATTACTTATTTACTAATTCATAGTATTATAATAATTCAAAAACAAAATTGAATTCAATTTTATGTAATATTACGTATAAGATTGTCATTGAGTTCAAAAAATAACAATTTTTTATCTTTTATCAATCGTGATATATCTCTTGGATCATTATGAATTAACGGACATAGTTACATACGGCCATATGAGATTAAGCTTGATAAAAGTAATTATTTCCGTAAAATTTTAATTTACAAAAATGGAAAAGAACAAATTATTTATTTAATTTATTTTTACTAATTTTGGGATCAAAAAAAAAAAAAAAATGGTCTTAAATTTGTTCCGTGACGCATGTTTTCGTATTTCGTTTTGTGTTATATTTTCTTTTTGTAGTGTATTTTTTTTTCGGATATTGTTTTCCGTTTTATGACGTTTCGAAATCGGTTTTTATATCGTAAAACGTTATATTCGTAACGTTGTTATTATGTTTACAAGCCCAGAAAATAGTTCGTGTTCAACGATTTTCAATCGGGACATGTTTAACCATTTATTGCATGCCGTTATGAGATATTATCAGATAATATAATATGTGTTAAATGGATCGAACTCACGTAGCTTAATTGAAGCTGCACTGGCGATTGCAAAGACCGCGTACACCAGACCACTCACGATTTTCATAATTCGTACGATTTATTTCGGCCTGGCAAACAAGTCCGCGATAACTCCACATCGACCGTCTTCGGTTATGAAAAGCATACAACTACACACTATACGTAGAGCATTTATCTAGACGCACCGGATGGTTTCAAAAAAACAATAGACAGACAAACACACGTCGATATTCGACCGGTTTTCAAAAATATAAAATTATATTATTATATTCGCCTACCTATATTATAGATTGTTCCTATAAGGTCGACTTCGCCGAGGCCACTTTTACCAGCGCAGCATTCGCATAAAAATCTCTACTAAATTGAATAAAATCAGACTTGTAAAAGATATTACCTATTTAAAAGTATATTCTTATTATACATATTATTTTTGAATTAATTCAAAATGCATATTTGAATACGAATAGTGATAGTTTTGAGAAATATTTATAATTACTTAAAAAGTCCTTTTTTTATTTACCTACTATCCCACACTGCCATACGTGAAGTTGATTATATATATATATATATATATATATATATATATATATTGGTTTTTATAAACACAAATTAAACTGTTAAATCCGTTTAATTTTCAACTCTATGTTTAAAATGCGGATTCGAATATTGAAAAAGCATTAGACTATTAATTGTATCTGAATACTTTTATACAAAACTATGAATAAACACGTTTTCGTTAGAATACATACAAATATGAGAACATGACTGCTCACAGGTGTGATTTCGACTTTGAAAACGATATGGTATAAATTAAGAAATCGTAACCAAAGATGCAATGGCCTTTAAAATAAACTATAGAATATTCGTTTGGATACAAATGTTGGTTACATTTATACGAATATTTTATACATTAATAATTGAGTTGATTCTGGTTAGCCAAATTCCTCTCATTTCAGAAACTGATAAGATACATTATACAAACTGTGGCAATTTATTTCATAGATGTATAATATAAATTACATTAACCACGTCGTGTTAGTGGTTTCAGCCTAAAAAATGACGATAATATAATATTATTAAGTTTCTTGTTTTATATAATTCCGAAAAAATAAAAAATACTTTCCGAGATAATGAGTGCATTGCCTTTTGTTGTTGTTCACTCTGTATAATGGGTTCCGATAGGTCTTCTATAACAGAATGAAAACAAGGGCTACGCCATGCCGTCGACGAAAAAAAAATACATTCCGAGATAATGAGTGTCTTGCCTATTGTTGTTGATCCCTCTGTATAATTGGTTCCGATAGGTCTTCTATAACAGAATGAAAACAAGGGCTACACCATGCCGTCGACGAAAAAAAAAAACCTAAACTTAGAAGGCCGTCACGTTTTATCGTAGTACAGGTATAATATCCGGTATCCGGTCCGCCTCGAACCACTACCGGTATGTACACCACGCCGTTTTAATAAACTTCTATAAATATTCGATTAAACGTGTTGATAGTGTACATTATTATAACTTTTTGTTTCTGATCGGCNTATAGTTCCCATTGAATATTTATCGCGCTGACTCAATAAAACCCACTTATAATTGATTATATTCTGAAATGAAACGAATTTGGATGACAATAAACAACTCAATAATTATAATGTATAAAATATTCAAGTAAACTTAATAACGTTTGTATCCAAACGAATATTCTATTATTTATTTTAAATATACGCCTAGCACAGATGAAATAATTCTCAAATGAAAATTCGAGAAAACTGTATTATATTTTATGTTGAAAACGTGTGATTTCGTAATGTAGAAAGTTTCAGTGGAATATAGTTCCCATTGAATATTTATCGAGCTGACTCAATAAAAACCACTTGTAATCGATTATATTCTGAAGGGAGATAGTAAACTGCGGCAAAACCAATGGTTGCCTTTCTTAAATCCAAATAAGGTACAAAAATGCTTTCAGAATGTTTTGCAATCTATTTTACTCATTGAAGACGCATGAATTAATAAATTCGTAGAATACATTTTTAAAATTTACATTACAACAGATGCAAGTTTCCCTCCAAATCTCTGTGTTGAATTTGCACCAACAGCAAATCGGACAACCAACAGTTATGAGACATTTCAATCTAAATTAAATAATCTATTGAACATTAGTCATCCAAATAATTATAACTTAATTGATGTTTTTAAAGATATTCAGTCTGAAACATACATAATAATACGAAGTAATGGACAAAGAAAATAGTAAAAAAAAAAAAAATATGTATATTTGAGAAAAAAGATTGAATATAATAATAAATTACTAACCAAATTCGATTACGTCAAAGCCGTTTCATTTAAATTTTTACCTGTTTAAAATATATAATATTCTTTTATAATTTTAATTTTTTTTTTTTTACACAAATGATTGACCAATAATTGAATTATTGACCAACAAATTGCCTATTATAAACCTACTTATTATGTAACCGAATTTAAAATAAAACCAAATATTTGGAAGACTATATGACCATCCTTCTCATGGTGTCTTCTGGGTAATGCTAATGAGCCGAATAATCGGACGCAATTTACCTGGTATGAAATTACAACAGGAACGCAATTCGCCTAGTTTTATTAAAATGGGACGTAATTCACCTAACGCCGCAAATTCAGCCACTGAAGTATACGGGGTAGTTGGTTGGTCACACTTCCACCTTGTGGGACACCAGCTAAAATAAGGGCGATTGATAACAACTCCATGCTTACTCTTATTACACAGAATCGGTTTTTGAGGTAAGATCGGAAGAAGAGAAATTAAGGCACGGGAAGAATTGTTTTAATTTATACAGAAGTCTTGGGAGACAAACCCGATCAAATGCCTGAGCAACATCTAGTAAAACGGTAGAGCAATATTTTTTCATTTCGAGTGAATATAATATTAAGTCAACTAACCGATTGATTTGATAGATTGTTGAATGTCCATTCCTGAATCCAAATTGTGAGTTTGGAATGATTTGATCAATATTAATTAATCGAGATATACGCTCAAGGTTAATTTTTTAAAATTACAATATCAAAATCATTATTGCCTTATTAGCGGCAGAAATGTTACAAGCTTTCCATAAAATATCATATAAATTCAAGTTGCTGTAACTCGGTGAAATTTGAATTTGGAAAGCTGATAAAATGGTACCTACATACAAATTGTTGCGGGTGTCTTTTTCAACTCAGGTTCGGGTAAAAGTCAGAAATCACACACAATATTTTAAAATGATTAAAACATGCATTGCCCATTATTTGTACCAGCTGTAAACTCCTTTAAAATAAATAACAGAATATTCGTTTGGATACAAACGTTAATTAAGTTTATTTTCTACTAGACTATTTAGACTACTAAGACTATTTTCTTTGTCCATTACTTCGTATTTTTATGTATGTTTCAGACTGAATATCTTTAAAAACATCAATTAAGTTATAATTATTTGGATGACTACTAATTTAGATTGAAATGTCTCATAACTGTTGGTTGTCCGATTTGCTGTTGGTGCAAATTCAACCCAGAGATTTGGAGGGAAACTTGCATCTGTTGTAATGTAAATTTTAAAAATGTATTCAACGAATTTATTAATTCATTCGTATTCAATGAGTAATATAGATTGCAAAATATTCTGAAAGCATTTTTGTACCTCATTTGGATTTAAGAAAGGCAACCATTGGTTTTGTCGCAGTTTACTATCTCCCTTCAGAATATAATCGAATACAAGTGGTTTTTATTGAGTCAGCTCGATAAATATTCAATGGGAACTATATTCCACTGAATATTTCTACATTACGAAATCACACGTTTTCAACATAAAATATAATACAGTTTTCTCGAATTATCGTTTGAGAATTATTTCATCTGTACGCCTAGTTTCTGACAAAAGGCCGATCAGAAACAAAAAGTTATAATAATGTACACTATCAACACGTTTTATCGAATATTTATAGAAGTATATTAAAACGGCGTGGTGTACATACCGGTAGTGGTTCAAGGCGGACTGGATACCGGATATTATACCTGTACTACGATAAAACGTGACGGCCTTCTAAGTTTAGGTTTTTTTTTTGTCGACGGCATGGTGTAGCCCTTGTTTTCATTCTGTTATAGAAGACCTATCGGAACCAATTATACAGAGGGATCAACAACAATAGGCAAGACACTCATTATCTCGGAATGTATTTTTTTTTTTATTTTTTTTTCGGAATTGTGTAAAACAACACGCTTTATAATATTATACTCTAATTTTTAATTTTTATTTTCTAACTAATTTTTTAAGGGTAAAACCATTACCACGATCTGATTAATGCGATATTGTGAAACGTAATACGACGTATTAGCCATTTACCATTATTGTAACCTAGTAGTTGATTATCAAAAACAGCACCGTACATGTTCCAACAATAAAATACGGGCGTTGCCCGTGCTAATTGTTTGTTCTTTTTACCTTTATTTCCGGTTTGCTTTGTCCGTATTGGACTAAAACAATAGGCGGAAAGTGGATAGTCCACGGACTAAACGTGTTCTGTATATCGTACATTTTTTCGTTTGTGTTACCATAGATACCATAGCACAGTACAGGGGTTAAACTATGTATCCACTATAATAACTCTAAAATGTTGAGGACATGATAATACTGTAGTGTTTTCACTGTACCGAAAAATACAATGATTCAGAGATGACGTTTTACGTGTTTTCACTTTTCACTTACCCACCCAGTACAGCACATAGTGTCACATTTTAAACATAAAAAAGAATAATAATTCATAATGGCTACACTAGGTATTTAAAACGGCGAAAAACTTATTTCAACAAATTATGGATACAAATTCATAATATTATTAATAAAAAAAAAAAAAATTAATTAATGAATAAACAATAAATTTAATGATCAATGGTTAATATGTCTACTAGACGGTATACCTATAATAATAGTTTTATTAGTTAAAATAATACGCAAACATGTATGAACTCATCGTAAAACGACAAATATTAATTTATAAAAACCAAAAACAGCATTCGTTTTCAGTGATATAAACTGATATTCTGTTGTTTCAGCAAGTTTTTCCAACCAAGAAAATAATCGTTTACATCATTTTCTAAACACCGACGTCAGAAAAGGCCAAAATCGTTCAATATCCTAATCGTCGATCGAAACCGATTGGACTACAAACGTCAAACACATTGGTATCATTATTTTTCGAGTAAAACTAATAAAGATGAAATTAAATTATATGATATTTTCCTTTTTTTATATTTTATTTATTTGTATAAATGAAATGTATGCCGGAAGTGGACCGTCGTGCGGTTCATCCGAATCAAACTGTGGTCCAATAAATGTAGTAACGTCGTGTGGCGGAGGGAAAAAGCCCGTCATTTCTGATTCTTGTGCATGTTGCTACTAAACTAATAAAACAAAAACAAACGGAAAAAAAATAAATGTTTATATATTATAACCTTATTAAACAATATTAATATTATTTCAATGCAAATTACGGAATTCTCTGGCGACTCCATCTCCGACAATCGACAAACACGAACCCATACATTCTTTGACTTGGTGATGAACCCCTTCAGATTTTCAGAAAATTTCCGAATTCTATAGACCACGTTACGTAATATGTATTTATTTTATTTATTTGTAATTTGTAATTTGTAATTTTAATTATTTTACACTTCTGTTGGAAATTATATTGTTCTCAGTTCCGTATTATACATCAAAATAAGTCTTTTTCTTTTTCGATACCTATGATATTTTATTTAAGTACCAAATGGCTCTTTTTTCGCCTTCTTTATAACATTAGATAATAAATTATCTGTTCTTCATAAATAAACACTAACTCTAAAACCGTGTCTACAGTGTATAAACGATGGCTACTATTACCGTAAATAAATACACAAATAAACAAATGAATTGGTCACCTGGAGTATTATTCGACCGGTTTCGAATTAAAAATTCATCGTCAGGTATATCACAGTCAAAATGTAAAAAGGAGCCGGATTTTAAAAACTAAACGAAGGAATACATGGAAAAAAATTATACAAACTGGTTGTTTTACATAGAATTAATTTATTTTAATTTAAATAACACTTATCATGATACTCCAGGCGACGCATTTATTCATTTATTTATTTTTTATTTCTATATGTAAAATTTGTATTTATATATTTATTTACTATATTTATTCTTGTCGTCTAAAAATCGATTCCTAATACTATCCTTAAACAAAATTCCCGAATATGGCGCGAAAAACCGATAAACAGATAAATAATAGAAAACAATTTTAATTATTTATTATGAAGAACAAAAACTGTTTGATGCATTTTTCCATATTTTTTCCAAACAGGTAGTTTAAATGATTATAGTATAACTATTAATGGTAACGTGCAGGGCATAAATCTCTGTACGGTCCAGTTTTTTTAAAGACCGGACCGGACCAGTGAAGTCAAATTAAGACCAAGACTGAACCGGATTAACGAAAAAAGCCATGGGACCAGGCTAGACTGGAGAGTTTATTTTTTTCTTGACTAAATAAGACCGAGACTACACCTAATAGGGACTGATTTATCATCTATGTATTACAATATTAAAAATGAAATATATTTAATAGCTAAATCCATTATCAAAACTATAATGTGATGATAAAATTGTAATAAGTTTTTCTAAATTTAAAATAGGCGATAACAAAAGAACAAATCGCACATTACGAATCGCGTGATAATCTTTCAGTTAATATACAAATAACATGAAAACCCAAAATTATTTTTTATCACTGTGTTCGTGTGTTATCCATCCATTTTCGTCATGTGTATTTGAAATCGCTTCGCCGAATATGATTGCCCCGGGGCCCGGATAATAGTTTATTTTTGTACGTATTAGGTAACATCGTAATTATTTTATTAAGCCGGGTGCGCACTAGAACAACAAATTGTTCCTCAATGTTGTTCAGTTGCCAGTTTCATTGACACAAATTGGAACATTTATAAAGATACGGTCCACATCAGAGCAAGACATTTCGAATAAAAGCTCAATAGAAACGATTCAAAACCTGTTGCTTTGCGTTTCTTGCAACAAAGTATCCACACATACGAAACATTTTAATATAGTCAGTACTAGATTTCAATAAATTTTAAATTAAATACACGATAAAGTAACTTTGAGGTTTTGTCGTTGTAAAGAATTTCTTTGAATTTATTTAGGTTACGATTAAAAATATTTATCAACTATTAATATTCTTAAAATTAATATAATTAATATATTAATAAAAAAAAAAAAAACTGTTAACATAATTTAATATGATAGCACTGAGCACAAAAACTATATACTAGAAACACCTGGCAAAACTCGGCTGGAACATTCTGTCAACATTGATAAGCTTTTATCGCCGTGTTTTGCTTTTAACCAAAACGCGAAATAAATAGAAAATTGTATTACCGGCAACATAAACATGGAGCGACATCCGGAAACATTTGTCAACCTTTGAATTAGCAACGTGTAGCAACTAAAAAAGTTACTATAATACGTTGCTCTGGTGTGAACCCGGCTTTATCGACATTTAAATCGGATCGGGCCTGAAAATAAAATACAAACATCGCCGATGTGCGTGCACGTTGTCGTTTCGTTTCGATTTTGATTTTTGGTCTACGAATGTGGCCGGACACAAATCGGATCTATAAATAAACGGCCTAGCGTCTCGTTATTAGTTCATGGCCGCGACGGAACGCAGCGGTCTCGGCGCGCGATTTCTCGTCCAGCCGGTATTTTTAATTATCGTCCGTCACGCGACACCGCCATACCCGTGAAATAGTAACAGCAACAACAATAATAACAACAATAACGATAACGTTGACGCGCCAGTGGCCGTTCAGGGCGGATACGAAGACCGTTGTCATCGGTCCAATTTCCGCGGCCACCGTAACGATAACACAACGTTACGTCGGTAGCTGATCAACGTGAATTTCGAACCGCGCGCGTTACGATTATTATTGTCGTCGTGCGGCGAGGTCGCGCGAACGTTTGCCGCGACGAACCGGCGCACGAACGCGGCGAGGACGCGAGGCCCTCGGACCCGGGAGCTATTTTCGACCCGGATCGTTTGGCACCGGTCCCGGCGTACTGCGGCGGCGCGACGACGTCGCCGGCGGCACTCTCCGGGAGCGGCGCGCCCGCCGCCGCGGTCCGACGCGCACTCGGCTCGGCCAATCCGTCTGTGGCGGCGCGACCATTGCCAAAGCCCCGTCGGAACGTTACGGGATTATCGCGCGCGCGGAACGAGCNGCGCGAAACGCAACGACGTAAACGGTGTTTCGGTCCGGTAAGTTATCGGCTCTGTAAAACCACGTCTGTCGAACGCATTGCGTCCCGTAACGGTGTCGTATTTTACTATCCGAACGTGTAAATGTCCCGTATACCCGTGTGTACTGCGCTCTGAGCGGAGCGAAAAATGTACCCGTTGGTTTTACAATGATGTTTAATTTTTTTTTCAAGGAAATCTGACTGATGGGGTACTTAAAAGGAGGTCATTATCTGACGTTCCCAAGAGTTTAATAGGTGTTTATAAATAATTTATAATATGGCACACGTCATATCGTTGATAAGCAACATTATCAACTGAACTCCGCTTTTCCAAGTCGTTTTTTTTTCGTTAGCAATGGTTTACCGTTGCTCACAGACATATATCAAATTTCCCCTCTACTACCTTCCCAACTTCTCACCTATCGTAGTGGTTGCGCCCGTCCCCGCCATCCTACACGGCTTTATTAATACATTAATAATTGTATCCGTTTTAAATATTACAGTGACATACTGTTTACAATAATCCAATACCTACGTATTAGCGAAACATATTTATTTTTAGCGAATGGTTTTTAATATTGCAAAACCGATAACCGATTATCGGCTCTGTATAGTTCCGTGCAGTTAGCATTGCGCCTATTCGATAATAACACGGAACGTCGAACGTTATTTCCATCGATATTTGTCGTTTTGGCTACGAAAATAAATGCCATCATTTCAACCGTTTTGCATAGTCGGTTCGGTCAAGTGGCTGTTTTTCTCAGCTAATGACGGTATGCAAGCACAAAATTTATTATCAAAGTCGACTGACCGGTTATTTCTCAACGCTGGGGAACTCTTTGATTATTATAAGTACGCCGAGAAAAATAGAGGTCACGGGACCGACGTTAAAAACGACGTACTGTTTCAATAGTAGCACGAATGATCACGATCAATGTATGATAGTTAATCAATAATATAATACAAAACCAATAGATCTCTTGCTACACTCAGACTCTAATGAACAGAAAAATAATAGTTAGATGATAATTACAATCAAACAAAAAAAAAACAAGCTAGATTACTATGATTAAATATAAAACAAACGTATAATAGATTTACATTTGTAATACAAACAAATAAAACAAATAAACCAATACATCTCCTATTATAGTGAAACGATTAGTTCGTTTTAGTTTAAATCCCAAATGTAACAAAGAAGCTATTAGCTTTACTAAGGTTTATTTTTTTCGTTACAAAACACTTTTTTGGTAAGTAAAAATGCTCAAAATTATTCAAATTATACAAATACGGTTTCTGCTTAATTAACTAACACGACGTCTATACGATTATAACAGTAATCAAATATAATGTGTTACAGGACATGGGAGACATCGGTGAAGTATTGCGCGATGTGTCCGATCTGTCACCCGAAGATTTGAGAAAACAGAACAGAAACCTACAGAAGTTTTTGGTGAAAGTGATCGATTTGTTAAAAGAAAAGACGGATCGGTGCGTCACTCAAGAGAAACACGTCGAGGCACTCACGTTACAAGTAAGTGTAGAAATAATTAATATTGTAACAATTATAATGGCGAGAAAAAAAAACAGATCATTTGTATCGTTCATGTTCTATACCCACGCGTTGTATGTGTATGTGTAACATTGTGTCGATTTTTGTGCCCAGACGAACTCATTGAAAGAGGTGGTGGACATCACCAAGCACATGTTGGCTATCCGGAACACGGAAGTAAAACGTATGACGGAAGATCTAGACAGTCTCCAAGCCAAGATCAACGAAGAGAGGGCCCGGCACAGTGCGATAATCGAAAAGATGAACTTGGCCGCCAAGTGAGTAAAACCGAATTTTCTCGCATTTCTCATAGGAGTAGAGGGGCATGAGATATCCGTGAAATTTAATTAACGGGGGGCTCATATACAAAATAAATAGGTACGATCACTACGATGGTATTTATAGCGGGGATCGTTAAAATAATTTTTATATTTTCTTTAGTCAAATGTCAATAAAGTTCTGATAAAAACGTATATTTTTTGGAGAGGCCCTAATATCACTTTTCGGACGTTTGTGTGACGTTCAAGTAGCTAAAAACGAAATATTGCATATTGATGGATTTACCAGTAACCATTCCGGACGTTTGATTTTCAGATTAAACGATGAGCTCAGATCCGAGTATAAACAACAGTCTGAACGTTTTGAAAACATGCGCGTAAAATACGACGAGAAATGTTCGATCCTAACGGAGGAAAACAAGAGACTACAAGACGCGGCGCCCGGCGAAACGACTCAATGAATAGAGAGTTTGAAAAAAATCCGGTCTTTTGTACGTACATAATACAATGTACTCGTGATGAAAATATTGTTGTTTACGAGTTTCAATATGAAACTACGCCATGTTTTTATCCGAAAAATAAAATTTCAAAATTCATATATCGATATTGTTGACCGATTCAGACATTCAGACATTTTATTAATTTCCAATAACAATATAATATAATAATAAAATATATTTTCAAAATATTTTGAAAGTATCTAAAATAAAATGCGTTTTTTAAATTCTGAGCGCAGTGAGAAATGTATTAGTTTTACTATAATGATGTGTGCGTATTTTTCGTTTGTAAACAATTTTTGTACTAGACATCATATTCCAATCGATAAACGACAAGGGGCTTTTTTAGAACACTCTGAATCTATTTGAAGCATTAATGACGTCATCTTTTTGATTTTCCGTGTAGTTTTCTTAATTGGCCAAACATAAATGCTTCAAATTTAATAAAAGTTTTATTATAAGTTGTACTTGGCGGTCAAAAACAATTGAACCTAATTAAGTAGTTTAATAAAACATTCAAATATTGTCAAAAATCGTAAAAATTACGGCATATCAAAACATGTAATAAAACTTAGCTCAGAATCACATTTCGTCAACGATGATTTATCATTGCGTACAGGTATAAATTAAATAACTCAATGTACCTTAATTTATCTTCTTTACTTTTTTTTTTATATTTATGTTTTGCAAATATACAAAAAAATATAATCGAGTTTAATAGATTTCGTCTCATTCAACAAATCGCATATTTACTAAATAAACGCACCTAGTTCACACCACAAATTATAGAAAATAGCTAAATGCTTTATACTGATAATTATTTTTGTCCTCTATAGTTTGAATTTAATTTAATTACATTATAAAGAAGTAAAATTGTGTAGGTGCAGCCAATTTCTGGAACTACTTAATCGATTATACAAATTATTTCACTAATAGAATGGTACACCATTCCCGAGTAACATAGGCTACTTTTTATCATGAAACCGTATCAACTTTTATCAGCCACTATATACGACTTTTGGTAATATTTGACTGAAAATCTAATTATTTTGTTGTTTTTTTTTTTTTTTTGTTTATGTGTTATTGATCACACGTATGAAAAAAACAACGTTGTTACACACTTACACGTCATAATAATACAGTTGCAGGAAATTGCCTAAAACACATTCATTAATACGTACATTTTCTGACGCTTGCAGTCCGGTGAAATTGCAATTCGCCCTAGCGATAATTAAGGTCCGCGGACTAACATCTTCTTCGGTGTGTATCGAATTGAGTGATTTTCTCATTATACGTTCGCTTAGCTCTGGTGGGATCTCCCGGAAACTCCCAACGTACTTTGTTACCAGCAAACGATAGAACTTTAAACATAGTGTAAATAGCTATGATGTAATGCACCAATAACATTTTCTTAGCCGAACACGTTAATACATAAGTATAAATATCTATTATAGATTTACAATCTAAACATATTATTGAATTGTAATATAATTTATATAAATATTTTTAATCGCCGAGTAACTCCACTCTATAGTGTTTCCTCGTCCCACTTGTTGCTACATTTTATTAATCTTCTGTTGCACCCTGTTCGTGCATGGTGGCAAAATATGATACCACTGAATTGGAACACTTGTATTTTTTTTAAATATTGCACGTAGTGTCATACGATACCACATACTTAAATCTTATTTCAAGTAAAACAAAATTTAAAAAAAATATTTCAATTTTTCACAATATCGTTAGATATTCGGTAATTAAAGTTTAAGTTTACTACATGTGCTATTAGTTTCATTAAAATTGACAACGGGCGTACATTTTGTAAATGCAAATGTAGATAGACTTAAGAATAGTTTATTATTTTAAACATGGATTCCCTAATTAGTTTGAGTATACTCAAATACCCAAATTAAAAAAAATATAAATAATTATATAGTTAACACAAAAGTGTGATACAAGCTGCAAACATCGCAATAGGTAAATTTATTTATTTTTTTTTTTTTTTTTTTTAATTCGTGCAAGTACATATTATAACATATAATNATTATAATAAACGAAACTAAAATCGTCAGGTCTAAATTGTACTCTCCGGCTATATAACCGAATTTATCTAAAACCGCCGTCCCGCTGGCCACACAGTTGTCGGGATCAAAACACGCTACATAATATAAGACAAACACAAAAATAAAAACAAAAACAATAGTAATTTATTTTTAAAATACTGCGGACACAAAATATCCGTATTTTAAAATAATATGTAAACTTACGTATGGATTTTTTATGCTCCCAAAATAGTATCGAAACCACTTCGCAACTGAGGAAAAATATCGAACAGTACCGTAGATAATATAAAAATTTTGGCAAAGACCTGATGGGACAAAATATACGTCATTGTTAAATTTTATAATACAAAAGTATAATCGAAAGCTTAAGTAAAAAATGTATAATATATAAACCGACTTACTTTAACGACACATATGCGCCGCTCAAGGGTAGCGATGCAAATACGGCGGTGTCCACGATTTGATTAAAATATATCGTTATTACGCCTCCTGTATTTAGTATTATTATGTACATAAAAATAAAAAACGACAATTATTTATTTAAAAGATTAAAATTGTTTTTACAAGACGTCGTGTTTTTTTATCGGAGTTAGATCTCTGATAGAAAATTTGTTTGAAAAATATATAAAAAAAAAAAACATAGCCCGTTATATTTCAGCAAAAATAATATAGAACAATTTCGAGTGTTCCAAATTTTATGTAATAGTCGATTTGACCATAACATCCTTATGAGAAAATTGTTTGCATCGTATACCGGGTTATCTATTTAAATGAATACGCTAATTATTTTGAAAAGTATTAAATTTTTTCGGAATTTGTTTTCTAGAACATTTAAAAAACAACCAAATTTTAAATTTATGTTATATTTTGTAAAACTTATTTTTTCGAGTAAAACCACTTCATACATTTGAAAATCAAATGGCAACCTATATAAAAAATTCCATAAATAAGTGGAGTATTGGTTAAAAAAAACTTTAGTGTTGAAATTTTTGATTTTTGTCAGGTCATTGACGAGATATTTCACTTTAAATTATAGATTGAAGGAGAGCAGTGGTGCATTAATAACACGCCGCGTGCCATACCATCACACAAATGATACTCTACTACTCTCCTCCAACCCAACCTTAAAAGTGGAAATCTCGTAAACGGATCGACGAAAATCAAAAATGTCAATACCAAAATTTATTTTAACGAATATTGCATCTATTTATAGACATGTTATTTCAAGTTTCCATTTGAAAATCAAATGTAGGTAGTGGTTTTACCCCCAAAAATGTGGGTGACCAAAACTAACAAATATAAAATTGTAGAGCAGATTGTTTCTTAAATGTCCTTGAAAACAAACCCCCGAAAAATTTAATATTTTTCGAGATGATGAGTGTACCCGTTTAAATGGATCACCTGGTGAATCTAAAATGTACACATTTCCTGTACTTATTGTTATATTTAAGGGTGAAACCACTATCACATTTTGTTTTCCAAATGACAACGTTTACAAAAAATGCCATAAATAGATTAAATGATTAAAAATAAATCAGTTGCGATAAGGTGCAGGAATAAAGAGCTAATACTGCTAACGAATGTGACACCGTTATAGATGGGAAGTTAGAAAGGTAGGATACATGAAGTTATTTAATTTGTGTCTATAAACGAATAAACAAAATGATAAACTATTCCTATTGAAATACGATTTTGAATGAAGTTCATTTGTATATGTTTTGATATGTCGCGATTTTTGTCAAAATTTGATCATAAAACGATTATAAAAAAAAAAAAAATTGAAATAAACTTCCCAGTTTTTTCACGGTTATGATAAATTAATTAAGAAATCTACACGGAAAATCAAAAACATTATCAAGTAGATCCGAAATTCATCAAAAGAGGTATCTTTTCAAAGTTGCTCAAACGCACAAAAAGCGTACACGTAAATAGTGAAACTAATGGATGCCTCTGTACGTTTAGAATCTAACAAACAAAAAGAATACCCTCAGAAAGCATAACCCATATAACGGCGTTCTATACGTACGTAGATACACAACAGTAGTGATATTAGTTTGATTACCGTAAGAAAACCCCGCAACTGATATTACGAAATATACAAATAGTTCCGCGAGACCCCATTCGACACCGACGATGGTGAACGCAGTAATGCAATAAAACAGCAATTTTATAATCAGCCAAAACATCTGCAGTAAAAAAAAAAAATTCATATTCATATATTTATTATTTATACAATAGTGGTTTGATTCGAATTGTAAATAATGTAAGACGTCCAATGCGTACTGCATACCGCAATCAATAATTCGGAAACAAAGTACGCGCTCAACGGATACGTTTTATTGTATACTTCTCGGTGAACAACGGTAAACCTTTCTTCGTAAAACGCGACGGCCAAATAATTGTTGTGAATCACGAGTTCGGTGACGGACACCAACCAAAATCCTTCCCAATTTTGTACCGCTTCTGTATTATCGAACGTGATGTTTGCATACGGTGACGAGATAATAACGCCTAACAACTTAACCAAAACATAAAACAGAATTAAAAAAAAAAAAAAAAAAAAAACACTGCATATATTTTGGGTGTAATAAATACTCGGGTTTTGTTAAGATCGGGTTGTTAAATGTTTGTTTTTCTATCATCAAATGCAAAGTCACGTAGCATGAAATACAATACAAATGAAAATAATAGGTCATAACGTCATTATAACAAATAGGTATATGTTGTAATTATACCATGAGGATTCCTAATTCCAGTAGTTTAGATTGGAAACTTCTAAGGAAACATTTGGTCGATCTGCCAAAAATCAACGTAAATTGTTTTCTCCAAATTGGTTTTTCTCTAAATAAACAAATAACGATAACGATATGTTCATTTTTGTAAAAAAAAAAAAAAAAAAAAGTTCTGAAGAAAAAATGTTTATTCGGATATTAATAATATCCCTAATAATAATATTAGAAAAGTCACTATTAAACATTTTCACGGACCTACAAACTATTTATATACCTATGTTCTATTTTTATTTTTTCAACCTTTTTCCATTAGATATTTTTTCTTCGCATAATTTTACCTTTGGAATATTATCTTTCGGGTATTATTTCCCAATCCATGAAGATATTAGTGACGTTAATTATTCAAAAATAAACAAAATTATATACTTACATGTGCAAATAATGTCTATAGTCCATTCGTTTCTGAAAAATTAATTATAAGTCGTTTTGTATACTGTGCTGGTTATATTTGTACATAAAATATCGCGATGCAATACCGTAGTCAGAAAAAATTTTCAGAAGAGGCTCTTAATTATTTTTACCTAGCATTTTTTAAGCTAGAATACTTATCACCTGTTATTTTATGATTCTTTTATTCCCTTATCACTAATTATGTATACCCCCTTGGTTTTATAACGTAAAATCAAAACAATTTTGTTAGCCTCGTAAGAGAAATTAGAATATATAAATCACTAATCACTAATTGGGAATATGTTCTTAAAATCAAATTTCACAGAAGGCACAACACGCTGTCTTAGTTAGACTGACAAAGAACTAGGCGTAAATATTAATTAATCACGTTGTTATCCTTCTTTTAAAAAATTAATCATCTCGATATTTTCCGAAAATTAACATGTACACACCATTGTACAGTGGTCTGAGAATGAAATTTAGGGCGCAAAAATAGAACATTAAAAATGTTTCTAAAATTAATTTTTTTTTTTTTTTTTCCATATTTTCCATATTTTAAACTGAAATCATAGCTAAGTGAACTAGACAGATTTGGTTTTTTCTGTTATTTTGAAAATAAAAATCCCGATAACTCGTTAATTTTTTTGGCTATTTGAAATTTATAAACCGAAGAAAAATGAAACACCTAATTTTCCTATTGTTTACCACCTAAATTTCATTCTCAGGTCACTATTTATTGGCGGCCGTTTTAAATTGCCCAAGCGCGCATCACAAAATAAAACAGCTTATCTCATACCAAAAATACATCGATGTTTATGATCTGTTTGGGTATTATGAAGATTCTCAAACATATGAATGCTCGATCATTACCGTAGTAAATTGCAGTGGTATATGGTATCAATCGAAAATAACAATTAGCGATAAACGCAATTCGTTTTTTCAACTATCAATTGTATGCTTTTTCGATTAATTTCTCACAGGAATAATCGAAAAGCACTAGGTGTGTGGTATTTCAATACGAAATTGAATTAGAAACGATTGTTGATTACTTGATTATTGAACGTGTCGTAATTGTGATTTAATCGGCACTCGGTAAAAGACAACTTGCACATTTCATCCACGTCCCTCTTGACGGTCTCTTTGTCGGAGTTCAGAATGGAAATCACGTAGTCGGCCTCGTTGAACATGTTCGGATAAACGTAATTGAACCTTACAAGAAAATAATCGGTGGTGGGCACGTCGTAAAACACATCAAAGATTTATAATAAATTTTATTTAACGGTTGTTCAAATATCCACGTTTGTACTTTTGAAACAGTTGATTGACCATGGTCACGGGTCCCTGGTACGCGAGACGCCCTTCCGTGAGCAGGATAACGTCGTCGAACTTTCTGAACACGCCGGACGCGGGCTGGTGGATCGTGCACACGACGATCTTGCCCGTCCGCGCGACGTTCTTCAGGGTGTTGACGATGTGCGCGGCCGAATAACTGTCCAAGCCGGTGGTGATCTCGTCGCAGAACAGTATGGGNCTGAACGGCAAGTGCGACTTTTTTCCGCTCACCGCCCGATAAAAACGATATCCTCGTGTGGGCGAATTTGTCCATGGCCAACGTGGACACAATGTGATCGACGTTCTCGTTCAGAGCGATTTCGGTCGTGTTCCGGTCCATATTCAGTTTAGCCTAGAATCGCGTTGAAAAATGAACGTGTCAAAAATAATTCTAGTTATAAAATGTATACATTAAACGTATTACGTTTCGGTTGGGATAGAAATCGTATTCATTAATTCACCGTTTTTACAATTTGAAAAAATTGTGTGTATCGAACTCAATTAAAAAAGTCTATTTTTTTTTATGAACTTTTCAAAAGGCATTGTATCAATTTCGATAAAATTTATATAGACCAACTCTGAAGTATGACCAACCAAACAAAATCAATTCATAATTGGCAGAATAATCGCGTAACAAACGAACAAAAAAAAAAACAGTCGAATTGACAACCTCCTCCTTTTTTGAAGTTGGTTGAAAAATAGTTACCATCAAAGACAAGTGTTCTAAAGCTGTCAACTGTTCAATACTGAAATCGTGTTGAGGAACGAAACCGGATATTTTCATCATCAATTCTTCGGATACCGGTTGCCCGTTGAGCAATAGTTCGCCGTCAAAATTTCCTACTGAAAAAAAATCGACAAATCAATCGCTGAACATAAAATCTCGTACAGGTATTAAATTTGAAACATTATGTACGGACCTTTCGTTCGTTGACTTATAGTGGACATCAATGTCGTTTTGCCCGAGCCACTGAATGTAAAACAAAACATTTAAAAACTATCAATAGAATGTATGATTGTTAATTGATAATTATTATTACTACCTGGGTCCCATTATTCCTAAAAGGCTTCCACTCTTTGCGTTTCCACTAACTAAAAAAGCGTATAAATATGAATAGTTATAATATTCTCTCAACAATAAAAAAAAAAAAAAAAACAAATAACGTGCACAATATGAATTGATTATTATATTTATTAATTACTTGTTTTTCTTATTTTCATTCACATTCATCCTGCCAATTTTGGATTGGCCAAATTTAGTGATTATACATATTATATTGAATATAATCCGAATTAATAGAAATAACTATTTAATACGAGAAAAATATTTTTTTTTTTTTCTTATCCATTTTAATATGAAAAATATAAACGTGCTATTGCAATTGGCACAAAAATAAAGGAGATGTAACAAAATGCAACCAAGCTTTTTTCCAAAACAAATAAAAACCATGAAATACATCGCTATAATATTCTTCTACGATGCTTGTGTTATTGGGAATGCTAAATTATGAATTTCTGTTGAATTTTTGAGCATTCCGTTTTTCAATCGTACGAAAAGATAAAAAAAAAAATTCCGAAAATTGTGGTGTAAAAAATATTTTAATTTAAATATCCATTATAAGGCATGCTGTTCAATACCGGCTTGAAATCGTACTGACCGTTACACAAAATCTGCTTGTACTCGACCGTGGAAGACGAGAAATACTTCTGGGTGACGGTTTGCACAGAGACGTTGAGTTTTTTCCACGACAGTACCAGACTTTGGTGCACATACTGTTTGTTGGTGAGGTCAGGGCCAAGATCGTCGTCCGTACCTTGCCAGTCGTTCCACATCTCATTGTATCGCAAATCTAACATTTTCGACATTTTCGGAAAATCAATATTATTATACTCGCAATATAATATGCGGTCGATAAACTGTAGTGAGATCATGTGCCTTCGTATTGCACATTAAATGACTGAGATATCACTGAATAGCATATTCAGCTGGACACGTCATTCGACGGGAAACCTGTTCAGAAATATTGCGATAATAAAAAAAAAAAAAAAATGTTTTTTTTTTCTACGATTCAACTGTTGTATCTCAATGGCACGGCACGGACGACGCCGTGCCAATCGTTCCGCATCTCATTATACCGCAAATCTAACATTTTCGAAATTTTCGAAAAATTAATATCGTTATAATATACTATACGATCAGTCAAGTGGAGCTCATCTGCTCTCGAACTGAATATCAAGACTATCGTATTCAACCGAACCCACTACTCTGTGAATGTAGGTTAGGATAGGTTATAGATTAGCACCAAATACATCCAAACGCGTTTATTTGTATTATGTTAATTCGAGAAAACGTACTTGGCACTCAACACTCATGATATTTCGCGAACCACTGTAAGCTATGTACCTGAACAAAAATTACATAACACAGGAATACAAACAGGTTCGTCTAGAATTCTGTGTAATCTTCAACTGAATTGCTTGCCATAAAAATAACGGAAATTGAAACGTTTGAATTGCATGCCACGTTTAAATGTCTATTCAAATTGCGTACCATGTATATTTACTTATTACAACTTAATTTTAGATTCTGAGCGGGGCGAGGAATGTATTGGTTTTACAATGATATTTATTTCATTTTTATTATGTATGAAACGTAGGTGTAATATTTCGGCTCATTTTTTCTTGTGAACAACTTTTCAAATCTAATAATCGATTTTGCTCCAATTTACAATGATAGCACTTTTTCTAAAAAGAAATCTATCTGGAGAGGTACTTTTTTGATTTTCTCAGGAAGTTTTCCAGTGAATGAGAAAACCGGGAAATTTACGAAATGTTTTATGTTTTCAATTTTCGTTTTTTGTTTTATTTTAATTCAATTTTTTTTTAGTCATTTTTCGATTATCCCAAGAGTTTTCCCAGCAAATGTAAAAAAACCCGGATAAAACATGGGGAAAACTGGGAAAACTGAGAAAATCTGTACAACATTAAACAAGTATAAAAATATATAAAGCATATTAAATTATTTTACTATAAAATTACATTTATGTTGAAGACAAAGCATCAGTAACAACTGAACTTGAACTAAACTAAGAACTGAACTAAGAATCGTTTTTTTCGTAAGCATTGGTTTATTGTTGCTTATAGGTATACTTTAAGTTATCTATAACAGTGACTGCACCCGTCCTCATTATCCTAGAACGTCTTTTTATATTCAGAGGTGGAACCACTGCCGCTTTTGTTTTCCAAATGACAACGTTTACGAAAAACTCCACAAAAATTATTGGTGGTTTTTATTTAAATTCATTTTGACTCAAATGTATAATTAAAAAAAAATCATTTGCGATAAGGTGCAAAAAACCCAATACTGCTGACGAATGTGCCAATGTTATGAATGGGAAGTTAAATAGGTAGGATACATACATTTCTTTAATTCATAACTATAAACGAATAAACAAAACGATAAACTATTCCTGACTTAATACTATTTTGAATGAAGTTCAACTGTACATCTTTTTATCATTTGATATTCATGTCTTCTCATATAAATAGTTAGTGTACACAGTATATTATACGTAAATAATCTTAATAGTATTATATTGTGTTATAATATAGATACATTTTGTGATTGTACAGTCGGCCACCAGCCGCGGCACAAGTTTCAAAAGTTTAAATAGTTATAACGTGTGGGTATACTACCCCGCTTAACATTTCCCGTCGTCTATATCTTATATCATGGACAATGAGCCATGGGTTTTCATCGTCATACTAATGTAGTAATCGTGGTTACTAATTTTTCTTTACTTAAATTATCTTGGTCTGCTCGTCGGAGACACCTGTGTATATTAATATTTCAAAACTGTTTTAGATTCTGAGTGTAGCGTAGAATGTATAGGTTTTACAAAGATGTTTATTTTTTCTATTTATTTATTTTTTTTTTTTTTTTTATGTGAACGCTTTTTCTACTAGAAAACTAACTCTGATGTATACGATGTAAACCTTTTTCTGAAAAGAAATATTCTTGGGGTAGTACTTAAAGAAGGTGATTTTCGATTTTCTCAAGAGTTTTCACAACAAACGTAAAAACCGAAAAAAAAAGGAGGAAAACCGGAAAAAACGGGAAAATCGGTACAATATTAAACAAATATTGTTAAAGAAAATATAGTACAATGTCGATTTAATTATTTTACCATAATACAACGTGTATACTGTTGATAAAGCAACACTGTCAACTCAACTCCGCTCGGAATTGTATTTTTTTAGCGATAGTTAGTCGTTGCGTAAAATTCCCTTCTATATCCTACCTGCCCAACTACCCACCTATAACAGCGGCTGCACCCGCGTGCGAAGTACGGCCATATTTGTATTTTACGTTTCAATACTTACAATACGTAATTTAGAGATATTCATAAATGTCGTGACGTCACGCCCAAGTGGGTATCGATGCGCAGCAGGCGGGTATGAAAAAAAAAACTCGGCCAACAGATCCGGTGGACGCGCACGGTGTGACCGGCACACCGCCCGCCTCGTCGCCGGCGCTCGACATTGTTGTCATTATGTTAACCAGCCAGAGTGCGTAGTTTTCTCTGTAAATCGTTGTTCGCGTTCTTCTAGTTTTTGTTTCCGTCGAGCGCCAACGGTGGACATTCCGTTCTTTCCGGTGTCCAGACCAGCCAGGCGCATTCAATCACGGAAATGGATCGCGCACCCCGGACCATTGGAGTAGACGTTGCCGCAACGTCTAGCAGCCTGGCGGCGCGTAAATTGTATGTTTTATTACGCACGGTGACATTTGTTATTTTTACAAAGATATTTGTTAATTTAGCCAAACCTCCCCCCCCCACCCTCCCTCTGCCGACTGGTAATTTGAAGATCTGTGTCCGGTGCGTGCACTTTTGAAAGCGAGAAGAAAAGATTGAAGAAAGTAGGACATGAGATATGATAAACGGTATAACGATTATAATATCGAAAATTTTATGAGAAACAACGCCGTCTATTAACTATCAATAATAGTAGTGTTTATAAAATTCCGGATTACTGTTTTCCGTAATATTACAATATGTACAAACATTTTTCTGGAAATTACAGTCAATGCATTTTAATTTCCGGATTTTTACAGTCCGAAATAAACTAGTCAGAGCGTTTGTTTTTCCGGGCGATTACAATCCGGACATTTAAAGTATTTCGTTTTGTGGATTATTACAGTCCAACGTTTTCTTGTCCATAAATTGAAATTCCGGATTCTATAGTCCGGTGGCGTAATTATGTAAAGGATATGGGGATAAATCCCCTCCGGAGCATATTTTTTCTACAGCAAATAACTATTACTATAATTTATAAGATATACTCTTTTTTTTTTTTTTTTATATATAACCGGCGGTTTCAAGGAAAATACATAGCATTAAAGCTACCATAATATCGCTCTCATTTATCCAACATATTCAATTATATACAAATAAGTAAAATAACATATTATACAATATAATTAAGGTAAAATTTTAAAATAAAAATTAGAGTTAAGTTCATTAATCATTGACCCAATAGTTAACCATCTATTATCACTGACATGTGATCAAATTAATAAAAGCTCCGTGACTTCTATTATCATTTTTAATTTCATGGACGGTCTAACACGTGTGTTCTATGAACTAAACGGTTTCATTTCCGATAGTATATCTGTTATCACAAAATTACAGAAAAGTAAAAAATTGAATTAACTTATTAACTTAACATATTTTTGTCTTCGTATATATTATAAGAATTATACCTACACAAAACAAACACACAAAATGAAAAGACAATCAAAAATCTATTCTTTCTTTCAAAAAAAAGTGAAAGAATCGAATGAAGGTATTCAAGTAAGCCATTTAGATCAACACAGTANCAACGGTTTCATTTCCGATAGTATATCTGTTATCACAAAATTACCACCCGAAAGTATGTTTTCCACACTCAAAAAAGTAAAAACATATCTCAGAAGTTACGTCTTAAATTTTGATTTTACCAATTACCACGATGAAAAAAAAAAAACTTTAATTCAATAACGTCTTATTTAGCCATAGTAAAATAAAAGTGACTTGCAAATGATTTATTGATACCCACGCTCCAATGTTATCACTCCTTGTGATGTCAATGTGTAAAGAAGGTATTTTTTTTTAAATCATAAATTATATAATTATTAAAAAGATAATGTAAAATATTTAATTTATATTAATGTATAGATATTTTAACTAAATACATTATAAAGTTACAATAATAACACATATTCTTTTTGATATCTAGGTATGTAGACACTTTTACAGTCTCGTTATCATCACGTTTCCTAATCCATGCGATAACTATATCCGTATAGTTTTAATCATTGCTTATCTACGCTCCTGCCATCTAAAACCGGATCAAGACTTTATCTCAATATTGTTCGATTGGTCAGTGCATGCATATGATATGCTCGCATGTGAGTTTTTCAAAGTTTTCTTTTAAAACACCCATATTCACAAACAATTGGTCATACTTACTTACACTACATTGTATAATCATAATCAACCTGTTCATCGCACGCTTCGCACTTTTTCTGTATAACTCCGCTCTTTAATTTCTTTTTCTACTTGTTATTACCTTTTAGTAATTTTCTGTTTCAACCACAATGCACATAAACTTTAGTGTAGTTTTAAGTTTAATGTGTCGTTAATTAAATTGAAATCGCCATATTGTAAATTAAATTGTACGCGTAAATGGACCTATTGTTTATTTTATTGTTTAAAACATGTTTAGAAACTCAGAATTTAGCACGCTCGCAGAGTGAACATCCCTGAATTGTTTGCATAATAAATAACAAATTAAAAATGGAAAAATAATTTTATAGTACACACAACAGTATAATGCAAACTATAAACATTAGAATATGTATGTTTTTTTTTTTTTAAATCGTGCAAGTACATATTATAACATATAATTAATATTTATTATTTAATAAGCTGGTTTTTTTTTCATTTTGTTTAAAATTCCGCGAAAACTCAATAAGTTTGCGATTATAATAAACGAAACTAAAATCGTCAGGTCTAAATTGTACTCTCCGGCTATATAACCGAATTTATCTAAAACCGCCGTCCCGCTGGCCACACAGTTGTCGGGATCAAAACACGCTACATAATATAAGACAAACACACAAAAACAATTGTAATTTATTTTTAAAATACTGTGGACACAAAATATCCGTATTTTAAAATAATATGTAAACTTACGTATGGATTTTTTATGCTCCCAAAATAGTATCGAAACCATTTCGCAACCGAGGAAAAATACCGAACAGTACCGTAGATAATATAAAAATTTTGGCAAAGACCTGATGGGACAAAACATACGTCATTGTTAAATTTTATAATACGAGAGTATAATCGACATTTTAGGTAGGAAATGTATAATATATAAATCGACTTACTTTAATGACACATAAGCGCCGCTTAGAGGTAACGCTACAAAATCATCGATCGATGCAAATATGATTGTGTTCTCCAACTGATCAAAAAAAACCGAAGTGAGACTCCCTGTAAACGTATTTAGTATTATTTATTAAAAACATTAACAGAACTGACATACTTCGAATGAATTTATGTCTGTACGAAACGATAAACCATAGCTAACGAAAAGCGACTTGGAGCGAAGTTACTTTTAAATATATACGTACATTTCCCGTGCTTCCTACATTTTCCCCAATTATTAGGAAGAGCACTATGGAAAATCAAAAAATGACTATTATTATAAAACCAATACGTTCCGAATCCGAAAAAAAAATACTAACATCACTGTAAAACCAATACATTCCCTACATTTCCCACTTGGGATTGAGTTAGATTTCTGGTTGAAAACTTATACGAAGCCAGAAAAAAAAACACGTCATATTCAAACCAATACATTCCTCTCTGTGCTCAGAATCTAAAAATGTATCAAGACAAAACTTAGCTTGGTGTATATATTTTCAGTCAATAGAATATTTATTAAGAGTAATTCTATGTTACAGTCGATTTCACAACGAAATCTTCATTCTTTTATAAAATATTCTACCTATATAAAAACATTTTTTAGAATCATATTGTCTAAAACAATGCGTTTCTCCTATTCTTGCACTAGTTTTTGTTGTGTGGCGAAATGTACAATCAGTTTTGTATGGAAAAAGTTTAAATTAAAATATTTAAACAAATGTTGGTAAAACTAATATGGTTCAACATCAATAAATTACTATACGGTGTGCTAAAAAATATCACAAGAAAGCATAATCTATAAAACAATAATCTGTGTACGCAACAGTAGAAATATTAATTTGATTACCGTGAGAAAACCCTGCAACTGCTATTACGAAATATACACATAATTCCGTGAGACCCCATTCGACACCGACGATGGTGAACGCAGTAATGCAATAAAACAGCAATTTTATAATCAGCCAAAACGTCTGCAGTAAAAGAAAAAAATTCATATTCATATATTTATTATTTATACAATAATATTTTAATTAGAATAGTAAATAATGTAAAACGTCCAATGCGTACTGCATACCGCAATCAATAATTCGGAAACAAAGTACANGCTCAACGGATACGTTTTATTGTATACTTCTCGGTGAACAACGGTAAACCTTTCTTCGTAAAACGCGACGGCCAAATAACTGTTGTGAAATATCAGTTCGTTGACGGTTATCAACCAAAATCCTTCCCAATTTTGTACCGCTTCTGTGTCGAACTTGATGTTTGCATACGATGACGAGATAACAACGCTTAACAACTTAACGAAAACATATTAGAATGAACGATATTTTTTTAAAACGTGCTTTTCTTATTCGAAAAGAAAAACGTCGGTGATACTATGAGAAACTAAAAGAAATCCATGGCGCGCACACTCGTGAAAAATCACTTTATAGAGGAGAGTCGCCTATATTGGACCCCTTTGTAATTTTTTGAATACAGTGGTGTGAACCATTGATCAATATAAATTTCCATTAAAACAATACCTAAACATGTAGACTTAAATTTGGCATAGTCATTATAGAGTTACAATTTTAGATTCTGACCGGTCCATAATAAGCGACCAGTTGCTTAATTTGGATCTAGTGAATTTTCAATTGGATCAGCATATTAAATTCTTATAATCAGTGCAGTTTATTTCAATGAATCTAAAAATTTGTCAACATCTTAGTTAATGTGAATCATGTTGGCTTTTATGCTCACTTATTTGTAAAAAATAATGTTACATAGCGAAATGTCAGTCCAACATAGGCAAGTCTCCAATACGTTATTCACCGGTGGAGCGTTCGCGAGAGAATATCTTTAAAACTGCAAGGTTAATGGCAGACCTCTTCAATATAATATATTACGTTAAAATCGATAAAGTTAAACATTGATATTATATGAGTGTAGGCACCGTGATTTTCAGAAAAGCATTTTAGAAAAAAAACCTTTTCACGCTGAACAACTTTGTCACTTTTATTAAACAATTATTTTAGGCGTAATACAGACTGGAGCGTTATTACGATCGGATAGTTTAATTTTATTTGTTTAACATCAAAAGCAACGACAGTTGGGTTCCAGCACTGGTTGGCCTCCCTCCTCATATCATTCTCAGTTAAAATTTATATAAATTATTGTAATTAAAATTATCATATTTGCTTATTGTGTAAAAAAAAAAAAAAAGGCAACGATACGTAGTATGAAATACATACATTGTAAATTAGTACATAGAAAACATAATAATACCGTTAGGATTCCTAATTCCAGCAATTTAGATTGGAAACTTCTAAAGAAACATTTGGTCGACCTGCCAAAAATCAACGTAAACTGCGTTGTCCAAATTGGTTTTTGTCTAAATAAACAAATAATGATATAATGTTAATTTTTTTTTTTTTTTAATTCCCTAACGTAAAAATGTTTAATGTATTTAAATATAAAGGAAAATTCACTTTCGTCTCATATTATAATATCTCCTGGAGTGCCGCAATGGTGTCACCTGCCACCATTACAAAATATTACGGACCGATTACATAAATTAAATAATATACACGTATATTTTCTTTTTCGACATCGTTTTCCTTCGGCCATTTTTTCATCGAACATTTTCACCGCCGAGAATTTTTTCTTCGGGCATGATTTACTAGATTCGTGTGGGTATACCGACATCGATTACTCAAAGTTCAACGAAATGGTATACTTACATGTGCAAATAGTGCATAAAGTCCATTTGTTTCTGAAAATACGGTAAATATAAAATGTAGGAATAAATGGTTTTGTAAACTGTGCTGATTATCTCGCACATAAAATATCGCGATGCGTACTGGGTGTAAGCAGAGCTGTTCGATTATATCCTCAAAATAATCGATTAATCGGAAGTTAATTTTCTATATTTAAATACAAAAACATCGACAGATGAATACTGCATGTATTTAAATCTATAATATTAAACAAGATGTGCAGCCATGCGGAGATACGGTTGTATTATTAGTGCCATTTTCAATTTATCGACACAACGTGAAACCTTAGAGCATGACAATACACTATGGTTGGAGTCGTGTATATGATAATTTCATCCAACACGGAGTCGGCATACGAGACGCTATCTGTACGTACACAACCCAATAGGCTCATCGCATATTCGACTAAACTAAAAACTATAAACCGTCGTAGACAAAATGTTGTTGAGGCGAAAATAATATGAAACGAGTGTACACCCAACGGTGCGTAGATAGCACGTCCAATCGGGTGACCCGTCACTTATTATTTGTGCTTCAAATTATTTACACGCGGGCTTGATAGCTCTATTGCTCCAGTTATTTTTATAAAATGTCTGAGCGGCCAACGTGCAACACAGCGGCTTTTCATAAAAAAAAAAAAAAATGTAAACAATTTTATGACCTGTCCGGTTCTTTATTGTTTTATCATTACCGTTAAAACTTGGCATACTCTCAATTAAACAAATAATTCACTATAAACGAGATTTTTTTTTTTTTTATATATATACATATATACATATCGAATAATCGCTTTTTTGATTAGTAATCGAAGAGGTTTAAGCGCATCTCAATACGAAATCTTATTAGAAACGATTGTTGATTACTTGATTATTGAACGTGTCGCAGTTGAGATTCATTTGGCACTCGGTCAAAGACAACCTGCACATTTCATCCACGTCCCTTTTGACGGTCTCTTTGTCGGAGTTCAAAATGGAAATTACGTAATCGGCTTCGTTGAACATGTTCGGACAAACGTAATTGAACCTTGAAATAGCACAATTATTGACGGCGGGGCGGTCGAAAAACACATCGATATGTTATATAATAAATATTGCTGACAATATTGTTAAAATATCCGTGTAAGTACTTTTGAAACAGCTGATTGACCATGGTCACGGGTCCCTGGTAGGCGAGACGCCCTTCCGTGAGCAGGATGACGTCGTCGAATTTGCCGAACACGCCGGACGCGGGCTGGTGGATCGTGCACACGACGATCTTGCCCGTCCGCGCGACGTTCTTCAGGGTGTTGACGATGTGCGCGGCCGAATAACTGTCCAGGCCGGTGGTGATCTCGTCGCAGAACAGTATGGGCGGGTCGTTCAGCAGCTGAACGGCAAGTGCGACTTTTTTCCGCTCACCGCCCGATAAAAACGATATCCTCGTGTGGGCGAATTTGTCCATGGCCAACGTGGACACAATGTGATCGACGTTCTCGTTCAGAGCGATTTCAGTCGGGTTCCGATCCATTTTCAATTTGGCCTTGAACAACACGAAATATAATAAACCTAATCGTCACCAACTTTATAAACACAACTATTTTCTATTTCTATTCGGTCTAAATTCCGGAGGTTCTTTATATAGATTTAAAACCTTTTTGTTACCTTAGAGTTAATAATCATAAAGTAAGTTATTAAAAAGACGTCTTAGGATAACGGGGTCGTGTGCAGCTACTATTCTTAGTAATTTAATGTATACCTGTAAGCAACGATAAACCATTGCTAACGAAAAAACGATCCTGAACGGAGTTCAGTTGATAGCGATACTTTTTCGACAGTAAATATGTCATATTATCATAAAATAATTAAATAGGCATTTTCTTTAACAATATTTGTTTAATGTACCGATTTTCCTGTTTTCCCACGTTTTTCCCATTTTACCTTCTTCGAAAAATGACTCACCAAAGTACCTCCCCACATCGATTTCCTTTCAGAAAAGGCGCTACACTTAAAAATTGGAGCACGATTTTTGATAGAAATGTTGTCCACAGAAAAAAAAATAAATAAACATCTTTGTAAAACCATAAACTTCGTTCCACTCAGAAAAAAAAAAGAAGGTTTCTTTAATGAGTAAAATGACGTCAGTTCCCAGTTTGATGATGCCTCCCACCGGTACTCTGATATTATTGTCTTTTGAATTTTAAATATAAATAGGGACTCGTCTTCAACTTATGTTTTGAAAAAAATAAATAAATTTGTTACGATTAAAGATTATATTATCTATTTTATGAAAATATTTACCATCAGAGACAAGTGTTCTAAAGCTGTCAACTGTTCAATGCTGACATCGTGTTGAGGAACGAAACCGGATATTTTTATCATCACTTCTTCGGATACCGGTTGCCCGTTGAGCAATAATTCGCCGTCGAAATTACCTACGGAATACAGAAGTAACGTAATATATAAAAGTAAAAACATTCTGTACAGACCTTTCGTTCGGTGACTTATAGTGGATATCAACGTAGTTTTTCCCGAGCCACTAAATACAAAAAATAAAAAAAATAAATAAATAACCACTTTGTATAAACTATAAGATTATCAATTGATCATCATTGTTATTATTATAAATACCTGGATCCCATTATTCCCAAAAGTCTTCCACATTGTGCGTTCCCACTAACTAAAAAAAAAAACGCGCACAAATATGAACCGGTATTATTTTATTTTCTTAAAAATTAAAATAAAAACCAATAATAAGCTTATTAATTGATTCGGTTTTTTTTTATTATTATTATTTCTGTTCTCATAATAATGAATTAAAAAAAACCAAATTGGTGATCATTTCTTCTCATTTTTCTCTTTCATCGCCTCCATCCTAATCACGCGTAATCCAACTATTTTTGGTCGGCTAAATTTGGTGAACTCTTCCATCACATAAAATAAAATCCAAAAAAATACACAACAAAATAAGAAGATTTGAGGTGCTTTATCCCTTCCAATATTTAGTCAAACCTCCACCCGAAACAAATATACTCCGTGTGTAAATTAATTATTTCATAAATATTGTAAGCCCCCGAATCCGACAAAATGATGGCTGGTTAAATATAACATGAAATAATTGTGCATGGAATAAAAATTTTTAAAAAGTGAAATTTAAGTAGGAAAGAATGCAACTATAATTTTGAATCAACAATATAAAACAGTCGGAATTTGTGAATTTTGGTATGGGTGAACAAATATTTCCATTTAAACAGGCATTTAATGAGGCCCGCTGTACAATACCGGCTTGAAATCGTACTGACCGTTACACAAAATCCGCTTGTACTCGACCGTGGAAGACGAGAAATACTTCTGGGTGACCGTTTTCACAGAGACGTTGAGACTTTTCCATGACAGGACCAGACTTTCGTGCGCGTACTGTTTGTTGGTGAGGTCAGGGCGAAGATCGTCGTCCGTGCCTTGCCAGTCGTTCCACATCTCATTGTACCGCAAGTCTAACATTTTCGACATTTTCGGAAAATCAATATTATTATACTCACGATACAATATGTGATCGATAAACGGTAGTGGAGCTCTTACGCCTTCGTACTGCACATCGTGAATATTATATTCAGCTGAACACGTCATTCAACGGGAAACCTGTTCAGAAATATTGGGGAAAAAAAAATAATAAAAAATTGCCCCTTATTATTCGATTTAACCATTGATTTTATAATATACCGATAAGCCGTACCGTGTGGGGGGGGGGAAACCGGTAACATTTAATTGCTGGCCGCCGCTGTGAAGCGCTGTCGGCGGCCGCTGACAACTAATGTGTTAGCCCCGCCGTAGGTTGGTAAAGTGGGAAGAGGTGGCTTGCGACCGCGGCTGAGCAGTGAGACTACAGAACCAATAATAAATTATGCATCGTCATGAGCTTGTTCACCCTGTACGCAGTTGTCAAACTATTTCATTTATATCTGTACGCAACGAAAAACCGTTGCTATAAAAAAAAAAAACTTTTTACGAGCGTAATTCTGTTATTTTTCGATTGGAGCAAAATTTCTGGTATAAGTCACCGTGTAAAAAAATATATAATGAATCTAAAAATGACCTCTCTAAAGTTCCATCCGGAGAAAATTTGCTTTTAGAAAAGGTACAACATTTGATACTTCGGAGAAATATTTCTGGTAGAGATCTTGTGCGCAATAAAAAACAAAAAAATAAACATCATTGTAAAACCAATACAATCCTCGCTCCACTCCGAATCTAAAATTAATCGATAATTCCAAAATTATTGTTACGTACAAAGTTATTATAAAATCAATGAAAGTTATTATTGAATTTCGGTAAATCTGGATTTTTCCCTCCCCTCCTTCACAGCTTCGTAATTTTTCACGTAATTGATGAACAAGTTTTGGAATTTCAACTTTGATATCGTTTCTTATCGAAATATTTGACAACAATTGAAAAATCCCGTGGAAAAAAAAAATGTCTTCGTTAAACTCGTCGTCCCACTTTCGTTTTTTCTTACGTGCTTAGTCATTTGTATACCTTTTCGAGTTACGTACGCGCTCGTCGGCGTCCAGTTCGGTTATTAACGCAAGTTGTGCATTATATGGAACGAGGCTATCGGTAAACCCGTTTCACGTGTGTACAAAGGTCGGCGCCGTCGTCACTGTTGTATATTTGTTGCGGGGTTTTATTCGGTTTATCTCCAATCGACGACAAGTGACAACGGAAATTATTTTTATTTATTATTTTCACATTTGCAGGTAATAGACGAAGAATAACGATTGACGACAATTGATAATAAACTAACCGTAGCAACGCGCGCCGGCCTGTTCGGCACTTATGCGTTTTCTGTGGGATTACAGTGAAATGAAAATGCTGTTTCCCAAGTAATCCTGCAGCATGGATTATCTGTGTATTATAAAATCAAATATTTAACTGATTATTTACCATCACATTAAAAACCCTCGGGAATTGAATGGCTTTATGACAGTCTGGTTTTTTATTCAAAAACCGGTTCGTCCGCAGATATATAATTAATCATTTTTTTTTTTTTTTATCACTGCGCCATACGCAGTGATAAAAAAAAAAAAAATGATTAATTATATATCATAAAAAAATTAACTGAAAACGAAATTATTAAAACGGTTAACACTCGTTAATAAATAAATGAATCAATGCGTCAACTGGGGTATTATGACGAGCGCATTATGCGACCGGTTTCGAATTAATAATTTATCATCCGGTACGGTCAAAATGTAAAACGCGACCGGTTGATTCGTTCATTTATTTTATTTCTGTACGTACGTTTTTTATTTATGTATCTATTAGTTTTTATTTGTTTATAATTGTACCCCCATTATGTTACGATATCGCACAATTTTCAGTTACACAATGGTCTCCTAATCAGAAGGCTCGACGGGCGATGGTACGTTGGCGCGGCCATTATCAATTACACGTCTATTACTGACGTCGTTAAAAACACGTGATACCGGACGCGAAGAAAAAAAATCTGCGATAACGGGGACGTGTGCGGCCACTGTTATAGGCGATTCAACGTGTACCTGTAAGCAACGATAAATCATTGCTGACGAAAAAACGATTCTGAGCGGAGTTCAGTCGATAGTGATGGTGTGTCAACAACATCCCATGCATCGTATATTATGGTAAAATAATTAAATATGTATTGCACATTTTCTTTAATAACATTCGTTTGATGTACGGATATTCCCGTTTTTCCTACATTTTTCCCGGTTGTTTACACTTGCTGGAAAAACTCTTGGGAAAATCGAAAAGTGACCTCCCTAAAGTACATTCCAAGAAAAAGTTCTATCATGTAAATCGGAGCAAGATCTCTGGTAGAAAAGTCGTCCACCGAAAAAAAAATAAACATCTTTGTAAAACCATAAGTTTCTTCGCTCCGCCCAGAATCTAATAGTTGTTCGATGTTTTAAACTACTTTTTAGCATACTTTAAAACTATGTTTTAAACGTGTTGGCATACTACCGAAACCAAAACACTCCGCAAACTCCTTGTTTAAAACAGCTATTAATATTATTTTTTTTGTGTTGCTATTGTTTCTGTGCCATTCGTCCAAGGCAGGCGCAATAATGAGGGAAGGATGGCAAGGTGTACTCGGACATCTGGCTCCACGCTTTCTGAGATCCTGAGCTTTACATAATCAAAATTTCACAAACAAATACGAAAAACAATTTTCCTCGCGAGCAACAATAATTTTAAGTATTTAAATGTATTAATATTAAATTTGCTGTGTGGATTATAACTTATAATTAATAATGAATAATATTACTCGTATTATTTTTATTAAAAAAATTATCGAGTATATTGCAGAAATCGATTATTATTATTATTGTTTTTTATTATGTTGTTGTGCAGGAACACTGTACGACGCGGACGACAGTCGTGTTATCATTCTCTTCGTAACTTGTATGCATTGTGTTTTACATAGCATATATAAGATACAAGATTTTCAAAAAATAAAAGCGGAGCGGAACAATGAATGTATTGAATGTCTTATGATAATCGAAAGAAATAATTACGTAGTGCACGTAATTATTTAATAATTACGTGCACTGTTTATAATGCATTAGAGGCGTATAAATCAATCTTTCAGTATGACTTAAAAGTTCGGGGAGATGGTGCTGGCAATGCAGCGAGGTCTCTGACTAATAACACAACAAAATCAAGCCGTTAGGACATGTTTAAATAAAAATGTTTTAATTGCAAGTAATATTTCTGATAGAAAACTTAAGTACCTATAACACATTGTAAATTGTCTAAAACCGTCTAAGCACACCGTAAATATAGCACCCCTTATATTTTATTTCAGTTTTTCTCAATTATTTCGAAAAACCCTAGGAAAATCAAAAGATTACTTTCCTAATACACCAAATAGAGGAAAATTACCTTTTAGAAATAGTGCTATATAGACTACATTTTGGAGCAAGTTTTCTGATAGAAAAGATGTTCACATCCTCTTGCTACGCTCCAAATCAAAAAAAAAAAAAATGTATAGTACCTCATATTAACCTACCACAAGCATTTGCATATAGGGATCATTTAACTTTAATATGTTATAATAACTAATGTATTTTAAAATATTTATTTAATAAAGGAAAAAAAAATAGTTTTTTATTAATATAAGCAGGATTTTTTTTTTTTTTCAGTATATAATAGGAAGCCGAGGAAAACCACCCTTAAACGGACCAATCCCCTCATAGTCAAACTCCTCAATATAAAATTTCTAAAAAAATACTATTTAAAACAATAAAATCAAATTTTAATAGTACTCTTTCCAATTTTCGAATACTCTGTGCACTACAAATTGTGCGTCATAGGCGATGCCACGGGATACGAACGGCGTACTTTAAAACACCACTAAACGCCAAATGTTCAAATTCGTTTCCGATCGGGGAACACTCGTTTTAGTCAAATCAAAATGGTCAAACAGTTATTACGCGTATTGACGACGTTTGATAAACAATAATGGTGTGAAGCAAAAACGTTTTTCAAGTTTTGGAAAAATCTAGTGTATTTATCGACCCTGACAACCGAATCGGTCTTTAAATTCAATCTCCCGTATCGGAGCTTGTAACTAACACTGCCGGAAGAGCACGCGCTAAAGTCTGGCACCGCCTACGCGGTTTACGCACATACAATTATTGTTTGAATCTGGTCGACCAGTTTCAATGCATTAAAAAAAAATCCGCGTGGAAAAGGAAACGCATTGTAGCCGTCACATAAATTGTAAACGCGAACGACGTTAAAAATATCTATGTATGTGTGTGTATGTGTATGTATGTATACATATATATATATATTTGTTTTGACCCTCACAGACACGGTCGAGTTTTTAATAAGCGGGTGGCGTTTTCGTTTTTTTCAGCACGCCGAAATAGCTCGCGACGTTCGCTATTACGATGAACGTAACCATTGTCGCCATGTCGGTGTTGAACTCGCCGGCATTGTAGCCGTATTTGTTTAACACCGCCGTCCCGCTGTCCAAACAATTGTCGGGATCCGCGCACGCTACAGACACAATAAAATGACCGCGGTGTGTGAATGCGCGGCTAGATCGGCCGAGTCGCGGCCGCTGTCCGCATTGTTATACTCACGTATGGATTCGATTTCCTCCCAGAACAGTACGGACACCGTTTCGCTCCCGAGGAAAAATATCGAAAAGCGTCTCAGGAAGCGCATGGTTTTCGGCAAGGACCTGGATCGACAAAACACACGCCGCCGTTAATGGTTAACAGTCGCCACCGAGCCGCGCGATCGTGCGGCTCAGCGCGGCGATCGAATCGATTATTTACTTTAACGACACGTAAGCGCCGCTCAGGGTCAACGATAAAGTGTCGATTGCCGTGGACATTATGACAATGTTCTCCACCCGGTTGAAATGGGACGACAACAGGCTCCCTGGAAACGTGACGAAATAATATCATTGAGACGGACCGTACGGGTTCGACGGCCGATGTGGGCGTACGCCGCGCCGGTTGATAACGGCGGCATATTTTTTCGGGATGGACAGAGCGAACCGGAACCCGGACGCGGATTTAAGTTCACAGGAGTCACAACGCGAGAATTCAAAACGCCACGCGTCCGGTCGTTGCGTGCGGCTGCGTTATTTGTCTAGCACCCTGTTACGCGTTTACCGTGGTGTATTTACACGTTATTTACGTTATTTTTCACATATTTTCACCGGTTCGCGTAAACGCCAAATACAGACTGAAAAGCGCGCGAATAACGAACATGGGGATAAGTGCACGTATTTCATTCGCGGTTACGCGTGGCTCCGCGTTCGAATACCGACGTGTTAATTTACGGTTTGCATCGGGACTTCTGGTTAATGGATTGTGAACGCAACGTGGTATAATCGCAATAATAATTATCATTAGTATGCATGTAAACATTATAAAGTAACCGAGGCCCGATTAATATATTTTCTGGCGATGACAAATTCTTCCATATCCCCCTCCTCCAAAAATAGGTCAAAATGGAAGGTACAAGTTTGAAAAAAAATAATTGTTTTGTTGCGCCCCTGCCATTTAACGGCGCCCCAGTCTGCGGCCTTTACAGCCTATTGGTTAATCACGCCTTGAACGTACCGGAAACGTTAACGAAATTCCCGTTACCGTTAGAAAATGATGGCGCGCCCAATCTTTACGTATTCAGACATAATACGCTGTAAGTCTGTGCGCGGCACGGTTTCATCGAAATTGTATTACGCGTTCTTGGGGCGCTCTGTGCGCTTGGTTTCATTTCCGTAGTATGTTAGGCAATTTTATCAAGACCCATATACACTTATATCCAAGAACCGAAAGAAATCTACGCTAAGAAAGAATAATCGATCCGGCCTCTGTTTTACGACCGGCGAATCGAGCAGAAAAACACACGTCATTCGGGGAGCAGCGATTATATCGTGTATATATATATATATATATCTGCTGGACCACGTTAAAAAAACAAAATACCAACTATAATATTCCGTATGACAAACAATATAATCATAAACCTACCCAACGTCGGATTTCCTAATATAATCCAAGCCATCATCATAACTGACAATTGTTGGTGTCCCGCCGCCAAAATCCCGAAAAAAATAAAAGTCAAAAACCAAATAAACTACAATGTATTAAGCACGATTTTTTTCATGGCGACGTTCCCATCAAAATTTACTTAAATAAAATGTGTATATGTTGGTGAGAAGGGAGAGTTGTCGAGAAAATTCCGTTCATTTGATTTTTTTATCAGAATATTGTTTGGACAGGATTTCATCCGCAATTAATTTAAGTCCTGTTGTTGGCAAATTATAACTAAGTACTAGGCAATAATATCGTTTGTTCACCGCATTATGATTTTTTATCATTATTGAACAGTCAGTATTTTTAATAACATACATTGCACACAAGAATGGCAGTGCCAAAAACAAAAAGTCAGGGGACACAGGGGACTGGAGCAGAATATTTTGTTTTATTGGTTCTCTTTGTTGTTTTAGTATATTTTTTTCATTCTAAAACATAGTAGATTAATTAATTAATAAAATTAACTAGTGCCCCCCCTCTTTCGAAATAGTTTCCTGTCTACGGTAGTGTAATACAGTCATTTTAATTACCTGATGAAAACGCTGTAAGCGCCAATATGAAAAATACCAATAATTCCGTAAGATTCCATTTGACACCAACAATATAAAACGCTGGAATGCAACAAAACAACATTTTTATCACTATCCAAACAATCTGTAAACATACACATTTGCTTGCTATAACTCGTTATAAGTATAATATTTAATTCGCGTTGCATACCATTATCAATAGTTCAGAAATAAAATGCACGCTCAACGGGTATAATTTATTGTGTATTTCTCGGTGAACTGTAGACAATTTTTGTTGATAAAACGCAATTCCTGAAAAACTAAAGTGAAACACAAAGTTTATGATGAATACCAACCAATGTCCTTCCCAATTTTGCACTGCTTTTGTGTCAAACTGCAAGTTTGCATACGGAAACGACAGGAAAACGGAAAACAACTAAAAAATAATATAAGAATAACAAATAAATCCAATGTGGACAAACATTACCGCTTGGGGCGGCCACTATTTTCGTAGGGAGGTCATATAATTCGAACGAATGTGTACGGGAAATAAGACACTATAAAAAAGAATTGTTTGCTATAGTAATAGAAGGTACTCATTACCAATAAGGTTCCCAATTCAAGCAGTCTGGATTGAAAACTTCTAAGGAAACATTTGGTCGACCTGCCAAAAATCAATGTGAAGTGCGTTGTCCACGGTGGGTTTCGCCTAAATATAACATAATTATGCGTTCTGTGATAACAATGATGTCAAATTTCTAAAAATAAACAAACTTGTACACATACTTTTTTAAATAATGCATATAGTCCAATTGTTTCTGAAAAAAAGGTTACATAGTGATTGGTGTAATACGTACGCGTATTTAGAATCGATTGATATATTATACTTGATTATTAAACTTATCGAAGTTGCGATCTGTTTGACGGTCGATCGAAGACAACTTGCACATTTTATCCACGTCCTTTTTGACGGAATCTTTGTCGGAGTTCAGAATGGAAATCACGTAGTCGGCTTCGTTGAACATGTTCGGACAAACGTAATTGAACCTTAAAATAGCGCAATTATTGACGGCGTCGAAAAACACATCCAGATGTAAATNACAGTTGATTGACCATGGACACGGGTCCCTGGTACGCGAGCCGCCCTTCCGTGAGCAGGATGACGTCGTCGAACTTGTCGAACACGCCGGACGCTGGCTGGTGGATCGTGCACACCACTATCTTGCCCGTTCGCGAGACGCTCTTCAGGGTGTTGACGATGTGCGCGGCCGAATAACTGTCCAGGCCGGTGGTGATCTCGTCGCAGAACAGTATGGGCGGGTCGTTCAGCAGCTGAACGGCAAGTGCGACTTTTTTCCGTTCACCCCCCGACAAAAAGGATATCCTCGTGTTCGCGTATTGTCCCATGGCCAACGAGGTCACTATGCGGTCGACCTGCTCGTTAAGAGCCGTTTCGGTCGTGTTCTGGTCCATTTTCAATTTCGCCTTGAACAACACGAAAATACAATAAACCTCGTCGTCACCAGGTCTATAAACATAACTATTTTCTATTTCTGCTCGGAAAATGTTGACTTGTCATCTGTCTAAAATCCGAAGGTCCTATATAGGTTGTTAACCTTATTGTTCCCTTAGATTTAATAACCATTAAATAAGTCATTACAAATACGTGTACCCCGTCCCTGCCCCCAATGAAAAAAATCATTTAACCGACATTGATCCAGTGTTACACTAACTAGTGTAGATCTGCCCATACATGTTTACAATATTTTCTCTTCTCAATAAAAATTTAACTTTTTTATTTAAATTTAAATTTAAACTGAATGACAGAACCTCCTGGTTTTAAACCGACATTATTTACTATTATTGTAAATAGGTACATTTATCGGTTAATGCGGTTAAAAAGTGTTTTATAATATTAGAAAAATTGCACACAGTTTTTGATCGAATTTTAGAAGCCATATCGCGTATCCACACGAGAATAAATGTTATGCTTTAGATAATAAATGTATAAAAAAGCAATTTAGTTTTGAACCTCACTTCTATGAAAAAAATATCAATAAAATATTTTACGAGTGTAATCAAATATTATGTTTTACAAAAATGTCTCTATAATATCTCTAATACCATCAAGGACAAGTGTTCTAACGCTGTCAACTGATCGAAGCTGATGTCGTGCTGAGGAACGAATCCAGATATTTTAATCATCACTTCTTCAGATACCGGCTGCCCGTTGAGCAATAGTTCGCCGTCGAAATTTCCTGCCGAAAAAATTAACAAACTATTTACTGAAGAATATGATTTATCCCAAGCACATATTAATAATAATAATAAAAAGTTCATAAGATCATTGTCATAAATAAATATGATTACACGCAGGTACAGAATTTTAAATAAATACATACCGTTCGTTCGATGACTTATAGTGGACATCAATGTAGTTTTTCCAGAGCCACTAAAATTAAAAAGAAAGTTTGATTAAAAGGTAAATTGTAATAAATTATTTGATTAAGTACCTTGGTCCCATTATTCCTAAAAGGCTTCCGCATTGTACGTTTCCGCTTACTAAAAAATTATACACGACAATATTAAAATTATAAATTATAAAATCCTATTTAAGAGAAGTTAGAATTATATCTAACGTAGATATAGTCACTTCACAACTATTAATAAAGACTTTAGTGGAATTTAGTAAATACTATGTAGTTATCTATAAAATTTAACTGGGTATTTTAATATATTCTAGGCAAATGAAAATGTGAATAATATTAGTCGAATGGTTTTCCTTACCTTTTAGGCTTTCATACAGTACCGAATTTGTCGCTAAAATAATTTTACACTTTCTTCAAACAAACGACTCAAACAAAATTAATATTATTATTGTGAATAGACAAAAAACAGTTTAATTTAGGTGATTACCGCAAACATTAGGCAATGCAGTGTTTATAATGTCTGTAATTTACTTCAACATACACGTACCCTTTCACCACCCATAGCAAAACAACTTAAATGACCTAGAATGTGTACCTACGGTATTTTACATAATATTACACTTGTTAATTCATTTGATTCATTTGATATTCAACGTTTTTTTATTTAAACGGATAACATTGAATATCCTGCTAAATTATTGTAGACAACTCGAAGCATTTTTAACAACCGAAAGAAAACAAAACCGAATAAAGGATTTTAAGGGGATAAACTGTTGAGCGTTTTAAAAATTCTTTCGAGTAAATTACTTGCACTGGGTGGAAATTCTGCGTCTTGGTACTACGAGAAATATTCGGAAAATGTGTAGAGGAATATGTTCAAATAAAGTATCATTGGGTAGAAAATAACACATTACACACCTAACATAATTATTAAGTTATGATTTTATAGGTATTTGCTTTTTTTTTTTTTTTTTTTTTTTTTTTTTTATTGGTTTCAAACTAAATTATGTTAGCTATAAATTTGATTTATAGGAATTAAAATAGAACACACGAAATTTTAATTTCTTTATTTTGTTGTTTTTTTTTTTTTTTTTTTTTGTCATAGTTTGTAATAGCTGCCCACAAGTAATCAACTAACTGTCGCCGTCAAATTTTTAAATATCTTGTACATTTTTTTCATAATATTTTTATTGTTTAATTATTATTTATTGTTTATTCGTTTATTATTATTTTATTTTTTTTGTATATTATATTTGTACGTACTTGTTTACATTATAAATATTAAACTAACAGTAATCTGTTATAGCTATAAATTGAATAATAAAAATAAAACAAAACTAATAGGTCGAATATTAATATTTTGTAGGGTTTTGAAAACAGTAGGTTTCTTTTTTTTGGAATTTAGGTATTTTTTTTTTTTTAAAAGTTTAAAATGTTTAGTGCTTTTTATAGTTTTATAGAGTTACAAAACCCTAACTCTTATGACTCGATATTTAAATAGTACACTGACCACAATTTACACACTACTGCATTGGCTACTGTATACATTCCGTAATTGCTACTGCACATAATTTTAGGCCCGGAGGCAATGCGTCACCTACACTAAAAGTGGCACTATATAAAATCAATGACTGTTAGATAAAATGTTTGAACTTATTTAGAATAACGTTCTATATTTGAAAATGGCTTATCGAAATTTTAATAAGTAGCTTTTGTAAAATTGTTTTCGACCAATGCGCACCAGACTGAAATGGTTACTGGTCGGTAGGTAGGTAGGTACTGACCGTTGTACAATATCTGCTTGTACGCGATTTTCGACGGCGAGAAAAACTTTTGCGTGACCGTTTTCACTGAGACATTCAATCGTTTCCAGGACAGCACTAATTGTCCGTGATGTGCGTGCCATTTGCCCACATCGCGCGGCCGGACTGACCGGACCTCGCCCGTGCCGTCCCAGTCGTTCGACATCTCGTTATATCGCAAGTCCAACATTTTCGGACTGGAAACGCCGAAAAAAGACATTTTTTTATCTCGACGATAAGAAACTGCGAGAACGGCGACTGTAATAGAATAAAAAATATTGCGACGGTACGCGGATCGAGACTAATAATGTCGACTATAGCGGTTGCCGTATAATATTTTAAACACGAACGTGTAACAACTCAGCCCGACGAACGTTGGATATTGTTACTCTGCCAACTCGATGGAAGATTAATCTTCGGATGAGAACTCAGAAACGACTTTTCGTTACAAAGCATTTTATTGTACAATTGTACAGGTCACAATGCGATGTGTTTCACAAAAAAAAAACCGAGCAATATCCGCAAGTAGGTACCTACAAATCGTTTAAATGAGATATCTATCTATGCGTTATACACTATGAATAAATTGTCGAGTAATATTTGTCTATATCCTCCCTGCTTTTCACTCGAGCGGTGGGAGAAAATCCGCGGTAAATAAAAACGCTATTTATCAACATAAATACCTGTAAGAATAATCGGTCTTGAACTCATAAAACTATAAATCATAACTTAAGTGTTTAATCTTTTACGCGATGTATATTTCAACTTAAAACGTACGCCGCGGTAAACATTGTGAATAGTAATATCAATAAGCCGATAAAGCTCGGAATATGAAATGTAATAGCCATTAGAGGAAATTTAATCACGTTTAATTTATTATTATTCATGAGCAAACGTGCGTTAAGTATAATATTTGACGACAAATTAGATTCTGAGCACAGCGAGGTTTATTATAGGTTTCACTATATAGTGTGTCAGTGTGTGTGTGTGTGTGTGTGAAATCTTACTCTAATCAAAATCTTTATTGGGACTTTCTTGTAGTATTTTTTATCTGGTCGACGCGTTGATCCCTAAATAAATGGGATAAACTGTATATTTTTTATTCGTTGGCAACAAGAAAAATATACGGCTATTTATACTCGGCTCGAAATCGTTTTTCATTAACAATGATTTATCGTTAAGTACAGTTATAAATTAAAACATCCGGCATTTCAACTTTCTCCCTAAAAGCGTGGCACACCCATTGTCAGTATTCGTCTTTTTCTTTTTTTTATACATATATATGTCACCGGCAATATAGACAATTCAGGTATTTTGCAAACTACCTAGGCATTATGCATATGGCCAACCCATTTTAGGCATTATAAATATAACATATAATTTTTAATATTATTTTACATTTGACCTAGGTATTTTATAAAATACCTAGGCGTTATGTAAAATGCCAATTTTTTTTTAGGCACAGTAACAAACAATTTCTCATTATCTGTTAAAACATTATATTAATTTTAATCTATTATTCAATTTTTATACATAGGTATTATTATATTATTGATAATGATATTATTATTTTTACATTATATTATTATATTAAGTAATATAAATAATATTACTAATATACTTATTACTTATTATTATTAATATACATTTTACTTAAACTATAAATAGCTACTTATTACAACATGTTGTAGAAAAATGGCACAGAACATTATTTTTAAGGCAAATGCACATTTTATTTCGACACTTGGTCTTACAAACACATTTTAAAAATCCTATTGTAGTAGGGTATGAATCGAATGCAATAAAGATTAAGGTTCTTATCTCTATTGGGTCAAATCGTGCACATCACACGGCACATGCATTTACGATAAACGATAAGTCGTTATATCAATCATAATAGATTGATTGAAAATAATAGACAATACCGAATTTTTGTTTATTTTGATCATAGTTCCTACTTCACTTCTGGCATCATACATAATACCTAGGCAAAGCTCGTATTGTGTATATTTCCGAGTGATTTTTGGCATTTTATATAATGCCTAGGCATTTCTCAAAACACCGAATTAACCATATTGCCGGTAACATATATATATATATGTGTAAATAACTCTAAATTTTATATGCAACAGCGGTTCAATTGTTTTCAATTTTGCTTTTCTATTATCATTCGATTAAAAGAAATCCTAAAATATTCGTAGAAAATCTGTATAAAACTTTTCAAGACGTGCTAAAATCGTCAAAAAATTTGTTTAGTTTTTATTTTGGTTTTTTATTTATGTGGTTAAAATATTATTTTGACCGATCATAAATGGTTAAAATCGCATACTAGGTCCATCGAGGATCGTATTATTATCATTATTACTGTCCATAATTTAACCATAAATTCGCAATAATATTATCGTCGTTATTTATTTGAATTTGACTAATACTAGTGTTAAACATACATTTATAGTAGGTAACCAATATAAAAAATATGAATTATTAATAGAAACGGTTGGTACTTAATTGTATATAAAACTGTAGTTTATTGTTTAAAAAACGTTTAGAAACCGGAAACTTTGATCGCCCGTAGAGTGAGCTTTTCTATGCATGTTTTTCATAAGCATTTGGAGTACAAATTTTGACGAAAATCGTAAAAATAGCGACATTTCAAAACACGTCTAACCGGACTTCACTCTGAATCGTTTTTCGTTAACAACGACTGAAACTTTGATGCAAATTAAATAACTTTATATGGTATTCTACATACCCGACTTTTTCTTGCTAGAATTGTAAAATTGCACAAATATATTAAACAGTAAACGCATCACAAATCGTTCTAGACCTTTATATAGGTATATCGAATTCAAAGTCAGGGTTAATTTGCTATTTATAAATTATAGTATCACAAGTTTTATAAAAAAAAAAAAACATATAATATACTTTTACGTCGTCGCGTCATATTAGAAACGATATTTTTTCCTGTCCAACTCCTCTACCTTCACATCTCGCGCACGGACCTTGAAAATAAACGGGTACACACAATATTATATCATAGGTGGGTACATTGTTATTAAAAAATAATAATAATAATACGGAATCCCATTAAATTTATTCAAACGACATTGTAATAGTTTCAAATTGAATATGTTAATATAATACATGAGTGTATATTTAATTTATTTATATTTATTTAATATGCTGCAGACAGCACTGACAGACGCATACATCTCTTAATTTTTTTCCTATCGGGCAACGCTTTTATGCGCTCTCCGCATAAAAAAATAAAAAACCTTTTAATTTCTGAGCGTAGCGTCGAACGTGCGTGGGAGGTTTTACCACGTCGCACGGCTTTATTTTGTCGTATTTTCACCGGAAACAGAGACTTTTTCACAGTGTATTGTGTTTAGCGATGTAAATTGTACATCAAATGTACACAAATGCAAACATCGTTTAATACCGCATTATACAAGCGTATACGCTTTGCATAAAATAATAGAATATCCCTAGTATAAAAAACTACCAATATGCTATAATTACTATAGTCACTATTCTACATAACTACATTCAATATTCCCCGAGTTATTATTATACATATCTACCATAGTTATCATACATGTCTTATTTTATTTACTAGTCCGTAATTGAGTGGCAAATGTATTTTTTATTGTGTAGGCTTATAAGTAAATGTATACAAATGTTTAATGTTAATTCGACTGTATTGGCTTATCATACATTATGTTTGTACTAATCTATAGATAGTTTATAATTTTCAAAATTTTCAATTCGCGTTTAATATTTATAATACATTTTACTTATTACTTGTTGATTAGATAACTACATGGACATTAGAACTATTTTATTGTAACTGGATAAAATTAATGTAAACACATGTAAATACTTAAAAAAGTACGAATGGTAACGAATGTAGCTAATTTAAAAAACAAAACAAATCATATGTGAGTATATAATATACAGAGAAATTGGTTAAAAAAAAAAACAAAAAATTCAGAATCGTAATTTAAAGGCCAAAAAATCTGTTAGAGCATAATATACTGTATTACACACACTATGATAAAAATAACATTTTTACACCTCTAATTGTATCTGCTATATTTAATAGGGTTCTGAAACTGCATAAAACATTTCATGAATGTCGCACAAAATATTTCATTATTTTGAAAAATGTTTAAAATGCATATAATTAATTTTTTAAATTTTAAACTTGAATAGTAACTACAACGCACATCTGCTTAGGGTACTGAACGGTTTTGCTGATCATTTTTTAAAAATTGTTAATTCCAAGTTGAAGATATCTAAAATATTAAATGGATTTAATTGTTTCAAAACAAGTCTTAAAGTGTATAATATTTTTATATTTTCGTTACTACTTACGTAATAAAATTATTAAGTAAAGAAAAATGTTCTGCATAGGTATTTTGACCAAAAAGAAAACATTACGGTGTTTCAAAACATTTATAAACGAACTTTATTCAGGATCGTTTTTCGTTAACAACGGTTTATCGTTAATTATAAATATAAATTAAATAACTTAATGTTTTCTATCTCTTCTAGTTTCCGCTAACAGTGGCACACCCGTCTCAAGTAATTAGCTCGTGGTTTTTGTTTTTTTGATTTCTGTGATCGCGATCAGAACACTCGCTAAAATCAAAAAACTTTACTGGTTGTTTTCTGCAAGTATCGCAATTGTATGAATCACATTAATTGTGATTTAATGACATTCGTGCTGGTACTAATTTTTTTATTTGAAGGAAATTTACGCAACAGATAAAGTCGGTTATTATTATTTTTATTATTTTTTTTTTTTTTTGGCGTTCAGTTTATGAAACAATTTTCATATTTCCCACCGAATGCTTTTAAATTATCATTTCCAAAATATAATTATAATTTTTGAAATATGTTATAAACACATTAAAATTACAACACTATTGCAGTAAGTGTAAATCAATAAGAAATATTCTATCAAGGTTATAGTTTCACAATATTTTATGTACGGTAGGCATGGCCGGATTTAGGAATGTGGGGGCCCTGGGCCCACCTTAGAAGTATATATTTTCGATAACATATATTTAATATTTTAATATATTGTTAAAACTTTATGAGTGAATTTAATTTAATAACAGGTATATTAACATTTACCGAAAAACAATTATTAATTAGAAATAAAATTATGGTTTAAAAACATTTATATTATAATGCCAAAATAATAATAACAAAACAAATATGTAATACAATAAAAGTAGGTAGTGAATTATGTCCGTTAAATATATATTTACTAACTAGTACTGTCACTATATATTTATATCGTATATATACCTACATATTACATAGTCTATAATAATAATATTAATATGATACTAAATAGTATATAATTAATAATAATTTTTATTGTATTGCAACTTTGCGAGATTTCGTCGCTGCAAATTTTTCAACTACTTGAGAAAAATCCAACGCTCTAAGTATGTCAATTCCATAACAGTGCAAGGGTTGATAGTCGACTTTATGTCATCGAAGTTCGTAGCCGGGTTTTNAACCAAATATATACGCAGCACTACTTCTATATTAGAAAATGTACATTGTAAATTATTTTCCACAATAGTCCTGTATAAAAATATTTCCTATTGCTCATTATCTTTACGCGTTTCTACATATATTTTGACAAACGAACTGAACTGTATGAATTCATTACCGAGTGAAGATTCTAAATCATTGGGGTAAATGCTAACAAGATAATTTGCAGCAGATTGTAGCTCAGGAGTTTCTAATTTTTCAAATGTATTTAAAAAACCAAAACGTTGACAAATTGTTTCGTAAGCAACTATTCTTTCGGTTAATGATACTGTCAATTGATCAATTACTGATATGAAGCTTTCTGATCTGAATTTTTCTCTTGGTAATAACTGAGTTGAGGCTGTTTGATTATTATTTAATGAACTGGGTCTAACATTTTTTTTCCGATTATGAATTGGCGCATAATCTTTTAATCCTGACATGTCTTTTGCCTTTTTTTCGTATTCTTCATATTCGTTTCGTATTTCTCGGACAAATGATAAAATAGAATTAAGAGCATTTACAGCAGTTTGAAAAACTATTTTTGGGTCTTGTAAAATATGATTTGTTGAATCAAACCTCTCTAAAATATAATTCCAAAAAATTGCATAAAATGCCACTTCAAATTGACACATTGATTCGTAAAGTTTTTTAGATTGGATTTTAACAATGTCTTTTTGATCAAGATCGTTTGAAATTTCTACCAAAGCTTCTTTTATATAATCGTAAGCAAATACAACAGCTTTTGTTGCGTCTGTCCGACATGACCAACGGGTTTCGTTCAAATTCTTTAAAACGTAAACACGTTTATTTTTATCATCAATTTTTATACATCACTGTTAAATATAATCTTTATCTACGTCATTGCATATTTTTTTATAAAACCTATTCGGCACGTATTTATCAACAAAAGCGGTCGGGCGGATTGCTATAAAAGTAATATGTGTTTATTTATAACTGATTGTCTCAAAATTTAAAACCATACCAAATTAGAAATATTATTTAGTTGGCCTTATCGCTTATCTTNCTCTACGAGTCATAATAATCTATTTTAAATTACTTTAATCATTTTACTATATAAAATATGATTGAACAATATTATTCGATTGGTGATTTAAATTTATTTTGCAAACATTACACATTATACATTATACATTACACTTGGATGCAAAAAAAGTCCCATTAAGTGGGGGGCCCTCATTTTTGGAGGCCCGGGATCCAGGGCCCCCCTTAGCCCCCCTTCCTTAATCCGGCCCTGACGGTAGGTAACACAAGGTAACTCATTTAAGTGGGTACACTTATTTTTATTATTTATATTAATTATCTCGGAAAGTATTAATTTTTTTCGGAATTTGTTTTCTAGAACACTTAAAAACCGAGCTGTTCCACAATTTTATATTTATGTTATTTTTTGTCATCCTTATTTTTGGGGGTAAAACAACCTACCTACTTTTGATTTTCAAATGGCAACCTGTATTAAAAATTCCATAAATATATTCAGTATTAGTTAAAATAAATTTTAGTGTTGAAATTTTTGATTTTTGTCCAGTCGTTGACGAGATATAACACTTTAAATTTTAGGTTGGAGGAGAGTAGTGGTACATTGTTAACACGCCCCGCGCCATACCGCCACACAAATGAAACTCCACTACTCTCCTCCAACCCAAACTCAAAAGTGGATTATCTCGTCAACGGATCGACGAAAATCAAAAATTTCAACACTAAAATTTATTTTAACTACCACTATTTATCGAATTTTTAATATAGGTTGCCATTTGAAAATCAAAAGTAGGTTCTACCCCCGAAAATAAGGGTGAAAAAAAATAACTTAAATATAAAATTGTAGTGCAGCTGGTTTCTTAAATATTCTAGAAAACAAATTCCGGAAAAATTTAATACTTTCCGAGATAATGAGTGTACCCACTAAAATGAATGGCCTGATACAGTAATGATTGCAAAACATATAACCGGATGAAAACGCTGTGACAACTATCAAGGAAAATAGCAATAATTCCGTAAGCAATAAAATAATAAAGTGAAAACAAAGTTATATCATTACAATTATAATGCTGTTATATTGGGCTTGTCCTGTATACACCTATTTACATATAAAAAATTTTAAAATAAATAAATTTGTTATTATGTTTCTTAATTAAAGAATAAAATTCAACTTTTCAAGCAGATTTTGCGAAATGTTTATTTACTTCTTCAGTGTCTATGGAAATACTTCGATTAATTTACATGACGGCTAGTTCTAATAATCGAGCATAACTTGTACTATTTCTCAAGCACAACTTCAATTTTTTAATATCGAAAAAGATCTTTATGACAACGCAATTGAAAACGGTAAAGTTACTAACATTGACATCAAGCATATTATTCAGAGTATATAAATAGTGGAATTCGGACTATATATTCTGAGGAAATGTTTTACATTTTTCTGTCCATAATTTTAATTCTATAATTTAAATGTTTTGTAACTGCGCAAAATGTGTTTTAAAAAACAATATATTAATCATAATCATTATATTTAGTTGTCTAAATTCAAATTTGTTGAGGTCAAATGGAATCAACTTTTGTCATACAAATTATTACATTGTGTTTAGGTAATCGTACGATTGATAAATTGATTTCTAAAATAATCAATAGACGGTATAAATGTCGTTCGGTTATAATACTGTTCCGGTAATTAAACTGGCACATTACTACGAGATGATCGATTGCCCAGTTATTCGAGATACTTATTTGAATACATCGACTCATATTCATATTGAATATTTTAATATTGATCGTTAAATAATATTGTTTTTTTTATATGTAAACCTATGTCGCGAATTGTTGTTAATCCAGCCAAATCAGTTACATCAATATTACCATCGATATTGGTATTATTAATGGTATTTGACGAACAAGGATGTCTTCGATTACTTTACTCGGTTACAATTACTTTTTTTGTTGAAAAAATTGAATAATGCAAATTGTGATGTCATGCCTAATTTCATATTACTGCAATTATAATTCATAGATTTATTGAAACAAATGAGTGTAGCATTTTTTCTGAAAGCAAATTGTATCTTGTTGGTGCCTTGGGAAAGTTTGATTCTTCTTGTAGTTTTTGTAGATAACTGGGAAAGGCCGTGAAAAACCGTACGAGAAACGGTTTCACTGATTTCGATTTTGTTTATTTTTCTTGTAATTAATCATTAGATATATGCGTATGGTATACAGAGAATATCAAACTATAATTACAAAAATTCGGTAACTATACAATGGTAACATTTTAGTCTAATGGAGATGATGTTGGTAGCCTGCACGTGGCCCTCCCTGCATACGTCTGATAGCGGTCTTAAGAATCCCAATACAGACGAAACCCACAGGGCTGTACTAGTCTTCGGATATCACAGCATCCAAAAATGCCAAGAACTTGTAATTAGGTTAAAAATAAAGAGCTGCAGTTCACAGTGTACATATCTATATTAACCTTTTTTTTTAGACGTGGTCAAATTGTATAACTTTTTTATAGGCATATGAGGTAATTAACTGTATATTATATTTAGTAAAATAACGCCAAATCTAGTTAAAATATGCTTTTCTGAACAATTTTCACATATTATGCATTAACATACAAGGTGGTTCTATTATCATGAATAAATGATCCATTACCATTATCGCAGTCAATTTATTTTACACCTCCGGTTTAAATTCTAAACTGGTGTAACCTTTATTTATATAACTCAGAAACCAGTGGTTCCAAAAGTGTGCTCCGCTGTGTCTGCGATGCCACGTTGATAAATTGAACATTATCCGGTCTAAAAACAAAACTAAAACCTAAATTACAGTAGAAACGGTAACGCTGATTTCGATTACGCTTGAATAACAAGGGTCTAGATCCTTCTATTTTTTGGGAGGAGGGAAACATTTTTAGTAAAAAGACTCCAAAATTATTTACACTATTTTTTAAAATATGCAGATTTTTACACGGTGGTACTTAATTTAAGTACAAGTTCTTGTTTCCCAACAGTTTTTCTCTGAAATTAAAAAAAACTGACAGCCAATTTATTGATAATAAATCGGTTTTATTTTTATTTCTTGAATTTTTAGGTTATACAATGAGAATGGAACTGATACTATTCCACTCAGAATAATTGTTTGATTGCAACGCTTTTAAAAGTGCCCCAATAAAACCTTACTTAATTAAGAACGCTGCAAGTCAAAAACATTTAGGAAGCACTGTCATAAACAATTAATTCAATAACTATAGTTTTTTGCATATCACAATGTTTAAAAAAAAATATTGTTTTTTCGAATCGATCTTGAAAAGAGATGGGAGTTTCCAACTAAAAATCTAAAGCGCTTAAAGTATACAGAGTATTAGTAAAAATCTGAAAACTTTATTATAATAAACCAATAGTTACACAGTAATAGTCATATTATTATGACAGGATATAAATAGTATACATTTTTTCTAACTATGGTAACGGTAAGTTTCTTTATAATTCATTGATGCCGACAGATATTAATTTATATCAGTTAGAGATATTATTTTTTATTTTTTTTAAAAAGGTACCGATTGATTTATTACTATCGGTAACTATATATTATGACGTATAGTTTTATGATTTTTCCATTGTATGATAATTTCATAAAAAAAAAAATTTCTAAAAGGCAATGAAGAAACAATGGATTGGTTATCTAAACTTGATATTTGGCCTTTATACATCTTCGTGGGATACCCCATATAATAATGTAACAGTGTTGGGATGGAACGAAGCTTGAAACGCGTTCCTTTTCAAATATAGGAACGAGGAATGGGAAAGAGTTTCTATTTAAGAGGAACGTGGACCCAAATTTCCGTTCTTCTTATTACGAAAAATAAAAAATGAAACACGCGTTATTTTGGTCATAATATTGTTTAGAAATTATTCAGTGTTGGTATCACTTCATCAGTTATTAACAAATTACCAAAATGGCGCAATTTATTATTTCTCCACTTTTATTAAAATACAAGGTACCTATATAATAATATAATAATATAAACCATGCGGCTGTATACTTAGATAATCGTGATATAAACTTTGACTAAATGATAATTGTTCAAAATGGTGAGCGGTCCTACCGGGATCCAGGGATTTTTTCAAATAATATGTTTTTCATTTTCATTTTTAAGGTAGTAAATTAATTTAATTTATTAGGATTTTAAACATGTCAATTCCAAGTGGTAAGAATAGTTTTCAATTTTAGTTGACTTGATTAACTCACACTACACTTATTTTTTTTATGAAAATTAGGTATCTACACAAGTGTGAAGCTACTAACAAATAACTCATGAACATCTTTAATGTCAAATAATCTGAATATATTTCCAAACATATTAAGTAGTGATATTTTCAAATTAAGAATATAAAAAATTATTTTTGACTGCATTAAGTATTCATAAAAAAAGAAAAAAGAACACTTAAAGAAACGAGTTAATTTTTGTAGTAAGAATGAAGACGAGAACGCTGCCTTATATTATATGAATTAACTGTATACTTTTTTTAACCCTATAAAATGGCTATTTTCATTTTTTTCAAAAATAACAAGTTATTTTTTAAATTTTATTCCAAAACACACAAATTGTAGTCCTTATCCATATAAGTTATATTAAAAAAAAAAAAAAATTTATCTAGGTGTTTTTATTATCTCGAGAGATATTACAATAGATATATCTTCGTGAAACACTCTGTATTGTATACATAGTATTCAGTCGTAAGCCCCATTTACATATCACTTTTAGGAGTAAAATATCAGGATCTAAAATATGGTGACAAATTATAGCCTATGGGCCGCAAAAACCTTAATCTGGCCTTGATGGAAAGCTAAAATGAAACAGCTTCTTGGTGTGCGTTGAAATTCAAATTTTCTAAAATGTTCCTCATCTCGAATTTCTACCACTAGGGGAAATTAATCCTCAGAGACTGCCTTCCAAATTCCAATTTACAACTTACTTTCATATGCTTTTAAAATACCTGATACAGCTCTATCGGATATTTTATTTATTTTTTTTTTAAATTTTCTTTTAATCGATGAAAAATCTTAAATCCATGGCTCGTCAAAAAAAAAGAACTAAACGGTTATTATTATTCATACAATCAATTTGGTTTCCACGGTGTGTAAACAATATTTATTGTTTGAAATTGATTCGATGAAAATTTAAGTTCTACTATTCTTGTTTTTGAGTACATATCATTTCATAAGCTTGTTATTATTATAACTTATCAACAGTTTTTTTTATGGACGTTTTTCCGAGTTGTACGCCATGAATTCTCGACAATTTTCTTCTCAGAACTGGTACTTGGACGATCGAACAGGATGTTTTGAGAAATACACACCGGAATTCGGTGATGTTATAGAAATTATAAATGAAAAGAACGACGCGGATTCAACGAACTCGAGATATATAGTATCTACTACCGCCGCCACTGAAGATGACAGTAAACATCGACAACTAGAAACTATCGATCGAGTAGAAGTAGTCTGTGCGGATTCGCAGTCACGTGTTGTAAATGAAAAGGACCACGACGATTTATTCGAAAAATCTATAACTACTCAAGCACGCGATGCAGTGGCGTTAAAAGACGAAATTCGTACGATCATCGACACAAACGACGAGGTTTTCGACCACGAAATAATAAATGACTTGACCTCGGCTTTTCTAACCAACGGTTTTCTGTTCAATTTCGATCGACTATGCAATACCACTCAGTCCAAGTCGATCGAAAATCTAATAGTCACACTCGTCGACAAGTTTGACAATACCAAACACAATATAGCATATCTTTCGAGTTGTTTGGTGTGTGTATTCCGCAACATTGCGAAAAAATGTTCGTTCCCGGCCGTAGAAATGAAATTCAAGTTGACCGTGTTTATTGACGTTGTGCGAAGATATATAAACCGCATCGATAACGAGATGTGGAAAAGTTGGTTTTTATGCGACATGTTTTTGGATTGGTTTTTCATCGTGGCCAGCGTCTTTATTCCGACGGAAAACTTTATACGAGTAGAAGAGCAAAGCCTAATCGACAACGCGACCGAGTATTTTGGAAAGGTTAAGAATTACCGATACGTATATTTCGGTCACAGTGCGGTTACAAAAAAGCTGCCCAAGCCGACGGACGGTATTTTCGAACTGACAAAAAGTGATTTTGGCGTTGTGAAAGTCATGGATTTAGAAGAGAGTAAACGTGTTCAATATGAACGGCGTCGAAAACAACATAAAACGCAAAAGAGGAAACACGAAGAAAATCCCGGAGTCGAAGTAGGAAAAATAAAAAAACGTCGTAGAAGAAGTGTCAACCATAGATCAATTGCACATAGATACTGAATGTATTGTGTAAACATAGATATTGGACATTATTTCAAATATCGTCGGTGATAGATGAAAAAATGTTCGAGTTTATTGGTTGATTTTTATCGTTATTGCGGTCAACGCCAAGACGTAAAAAAAAATTATGACTTTAAATATCTATTTAAAAGACACATAAGCATTTACCGTAAAACTATATTGTTTTTTTTTTTTTTTTCAAAAGTTATAAAAATGGTTAATGTGTCGTTTTATTAATTTCGTCACATTAACCTGAGTTACATAGGTACTTTTTTTTTTTTTGTTATTCACCTATTTAATTTTTCAATTTGTATGATGAAAATAAAATATATTAATTTTGTACTATTTCTAACACAACGTATCGTATAATTGTTTTTTTGTTTATCTGCGGGGAAATCGTTTTTCTTATCGCGTAACTTGCGGATGAAGTCTACACACTGTCTCGGACACTTATCACGTCTGTATCGCACCATTCTTTTTTCACTAGGATATGCGCTTTTTTGTGTCTATAAACAACTTTTTTTTATCAAAAATCACACTTCAATCAAAAATCTACAAGAGAGGATTTTTGTGTCATTTTTGATTTAGTTGGTGTATCAATGAGCTTATTTCAGTGCATTTTTGGGAAAATACGGGAAAATTTACGATAATAACGGATTCATTAATTTCGATTTTTTGTTTTATTATTCGAGTAAAAATAAGACCAAAAATTTGTATGAAAACCTTTTATTAGATCTTCGAATAGCTTAGTAACATGTTCACCAAAACATTCTTGAGATTTTGATCTATTTATTGGCACTTGAAACTGTCGGAGTTTTTTATTTTTTATCTAGTTTTATAGGTATACATTATTTTTAGCCCAGCAAAAATGTTTGAAAATTTAACAAGAGATTCGTAAAATTTTGTAATTTTTAAGCATGTGTCAAGTTCGAATTTTAACGAAAATCGTAAAAATGACGACAGTTCAAAATGTATTTAACGATAGACGTGTCTACGGTGGCAGCCTAGGGTGCCTGTGCTATCCCTGCAATTTTCGAATTTACAACTTTAATTTTTAAAAAAAAAAAATGTAATTATGCATCGTTTATAACAAAATGTTATTTTCTATCAGTCTATCATTTTTATTATACTATATATTAACACATCATATATTTTGTTAATTACTTAATTTTATGGCGGTATAATCCAGGCCTGTACATGAATAATATGTCCGTAGTTAAATTTAACGGTACTGAAAATACTGTACATTATTAATTGTAAAAAAAGATTATACAGACTTTTGAATTATATAATATAAAAAAAAAATATATAAATATTTAATTAGTGGGGGTGGGGTGGTGGTGGTTGGGGGGTGGGTTTACCTCTATATATTTAAAGGGGATTTTTCGGTTCACCGAGCGGCGCCGATTATTAGCTAGGCCGCCGCTGCGGATGAGGTCTAGTCGCGCCCGTGTATTTAACCCGGACTTCGCTTAGAACCGTTTTTCATTAGCCAGTGACCAATATTCCGACAGTCGTTCGCGGTTTGGCGCAATCAATTCGTTTTACTAGTTTCAAAATTAAATCGGCAAACAAATAAAATCGCTGGTTTTCCGGTTTGTCCGGAATCAACGGCGATTCGGAAAAGGAATACCAGAAAATTGGCATAAACGCCGACGCGCGTCTTGCATCGAAATATAAGAAAAAAAAAAAAAAAATATATATATTTGTTTTAGTTCTTGCAAAATATTATATAATATATAACGTATATATATATATATATATAAATTAGGTACGACCATACATTACGGCGAACACGCGTTTTTAATAGGCCGGCTGTTGCTTCATTCTTTTGAGCACGCCGAAATAACTCACCACGCTGGCTACAATGCTGAACGAGGCCATAATTATCATATCGGAATTGAACTCTTCGATTATGTAACCGTATTTGTTCAAAACCGCCTTGCCGCTGTCCAGACAATTATCGGGGTCCACGCACGCTACAAACACACGATATCTCGATTAGAGCGATTTATCACAATAAATAAACTACGGCCGATTTCAATGTCGGTGAAATCGGCCGGTTCGTTTTGCACTTACGCAGCGATTCGATGTTCTCCCAAAACTGTATCGAAACCGTCTCGCAGCCGAGGAAAAACAGCGACAAGTGCCTCAGGAAGTATATCGTTTTCGGCAGTGATCTATAACACAATACGGAAAACACGGGACGTTGAATGTACCGGATAGGTATCAATTTATAATACGATTCGCACTGACGCGGGTTTGAACGTTTTCGCTAAGGAATTCGGTTTAGAGCCGTTCACTTCTCGACGTCTGTTTAATTATGTGTTTTTTTTGTATTTTTTTGTATTTTACGTACGCATGTAGCTTTTATTTACGAGGCAATTGACGGGCTAATTAATTTAAAAACAAAAAAAATTAATTTTAAAATACCATTCAAGAAACAATCCTCCCTTTTCCGCACACCCAGTGCTCTAGTGATTTAATTGCTTTTAGTCCGGAGTATCGACTTTTCATCCACTGTAGTAACGCATTAAACTTTGATTTTTGTTTTGACTCTGACCAAAATAATGTAACAAATATTTCTCAAACTATTATGATAAATTGCAACTTATAATGTTTGTATGATAATAAGTATTAAGCACGTATTACTTAAATAATTTTATCAGTCTATTTCATTATCACTTTGAGGGTGTCAAACTTAAATAAATAAATATTATAACTGGCTGTCAGTACGTGGATTTTTTTTTTTTTTTTAATAATAATTTTGCTTACTTGAACGACAGGTAAGCGCCGCTCAGGGGCAGCGCTACAAAATCGTTTATCGTGGCGAATATGACGGTGTGCTCCACCCGGGTAAAAAGCGCCGACAATAAACTCCCTGTAAAAACGTAGTAAATAGTTACAAAAAGTAAAAGCACACAAAAACACAATAATCAATAGTAAATTGTTGAGATCGGTGACGAAATATTTACGAGGGTAGAGGACTGATATTTTTATAACGGTAGACTCGGAGACACTCGTCGTTTAGTTTTAAATTCTGATGGAAGTGAGGAATTTATGTATTGGTATTACAATGATGTTTATACATTTTTTATATACATACTGTTTACAAAATTTCTCCCAGAATTCTTAATCCAATCAAAACAGACAAAACCTATTTCGTTGAGTTTTGACTCAAGTTGGTACTTGAGAGAAGTAATTTTTTAAAATTTTCGTTAATATTCGAGACAATGGGGAAAAACTGGTTCTTTAAGGTAAAAAATATTGAACGATTAAAAATAAGATCATTATTGAAAACCGTTTTTATTTATTTTTTGTTACTATCAAGTTTTTAATATTTTAATCCTTTAATCTTTTTTAAACAATCATCGTTTTTGTCGTGAAAACGTTAAATTGTTAAAAAAGAATTACCGAGCTCCACTCAGAATCGTTTTTCGTCAGCAATGATTAATCTATGCGTTCAGATTTACATTGAATTTCGCTTCTACTTTCCCAACTTTTCATCTACAACAGTGTCCCACCATCGTGCGAAGAATGTCCATTTATTTTAGATTCGGAGCGTGGCGAGGGATCGATTGGTTTCACCATAACGTGTGTTTTTTTTAATTTTTTGTTTGTAAACAACTTTTTGGAAAGAAATCTTGCTCCAATGTATAAAAGAAAGAAAACGTTGTTTATATTTGGTGCATTAAAGAGGACATTTCTTGATTTTCCAAGGAGTTTTTAAAATAATTGGGAAAAACCCGAGAGAAAATTATAGGCAAACGGTGAATATTTATTTACGGCGCTAACGATTTCATTGTTTTTAATTTTTGCAACTTATGTTAAATATGTTTTCTACTAGAAATGTTGATCCAATCGAAAAATAACAAGAGATAATTTTTGTTGCATTTTTAATCTTATTGGTGACAAAGATCATTATTGGTTTTTGTTTTGTTTTGAATTCTTTTAGTAAATGAACAAAACTGAAAAATACGTAGAAAAAACCGGAAAATTGGCAAAAATAATGCTTTTAATATTTTTAATTTTGAGAGAAAACTTATATTTGGTTGTTTTAGACGTGGTAAAATAACCTAACTGTATTACGCGATAACATTGGTTTTCACACGGATTAGAAGAATGTAAAACGGCTGTTTCTTAGAAACTATTCATCAGATATAAACGTACGATACGTTCAAATTTTCAGAATGACTGTCCTAAAATGTTTTTAAAATAATAAAATAAAGTAATTATAAATATATTAATATATAAAAAATATACATATATATAACTCAAATATAAATACTTGTAGTCCTAGTCCCTGCGAGTAATATAAAAAAAAAAAAAAAAAAAAAAAAAAAAAAAACAGAAATTGATTATCTTCATGATCTCCGAAGATAATCAAGGGGTATATCTGTGTGGGACAGCCTGTATACTGACAACTATGTTGGTTGTGTTTTTGAAAAAAAAAAATATTAGCCCACTTCGCCATTTCATGGATTCCTTTATTCGCGCATGGGCAGCATAGCAAAATTATACGCTATTTTAACATAAATTATAAAATGTAGGTTGAAATTAAAGTTTAAACAGGGATTACAAAATGGTTTTAGAAAATTTTCCCGTTACTAACACTGAAACAATAAACGCGGGCGACAAGGTCCACTTATAAGACTTAACTAACAAACAAATGTTTACAAAACAATAATGATGTGATGTGTTCGCGAATTATTTGATAATATTACACATAGCAACCTTCAATATTTTATTAAAGTTAAGAATATAGAATAACGATAACAGTTCAAAATCTATTCGATAACTAAATACGCCACTGCTCGGGAAAACTTTAATATAACATTCACGAGTAAAAACTTCTCTGCTGGAAATTCTACAACAATCATTTTGTTTGCTTTTGTTTTTAATGAAAATCATGGGCCATCAAACTATAATATTACTGCGAATTGTTCAATATCAATAAATTACCATACGAATACGCTGAAACGGCCAATATGAAAAACAAAAACAGTTGCTTTTGGCCCCAATCAGCTCCGACAATCGTGAAGGCGATAATGCAATATGCCAGCATTTTTATCATTATCCAAACGATCTAAATAATCAAAATAATATAAATCATTATCAATATCAAATATACCTAACGCTCAATTACCATTATCATTAATTCGGACATGTAGTACACGCTCAACGGGTATACTTTGTTGTGTACTTCTCGATGAACGATAGCGAATTTCTGTTGATACATCGCGATGGCCGAATAACTAAAGTGAAACACAAAATTAATGACGAATATCAACCAAAATCCTTCCCAATTTTGTACCGCTTTCGTGTCGAACTGTAGGTTTGCAAAAGGAGACGAAATAATAATGCCTAAAAACTAATACAAAAATTGAATTAGTTTACCAATGAATACATTTTAACTTACAGCGCAGATAAAAATAAATTACACTCAACTTTTTTTTTTTAACCACTAACTTAAGTACAACTTTATTGTATCGGATATCAATCGAGCAATTTTATATGGCACCCAAGGTTTTATTCACGCACGTGGAAAATGTACGTTATAAAGTGTACGTAAAATATCCATGTACTTTACAAATTTTATGATAAATATTGGGACTTTAAACAGTTATAAAAAAATTAACCTTGAATGAACGTTCAATATTTGTTTTATTATCATACGACTCATACGAATAATTTATAGGAACCCTAAATCTAATTGGTCAATACACCAACTAGACAAAATATACTACCATGTATCAATCCTAAAGTTAAAATGATTGTAGCAATTAGTCGAATAGTTGTTTACAGCCAAATAATAATAAAACAAACAATAAAAATTGGAAATTTACTTGGGACACCTTATCTATTGCTTTTGCGAATTTGATCATATTAGGATAGAATTTTTTTTTTTTTTTTAAACGTGTATTTACATTTTAAAGCAACAATTATTTATACGGTTTAATACGTCATTGTATAGAAATTACCATTATGGTGCACAATTCCAGTAATTGAGTTTGATAATTTCTCAGGAAACATTTGGTAGATCTGTCTAAAATCAGTGTAAACTGTGTCGTCCATTTTGGATGTTGTCTAAAATGAACACAATAACGCACAACATTTATTAGTATAAACAAAAACTGTAAATAATTTCATACGGAGTGATCACTCATAAGACACTCATTATCTCGAGAGTGTTAACTAACGGATCGACGGAAATCAGAAATGCCATCTTAAAAATTTATTTTAACTAATACTCCGTCTATTTATGGACTTTTTAATATAGGTTGCCATTTGAAAATGAAAAGCAGATAGCGGTTTTAGCCCCAAAAATAAGGGTGAAAAAAAAAATAACATAAATATAAAATTTTAGAACAGCTTGTTTCTTAAATATTCTAGAAAACAAATTCCGGAATAAGTTAATACTTTCCGAGATAACGAGTGTCTTACGATAGACTGATCACTCTGTATAACGACATTGAGTTCCTCAAAATATACAAAGTCGCACTCACTTTTGTAAATATTGCGTATAGTCTAATTGTTTCTGAAAATGTAGTAAAAAAAATTCAATATGTTTATGAATATAAATATATGTATTTTTGAACTTTTATAGGTGTATATAATTTCAATACAAAACCAATTTAGAAATGATTGTTGATTACTTGATTATTGAACGTGTCGTAGTTGAGATCCGTTTGTTGGTCGGTCGAGGACAACTTGCACATTTCTTCCACGTCCCTTTTGACGGTCTCCTTCTCGGAGTTCAGAATGGAAATCACGTAGTCGGCTTCGTTGAACATGTTCGGACATTCGTAACTGAACCTAAACGGTAAACGATAAAATTGATGGTAGGTAAAAAAACCACCGTTGTGCGTGGTGATTAACCTAAACATCACATATATGACGGCGGATCTCTATCACCGTTTCGAAAAAATTCCTTTAAGAACGCCACTCAAAAAATTTTTTAATTAGAAAAATTCGTTCCGATCGTAAAGAATCATTGGAACTTGATTAAGAATTATATAAGCATAACATATTCATGTACATGCATATGGCTATAGCAGTTAACGATTTCGGGATTTCAAGTTCGTATGTTTTGGTTTTAAAGTTCGTGTCTATAACGCATATAATATGCTTGCATATTTAACGACTTTGTAATAGCATAAATTCTCTATCTATCAACTGCGGACTGCAGCCACATTTTTCGTTATACCCGCCTACTATAGGTGACAATAAGGGACTCGGCTGGTATCAGCTGGTAGCCAGTCGTTGGTCCCGATCAGTCTACGTCAGTAGTGATGGCATGACTGATGTCAAATTTATCGGGGTGCAGGGGCGGCGTGAAGTTTTTTTCTGTGCATGAAGAATTGAAGAAGTTTCAGTAAAATTGTAAACGCCTCAAACAGCCCAAGCCCAGAAGAACCGGGTGCTGTGCCTAACTGAGGTTCAAATGTACGTCCCCGCGCTTCACCTTTTCCGTAAACATGTATGACGATAATGCGCTACGCGCCGTTACCCATCCGCCCGCCTGATGCGCGGTCATGGAATAGCTGCCACACGGGATACCCGTTCACGTCACCACTAACGCGGTGTGAACCGTTCGTTTACGCACTTTTGAAACAGCCGGTTAACCGAGGTGACGGGTCCCTGGTACGCGAGCCGCCCTTCCGTGAGCAGGATGACGTCGTCGAATTTGCCGAACACGCCGGACGCGGGCTGGTGGATCGTGCACACGACGATCTTGCCCGTTCGCGCGACGCTCTTCAGGGTGTTGACGATGTGCGCGGCCGAATAACTGTCCAGGCCGGTGGTGATCTCGTCGCAGAACAGTATGGGCGGGTCGTTCAGCAGCTGGACGGCCANCGCCCGACAAAAACAATATCCTCGTGTCCGCGAACTTGCCCATGCCCAACGAAGTCACTATGTGGTCGACGTGCTCGATCAGATCCGCTTCGGTCGTGTCGCGGTCCATTTTCAATTTGGCCTTTACCAGAAAAGTAAAAAAAAAATACATTAACAAATCACGTTTAATCCAACGCCTATTTCGAATGTCGTAGGAATCGAAATAAAACGTTTAAACAAAGTAGATAAACGAAAAATGTATACACAAAAAGTAAAACAAATAAATGAACCCGATACGTCGCCCGGAGTATTATGACAAGTGTATTATGCGACCGCTTTTTTCGAATTAAAAATTCGCCATCAGGTATATCACAGTCAACGTGTAAAACACCGTTGTTTTATTATTGTTGCACATTTTTTATGTATACATTTATTTACGAGTATCAACCGTTTGAATAATTTCGTTTTTACTTTATTATTTTATTGGACATTTTCAAACCAAACGTTACCATTTTGAAAAGTTTACAATTTGCTCCAGAGTACATTTTTCTTTGAACTTTAAACTCGGATACATTTTTAACTGTATACCACGTTGTTACGTGACTTTTATTTGTTTTAAAGACTCGAAATTTGCGTTACAATTGCGAATAGGCGGCAACACTCAGTTTCATACTAGGAGATGACGTAAACAAACGCTTTTAACGAACTATTGGACAGAAGATTCAATTCAGAAAACGGATAACCGTTAAGGCCATCAACGGATTATTTCGAGGACGTTTTTTTCTGGAGGTAAAACCACTAGCCACTTTTGATTTTCAAACGGCGACCAATATTAAAAACTCCATATATAGACGGAGTATTAATACAAATGAATTTCAGTGTTGAAGTTTTTGATTTCCGTCGATCCGTTAATGAGATAATCCGCTTTTATGTTTGGGTTGGAGGAGAGTAGTAGAGTATCATTTGTGTGGCGATACGGCGCGCGGCGTGTTAATAATGCACCGCTAGATGGAGTATATTAACTAACACTCCATCTACGTATGGAATTATTAATATAGGTTGCCGTTTAAAAATCAAAAGTCGGTAGTGGTTTTACCCCCAAAAATAAGATTGACGAAAAATGACATAAATATAAGACTGTAGAGCCGCTGGTTTCTTAAATGTTCTAAAAAACGAATTCCGAAAGAAGTTAATACTTTCCGAGATAATGAGTGTACCCGCTTATTAAATGGATCACACGGTATTACCCGCGGACCAACAACTCTGTTAAAGGATAGAATAATGATTTAAGACCCGGGTACTTTACACGCTTCTCATCCGACAATATGAAAATATTACAATATACAGATTGAAAAAGAAAAATAGTTACAGATACGGTCGCAGGCGGAGGACAGCGGCTAATTGCGGGAAATGTAACAGGTGATGGTGCTGAACGCAAATGCAAAGACCGCACAACGCGAAATTTAAAAATACGCGACGACTATATGGAAAAAAAAAAAAAGCTGTCTCCTAGGATAACGAAGACGGCGTTGCTTTTTCAACAATAAGTATGCCACGTGGTAAAATAATTATACATATACATTAAACATTTTCTTTAATAATATTGTACCTGTTTTCCTGTTTTTGTTATCGAAACCCCTGAGAAAATCATAAAAACGGCCGTTTTAAAGTACCATCCCAGGCGTCGGTCGCGAGAGAGAGAGAGAGAGAAGAAAAAGAAAAATAGAAAAAAATTGATTTGTACCATCAGAGACAAGTGCTCCAAAGCCGTCAGTTGATCGAAGCTGATGTCGTGTTGCGGAACGAAACCGGATATTTTTATCATCACCTCCTCGGACACCGGCCGCCCGTTGAGCAACAGTTCGCCTTCGAAGTTTCCTGCGCGACAAAACGTGCCGACCGTCCGATCAATCAATACACAACTCGTCGCGAGTCTACAACAAAAACACACGTACCTTTCGTCCGGTGGCTGATGGTGGACATCAACGTCGTTTTCCCCGAGCCGCTAAAATGAACAGATAACAATTATTCGAACAAAACGCGTAATGGCCAATTGAATATTAGATATTGTTTGATTGAATGAAATACCGACCTCGGGCCCATTATCCCCAGAAGACTTCCGCATTGCACGTTTCCGCTGACTAGAACAGAACGCAATGTTAGAAGGGCAAAAATTAACAATAACAACGGTAAAACACTTTCAGACACCGGGCGCAACGGTCGACGCGCGAGGTTTTATTTATCCGTCTGTGTTTTCGCGTTCCGCCGGACACCTTGCGCTCCAATCAAAGAACAACGACCGACAAAAGAGCGTTGCTCTGAAGCATCGCGTGCCTACTATTCGGCGCGTTTACGGGGTTAGGTTATCGACTTCCCGGGCAGTTTTCGTAACGCCCCGGGGACGGAACGGGTACCGGGGAACATGTTTGCGGCAATAAAAGTCTCGATATATTTACGATTTTACCGTTTCGTTTCACCGTCGTCAGTGGAAATAAAACCGTTTCGGACCGGCGAAATCGCTCGGAAATTTCGCGCGGAGCCGACCGCGCGTAGTGGCCGCGAAAAGCGTACAATCAACACGCACCCGGTAACTGTCGCGCGTTTATCGAACCCCGTGAATATTCGAAATCACTCGGTCGGCACTGTCCGCCGCGCTCCAATTAAAAACGACGTCGCGATATCGCGATGAAACTCGTTGCGGCCACGTTCGCGGAGCCGTTTATCGGGGGGAGGGGCGCAGTAAAATTTCCCGGAAAACCGTCGGAATCCAGAACGCGAAACGGCCGGAACGTACGACATTTATTAAACGGCCGCGGATACGGGGTTTTTTCGACTAGCGATGATGCCGGGACAGTGTCACGTTACTCGATTAATCCGGTATCGCGTTACCAATCGCGTTACGGGCGTTACGGACCGACGGTTATTTCCGATATGGGATTCAGGCGCGGGCGGGCGGGCGCACGAAGCGACGCATTTACTCGAACGGTTCTCGGGCCGATACCGATACTAAAAAGCCGATAAACAACGGCGTAATACTGTCGTGTCCGAGGCGAACGAATGGGCGCTCCGGCGTTTTTGCGGACGGAGGGGATGGGGCGACTCGCGGCTGGTGGATCGGCGCGCAGTAACCGAACGACGTTTATTTGCTGTACGACAAATGACATGTCATATCGGACGGCGAATAGCGATTCTGAGCGGCGCGTTTTTTGCCGGTGCGCACCGGCCAATCGGATCGTGAACGCCCCGGGACAGCGGTTCCGGTGCACGATCGGTGATCGGCGGAGAAGATTTCTCGTGAAAAAAGTTACCGGCTAACTGTAGATATACCACAGATAGGTAGGTAGGTAGGCGGGTATATTATGCCGGCGAGCGTTTGATTCGACGAGAAAAAAAAAAAAAACCTGTTTACTAATGACCGATGATACCGTGTACATTCCCCGTTCGTGACATTCGTCCTACTTGTGCAACGGTATTAGATAAGAAAATACAAATACCTAGGTAGTTTATTGTTTTTGTTTTTTTTTTCCCGTCGTTTCGCGCGATATTTCCTCGAGATTGCCGCACGTGCGTATTACAGGCGGCGCACGAATCACACGCACGGGATCGCGGACGAGAGGCGCGCGGCAATGTTGTAAAACGCGAAAAATTGAAATTTTATCAGACAACGGGTTGGCGGGACGGACGGGCGGTGGAGCGGGAACGCCGCCGGCGGATTACAACCGCGCGCAAATAACACCGTACGAATTAGGCATGATGAACACGCGGGGTACCGACCGTTGTACAGTATCTGCTTGTGCGAGACTGTGGACGGCGCGAAAAACTTCTGGGTGACCGTTTTCACCGTGACGTTCAGCCTTTTCCACGACAACACCAATTGTCCGTGCGCGTACTTGACGGGCTCCTGCGGGTCCGCGTCCCCCGTGCCGTCCCAGTCGTTCCACATCTCGTTGTACCGCAAGTCCAACATTTTGGGCTGGGGGGAAAAAAAAAGGCCAAAGTTAGCGGACGGCGGTCAGTGTTTATCGGGCGGGTCTACGGGAAAATACCTTGCGAAGTTCCATGCCAAACATGGTGGCGGCGGCGGCGGCGGCGGCGGTCGATAGATACGCAGTCGGTTGAAATGACGCGCCTGGCGTACCGGTCGTCTCTGCGGGTCAACTGCTGAACCGCGGCCGCCGGTCGCACGCTCTCTCGCCGCCGCCGCCGCAGCCGCCGCCGCCACCGCCGTCGCCGTCGCCGTCGTACACTAGACCGGACCGCATTTTCGATTGTCGCACATCACGCAACGCGAAACCGGTTTAGAGGTCGCGCGTCGCGGAGCAGATAAACCCAAGCACGCAGGAAACACATTTTGGATTCCGAACGGAGCGACGAACCGCATTGGTTTTAAAAAAAAAAAAAAATGTTTATGTTTTTCGTTTTGTTTTTTTTTACTTTACGCGGTTTTATAATAATTGGAAAAACCCGGAAAATACGTAAAAGAAAACCGGACAAGCGTACGGCGTTACCATTACATGATTTTAAATGTGTGCGATTTACATTTTCTACCAGAAATCTTGCTCCGATCGAAAAAACAACAAGATTAGATTAGACCGTATTTGTTCGGTGGTTATCATTTGCGCACCGTCCGTTCACAATAGGTATGTAGAAAAAAAAAACCCAATACAAAAACATTAAAAAACACAATGCCGCATGCGATTTATTACAACGAAAATCGTCTCAATCTAATCTCACCTAAAATAGTTAAAAATACGTCGTTCGGGGGGCGTGTTGTAATGAACCGTATGTATATATAATTTTTAAAAATGATTACAGCTTTTCCGCGGTTTGAATTTACGAATTTTAACATTTTTAACATTCAACACGAACCTCGCCGTTTCACAGTCAAACAACGACTCTTAATAGTCACATCGCCCGGATGTATCCAGAATGATATCATTTGATAATATCGGGTTGGATTGGGCCGTTGTTATAATTGAATTTCGTTCAGAGTCGCATTTCGTTAACGACGGTTTGTCGTCGCTTACATTTATAAATTAAACAACTTTATGAACCCAGCATAGGTATGGCAAAATGGTTCGTCGACACACACCCCCCCCCTGGGATTTTCAACTGTATTATCCGTTATGATGGCACACGATGGCATACAATTTTTAACCGTATAAATGTAAAATATTATGTAATAGTAAATAATAGATATTATAATATTGTAAATTTTAAATACAAAATATTTCAAGAATAAAATGTTTTGCCCCGGGTGGGATTTTATCCTGCTGGCGCGCTTGTGTATCCTACCTACAACGGCGGCACACCAACCGCAGTATTAATTCTTTTAAATTTTGTTGTTTTTTTTTTTTTTTTCGATCACGGGGAAATCACGCGCTCATATTTTTCATAACCACACGTAACGACCGTAGGTGTCTGTATACCAGATACCTACGTTATAGTCTGTACAGGTACTGGTTATCACCAATATGCGATTCCGGCAATACATTATTAAGAGGGGGCCGAAAATATTGACACTCGGTAATATTATATTATTACGGTGGAAATATGTCCGTTATTCCAACAAGTTTTTATGCCGATTGCTGTGAAAACCACTTGGAAAATCGAAAAATGACCGCCTCGTAGCCACCAACTAGATCCGAAACGTAACTAAAATGTTCCTTGACAGAAAAACGTTTTGCAATAATTCTGCTGTGAAACACAGCATGCGGTTTTTACAGTCGAATATTACGGTTTTCGAAAACCGTAGAAAACGCGGCGTCTAATCCCCTCATTATTGCCTTTTTTTTTTTTTTTCATTCTTAAATAATGTGAACAAATGTCTACGTATAGGTCTTAAATTTAAAAAAAAAAACTTCCTCACGAAGATATCTTTCGCCGCTGATCCCTCCACCGCCGAAGAAAAAACAAAAAAAATTATATGTACACAGCCGAGAAAAAGTTACGATCTTTGTGCAGTAGCGCGTATCGGCACTATCTTTGAAAAGTCAGGTTTTTTGGATAAACGGCCCGTGAATTTAACAGTGTTTCAATGGTGTGAATAGTTCTATGTATTCATATTTATATTGATTCGCATAAAAAAAAAAAAAAAAGACCGGCCGGGGTACCGAGAATTTCCCACTGGGCCCTTCTCATACAGGCTCTTGATTCATACACGTTCACCAACTCCCATTTCGTTAAGTTACCTTTTAGCTTTGGGATTTCTTAGGCAGGTAGGTAGGCTGGCACTTAAATGTTCATGATTTAAGTTTATAAGCGGGTGTTATTTAATAATTTCCCGGGAAAAAATAGAACCCAGTACTTAAATTCCACTTGACCCGATGTCCCACCTTGCTTTTAGAATCCCATTATACGATACCTAGCTCAACCTTAATTCAACTTTATCTCTACCTATGTATTATGCGGATAATACATAGGTATACCCAGATAATATGAAATTTTAAATACTGTTCATAGGTATTGGTATTTTAGAATCGAAAGTCCACCGAGACATAAACTTAACTGGGTGCTTAAATTTGAGAGGCTAGATTCCCTCTGCCATATACTAATTCCTATTTTTTTTTTTTTTTTTTTTTTTTTTTTTTTATCTGAACATATAGTAGAGACATAGGAATGTCATAAATTTACCTAATACTAACGTAATATGTTAATATGTATGGTGTATATTATAATGTATGTTATAATATTATAATATTATGCAAAATGCATTATAAAAAAACTAAAACTGGTTAGTGAATTACATTACAGAATACATTTTTAGTCTACAATCCTGGATAATATTCATTGGATATTTGTTCGGCGTCTAAAACAGTTCTTTCCCCCCTTCCCCCCCCCGAAGTTCTCCTATGTCGGTGGTGGTTTTAAACATTAGAGTGAAAAAACAAGGGCAATGTGTGATATTTTATAGAACAACGATCGAATTGATCGCCCTGTACATACGACATCCAAATTAAAATTTATACAGCATTGCGTAATTAACGTACTGAAGACTCTACCTAGTTTTTTAAAACATGATATTATTATTAATGTATGCGAAATCATAAAATGTAAGTACGCGCGTGTTTTAAAACACGCGGATTTAATTATGTGCCGTTTAGCAACAGCGGCGATGCCTACCTATTATTATAATATTACATATACTCGTACAGGTATATAATTATCGGATATTAAAATTTCAATGGGAACCTGTAGCTCAGCTTCGTTGCGCGGACTTTTTTTTGTTTTTTTTTTTTATTCCGTGGGATTAAGGTAAATCGGTGATGAATTTATAAAATATATAAGATGTGGATACGGTTATAAAAAAAAATCAGGCCTGTTTCGGCAATTTTCTCCGGAAATTTTTTTATTTTTTTTTTTCAAAAATAACCTAAAATCTGTTGGCTATAATATAATCTCGGGAAAGTTTTTACAGGCATGGAGTCGAGTAGGAATTGGGTACTCAGGCAATTGCCCACTTGCGTTTCCGCTGAAGCGGTGGGGAAAAAAAAATCCAAAACGGTTCGTTCGCACTATCGTTCGAATTTTGAAAGACTGGCGGAAAAATAACAACACGAGAAAAAAATTAACGGGTAGGCGCCCGTGGTTTACACAATTCATTCGATGACAATAATAATGTACAGGTACGAGTTTCATGGTCGGCGCCAGATTTTATGACTCGGAGCACAAACATTACGACGCATAGAAGGTTACAACTAATTATATAACAAAATATAGTCTCTTGAAAAAGATCCGTTTCACTACGTGTACCTGTTAATACACGCACCTTCGTCGTTGCATTTATAATAAAACGCAATTTATGGGCACGATTTTTCTTCGTTTTCAATCGTCACGATATCGCGCGTAGGAAACGTTCGTCATAACTCATAATAACAACAATATAGTAAACTCCGCGCAGCCGTTATATCGATACCTACACAAATAAAAAGTATCTAGTCAGACGTACACCTACAGAGTGATTTTCGTATCGCGATCTACCGGTTAAACGTCTTCGAATATTTCGAGTAAATTTGATTTTGGTTTTTTATTCAATCGCTATGTCGATTGATCACACGATAATTTACGGTGTGAGTAACGAATTAATTTTGCTACCGCAGCCTAAGACAGTAGACAACGGGCATATAGAATGCGGGGAGAGCCAGGGCGACTATAGACCGCAAAAACACCTCTATCCACCTGGACATTTCTTACAGCTACCCCTGAAAACTGAGCACGCAGAAAAATGTATTCTCATTATCCTGGTTTTTGTTAAAGTTATTTAATTTAGATTCTGAGCATAACCGAAAAGCTATTGATTAAACAAAAGTTTGTTTGGTTTTTTTTTTTTTTAGTTATAAATAATGGATTGATTTTTGTCATGCAATGTAAATAAATGTATACTTCCGTTGGATAGTTATTCATTAGAAATATTTTTAAAAATGTACTTTTTCAAAAAAATTGTTTTTTCCTTTTCATTGAAAACTATTTTTTGGTTAGACAAATACTGAGATTTTTTCACACATTGCATAAACAAATTCAAAATGTCTGTAAAGTGGTAAGTACTTTCTGACACATTTAGACATTTTCAATAGTTCATCCCGTTCAACCGTTTTGATTTTTTTCTTGAAAAAGGGTAATGTTTTGAAATTCCGTTAAAGTGTGTAATACAAAGATTTTTGGTCTTAAAAAAAGTATAATATATTGTATTCATTTGTTTTTGTTTTTAAAAAATATAACGTATCGATAAAAATGATATTGAATCAATTAATTATTAATATAATATTTTCCTAGATTTATAAAAACTTTAGCAAGTAGCGCTTACAATTCCGATAAGCTCAACATCGTGTAAACGTTCGTTTCGGTAATACGGCGAATAACAACGCCTGAGAAAATCGAAAAATGACCTCTTTAAAGTACCTCCCTAGTGAAATTACCTTTTGGAAACATTGCTGCTATTAAAAGTTGGAGCAAAATTGCTGGTAAAAAAGTGGTCCAAAGTAAAAAAAGAAGGCCGTAATATATTTCAACTAATACCTACATTTATTATATTTTCCCGCTTTTTTCTTTGGTTTTTCAAACTTTATGAGAAAACTTGTGAAAATCGAAAAGAGACAACATATTTATTGTTAAAGGTGTAAAATCAGCGTCGAAGTGTTTTTTTTTTTTTATTTATATTAAATTATTTTTATTTTAAATATTTATCTATATTATTATCCGTATATTGCACACAATTTAAGATGGTTCTCATTTGGGTGATTATATTTAGGTAGAATTTCTTTTTGGACGCCTCCTGACTTTGTTTTAAAAAACAAAGTAAAAATGTTTAGCCCTATTTAAGCTTCCTGGGAAAATTATTTCATCCCATTGTAACGAGGTAAAGTTTCCCCAATTAAAATACATTGGTTTTTTTCGTTTTCTCTGAATTTTGTTTGTATAAGGCATTAAAAATTGACGTAAAATTGTTTTCTTGCATGAAAATTATCGAGAAGTTACTTTATATCGGGGAAAAAGAAAAAAATAAATTTTTCAAGAATTGAATGCCACTTTCTTTCTGTTAATTATGCATAATATAGTGGCATAAAATTCTTGAAAAACTTTTTTTCGTTTTCTTACGGTTCTTATGGTATAGAAATACCACTATAAGTCGTCCGTTGAATATTCTATACGCAGAAGTATGGAACACCACGAATGTCCCCGTTGATAACTAAACGGATCATTATGCGTACCTGCCGGGTTCAACTTTAAGAAGACTCCTTAGGGTGTGGCGATTCTGTATCTAACCGTTGAATTCCGCACGGCGAGTGCCGGCCGCCGAATGGCGACCCGCAGATTTCCATATTATAATACAGATATAATAGATATAATAGATAATATAGATAATATTAGATATCTGCGCGGTGACCACACGTTCGTACTGGGGGCATAAAAATAGAAAATAATTCTATTACACGGTCTCCATGATATTCCGATAACAAATAAATCGTGAAAAATTATCGACAGGTAACTCGGTATAACCAATACGGGCCGTGCGGCTGTGTACCTAACCTACCCATACAAATGCAGTTGCTACGCACGTAATTATGTAACTGCAGGCAGATAGAAAAGCGGCAAACAGGTTTGCAAAATATTTACTGTACGCTATAACGCGTTTTACCCGTACAAAATATATTAACATCGCTCAACAATTAAAACATCGATAAAGAAACCGGTACGCGACTCGGACAGTGTTCTTCAAGTTCGATAATACGTTAATTTAATTCACTATTTGTAAATAACAGTACCGAATGTTCACCGCTGAACGCAAATCGTCATTCCTACCTATACGTCTGTGTAAAACGGAGTTGGAGGAGCGTGCGGGCATCACGTTCTCCTAATAGGCCAGTGACGGAATTAAGGGAGGGGCCCGAGGGGTCTTGCCCTCCCTCCCCCTATCGGCCCAATTTAAGTTTTGTTAATTCAATAGTTTCCGGCAATTTTTTATGAAATATTGTTATCACTGAATTTTGGACTATGGGTCCCCCCCCAAAATTAAATCCCGGATCCGCCGCTATAATAGGTACCTACCAAACAACAATATTTTTCTTAATCCGTGTGTGTAGAAAATAATCGACCATCAACGCAAAAAAACTAACAAAATTTTGTTAAAAATATGATTTTAAACCATAAAAATACAAAAATAATATTAAATAATGAAATACACATTCAATATATTATTATTAAAATAACAAATAATAAAACATCTTCAACATAGTGCAATACTTTATAATATTATGATAAACAAAAACGTGATTGATAATAATATGGCTTTATGTAACCAACAAATTCCACAACGACATAACTGATGCTACAACAAATTCACAATTATTATTATAATTAGCTACAAAATGGCAGTGACAGCCTCTCCAATATCAATATTTTAAGGCACATGGACGAATTTTAATGAGTGGTTTATCTTATACAAATATCTCCATCTTGTTTGTTTTACGTACAATTTTTATTTGACCTGGTGGCACATCTGGTAATCCCAAGTATTTGAAAGCTATGGTTACTGTTTGATCGCCAAAACTTGCATCAAACCTAAATCCAAATAAAAATACTATATTTAATATAAACACAAACTATACAATCTATAACTTGTATAGGGACATAATTAATTGAAATTATAATTTTAAGCAGGATTTAACAATTACCTTGTGGATATGTTTACATCAGGTGGACTGCCAGTCACATTTTGAATGACTAAAAACAGTTTGGTGACAATTTCTATGACGTGACTAGTTTGAAGAACAAAATCTCCTTTTTTCTTGTAGGTACTATCAGAAGGACCAACAACTGCAGGGCCTTGGTGAAATAAACATCCACTTGGTGATGGTGACCATTCTCCACCTAAATCATCTTCGTCTTCGTCAGTACATCTCACATACGCCTAATGAAATATCAGCATATTCAAAAATACAAATAAATACATGATTTATCTTAATTTTTTAATTACTAGTGAATACTTATTCATTTTCAAAACCTACTGATTTTATATGAAAGACTGCAACATTATCTAAAAACGGTGACAACGATAATCGATATATATCCGATGCTGGTACTCTGTATTTCACTTGCAATGTTCTCTGATCTAATATCAACATAGACTTTGTCGATATTACAAGAAGAGTCGGTACAAACTAAATAAAATAACTGGTTTTTAGGGTCCCACAATTAAATTTTAAGAGGATAGTCACAGAATAACTATTACCTTTCCACTACTACGAGTAATTTTATTCACTATATCGGCAAACACTACATGATGATCTTCACATTGCATAGCTGTTTTCTTCCATTGAGTATGTTGTCTTAAACGAACATAATCACCAATAAATGGGTGTGCTACACTTTGATTATAACTTGCTTTGCGGTTTTTAAATATAATGCTGGCGGTAACTTTCTCACGCATACGATTCCTTGACGTTTGATCTAATTTATCTCGATATTTGTGACACTATAATCAAACATTTTACTACTTAATGTAAATTGTTGATAATAATACTGTGAAAACAACAAGCAATAAAAAGAGTCGTAAATAGAAAATAATTTCTTTTATATATTTTAGGGAGTTATATTCACAAGTGGGCCGTATCACAGACAGTATATGTTTCATGTATGAAAAGATGCAAAGTAGTTTGTACCAAGAGGATTTTTATTACAGTAACAAGTTATCTTTTTGTGTTAAAATATATATGATACTTCAACAAGATTTATATTTGAAAAATTAGTTTTTATTACAAGGCAATCAATAGTTTCTCTTTAAAATAATTTAAACTACAATTAATAAACATCAGAAAATAAATATTATTATTATTATTAATTATGCTTAATGTAAAACGCTTCTTTTTATTTATTTATCTTAATCTACCTTAATCTTAAAAAAGAAAGGTAAGATAATGGGGAAGGGTGCAGCCACTGATGTAGGTGGGAAGTTCGGAAGATAGAATATCAACGGGAATTTAATGTATATAAGCAACAATAAACCATTGCTTACGAAAAAAAAAAGGTTTTGAGCGGAGTTCAGTTGATAGTAATACTTTGTCAACAATATATGGTACATGTTATTTTGTAGTAAAATAATTAAATAGGCTTTATACATTTTCTTTTATAAAATGTGTTTAATGTGTTGTACCAATTTTTCCAGTTTTCGTACATTTCTCCCGGTTTTCCTATGTTTTATCCTGGTTTTTCACATTAAGTTGGAAAACTCTTGGTAACATCAAAAAATGACATCTCTAAAGAACCTCTCTAGTGAAATTATCTTTTAGAAACTTTGTTATCATTAAAATTTAAAGCAAAATTGCTGCTTGAAAAGTTGTGCATAAAAAAAGGCCGTAATATATTTTAACTTTTATAATAGCTAATTTATGTAATACCTAAATTTCTTAGGATTTATATTTTCCCATTTTTATTTTTTCATTTTTTCAAATTTGATAAGAAAACTCCAGAGAAATTAAAAAATGACCTCTTTAAAGTACTTTGCCAGTGAAATTTCCTTTTAGATACATTGATGTCATTAAAAGTTGGAGCAAAATTACTGGTAGAAAAGTTGTGCACAGATAAAAAAAAAAAATAAACATCTTTGTGTAACTATAAGCTTCTTTGTTTCACTTAAAATCTAAAAACTGGTTGATACAATTACAATATTTTTTCATTTTTTTAAATTTATCTATTTTAAATTAAAATAAGACTTGTAAGTTATAACAAAATATTCACAAAATTAATATTGAATTATTAAAATTAAAAAATGTATATCATGGATCTTTTATAGTTTTGTAATGTATCTATTATCATGTATCAACATACTTTTTTATCAGTATCTTGCCCAACTATGGTTATATTATAAACATTTTTTTTTTTTTAAGTATTAGTACAAACAAAATTTTATAAATTTACATGTTCAAGCATCAAATTATAAATTTATTAAATATTTTTAAAAACAGAAAAATGAAAATTGGATTAACTGCATTTTATTTTTCCACTTTTTGGGGATTTAATATTATTTAAATATATATCATAATAAGGAACATCAAAATAACATTGAATTCAGCTATTTTTAAGTTTCTCAAAATATTTACTGTAAAATTAATAAAACTTACTCTCCATTTATGGTGTAAAGTCTCTAATAAATAATGAGTGTGCGCAAATCGAGCATTGGACAATGGTATCCAAGCTCTACAAATAGGCGATTCTGTAGCTGTACTTAAGCTCCTTGATAGTTTCATTAAATATTGACGTTTCTGGAAAATAATAATATCAATTAATTAATTAAACAAATGATAAATTAAAAGTAACTATACTAATTAAGTCACACACTACAGTTAAATTTAAAAACTATAACAAAATTATTTATTACCTGCCATGTTAAAAACATTCTAGTGATGCATTTGGCAGCTGAAAGAGTATCGTTTATCCTATGTCATAAAATTACCAAAATATTTATGATGAAAATATTATCAAAATAATTATTAATAAAAACTAATACCTAAAGTTTTGATGTTTTTTTAAAATACCACGAGTACAATTTTGTCGCCTATGCCTGTGCCAAGCTTCTTGCACTAAGGCTGCCAACTGGTTAAGACGTTCTGCCCTTAACTGTTCCAATTCCCACACTGATCGGGGCGATCTTATAAACACTTTAGTTACCCCATACACAAATTCGCCACTTGGTATTGGTAAACACACCACTAATGCCCTTATAGAACGAGCAGTGTTTCCATATCGAGGTCTAGGCCATGTTGCCGGACTGAGCATTTTATAGCGATTGAGAAATTCTTCAAATGTAAGACGATAACAGAAACCAGATCTACGTAACCTAACAATTTCTACAAGACTAAAATCAAAAATATTGTCAGATTTAACAAAATTAAATGCAACTTTAAACAATACCAGGGGTATGTAAATATGAAACCAGAATTTTTTTTACAGAAAATATACGTTTATTGTATGAAATAGATAATAAATATTTTATTCGAAGTATCACCCACTAATAGCTATATATTTCCCCCACTCTGTCTGGTAATTTGTGAATTCCTCGCCAAAAAAACTATTGCTCTTTTGAGATGACTAGGTCATCGAGCCATTTTTGTACATTTTCATAAGAAATGAAGCACTGCTCAGCAAGTGTGTATCCCATTGATGCAAATAAATAATAATCGGATGAAACTAAATCTAGTAAATAAGCCGCATACAAAATTATTCCCCAAATAAATGCCTCGATCATTTCTTTGGCCAGTTTTGCTGTATGATGATGGGGCGTTATCATAAATCAAAATCGCCTTTCTTTTTTAATATTTTGGTAGTTTAAATCTAAAACTATTTATAATCATTTATTGTCGGTAGCGCTAAGTATTAACAGTTTTGCCAGGTTTTAGTACCTCATAATAGGTCATACCCTTCTGATCCCACCAAACACAGGACATTGTCTTCCATCAAAATTTTTCACTGCTCTTCCACATTCTTCATTTCTCACATTAAAATTACTTCATTTAAATTTTTAAACCACTCGAGCATTGTGATTTTTCAAGACCATGCTCACCTTAAGATTCAACAAGCATTCAATGTGATTCTATGCAGTTATATGAAACTTGTATTGTTATAAGTTGAATACCTTTTTTCAGATGTTAATATGTAAATAATGTCAATTATGTGATTTAGAAATAACTACATTGATAGCTAGAGGTATTTATAGGCAAATTCCAATTTCATATTTACATACCTAGTAATTGTGTTTTATATTTAAATTTAATAATTAATTACCTGAACCATCTGACTTGTTGTTGAACAAAAGAAGAATCGAACAAATTTACTTGACAATGACGATTTGGTGATATGCATGTAACATAATGACAACGACGACCAGATAATGTTGCAGTAAATGCCTCTGCCCAAACTCGTAATTGACTTGCTTGATTAGAAACGGTATACGATGATATTCTATCTGGATTTCCTAAATAATAAAAAAATTTATATAAATTGTATTTATTTCAAAAATTTAATAAATTTAATATTTTTATATTACCTTCAGGAAATAATGATTTCAATAATGGATGTGTACTATTATACAAAGTAGAACATAACGCAGAACTCAAATTATTTTTGTTTTTCTCTACAAAAGTATTAATGTTATACTTGATGGGTCCCACAAAATGATTTAACCTATAAAAAAATGAAACATTATTAATTATAAAAATGATATTTTTAAAAAACTATAATGAAATATTAGATGCTTGGTTAAATTTTAAAAAAAATTGAACAGATAGTTTAAATACTTGTAAAATTTCACTCAATCATTCTAGTTTTATACATTTTAAATGGTTATTAATTTGTAAATAATGAATTATCAGTTTAATATTCAATATATATATATATAGGTATATTTAATAAAAAACTATAAAAGATGGGCATACTTCGCACGTGTGTAGGCCACTGTTAAAAATAAGAAGTTGAGAAAGTAGTAGACGGGAAATTTAATGTATATCTGTATGTAATGATTAACCAATTTTAACGAATAAAAACAATTTCAAGTTCGGTTGATAGTGTTACTTTGTCAAAAATATATATATATGTGATATTATGGTAAAATAACTACATATGCATTATATATTTTCTTTAATAAAATTAGTGTAATGTTATACATATTTTCCTACATTTTTTCTCGTGTTTTTCCTATTTATTGGAAAAACTCCTAGAAAAATTAAAACATGACCGCCATTAAAGTACCACCTCAGTAAGATTTTCTATTAGAAAAAGTGATACACTTAAAGATAGAAGCAAAATTACTGGTGGAAAATTTGTCAACGAAAAAATAAACATTATTGTAAAACCAATACATTCCTTGTCTGCTCAAAATCTAATAAAGTAAGAAACTAAAAGTAGACTTTTTTTGAAGTAACTGCATGAGTGTTACTTCAAATGTGTATAATAGAAAACAAAATTGAAAAGAAAATATGAATTTATAATATTATCATACTTACATGAAACAGTCATTTAATGATACTTGTTCTACTGCAGTACTGATTTGTTCTTCGGAAGATGAGGAACTATACTGGCGTTGTAATGCGCAAATTTGTTTAAATACTGATATAGTATTACTGTCCAATATTAAATCATCCATCAAACTTAATAGTCCTCCGTGGGTCTAAAAATAATTAGATTTAAATATCAAATAATATAAGTTAAAATTATACATAATTTGGAGTAGGGGTAAAAAATTAAAAATAGTTTTAAAATAAGGCTTCAACAAATCCATAATGATTAGAAAAGACAGAAATCAAATTGACTTAAAATTATTAGAGATAATTGCTGGTTCATGATGAAAAAAAATCACCCTATACATTAAATGATAAAACAAAAAATATAAAGTCTAAGAATTGATGTATTTAAACTACAAGGATTAATATATGTGAAGGGCACAAAGGAATAAGGGTAGTAATCCATTTATTCAATAATGAGATAATGATACAATATTAAATGACTTTAAAACTATTGAATGTTGAGTTTCATTTGGTAAAAGAAATCTTAATTGGATAACATTGATAGTAAAATATTGTATATATTGGTCAAAAAACAATGTAGTCCATACAACTGAAGAAAAGTTTTACTTTGCTGAACAATTTTCAAAATTAACACTATCCTTCTTTTCCTGTGCTCTCATGTACATTTGTGAAAAGATATTTGATTTTAATACATTTTTAGCATTAGAGAATATTAATACACCCAAATAAATAACTAAAAGTTACAGTTTAAAATTAATATAATATATTTTTATAACACACCTTAAATATTAATTCACAGACTGATGTGTTGTCATAAAACGGAATAAGACACCATTGCACCCTTTCCATTGCATATTCTTGCTGTTCTTCTTTTAGTGTAGCAGTAATTACTAAATTATGAATCTTATCATTACACGAGTTTAACACAAAATTATCCCAATCCATTTGATTATCACAGTAATCAAAACCAAAAGCATCTAAAAATCCTAAATGTCTTCGTTTAAATTTTGCTTCGGCCTTAAAACTCTGATTAAGTCTTGTTATCAGCCATGAAAATAACCTAGTGTACAATGATTGAGCGAGCAAGTCTTTAACGTGCCGGGCTTCTTTAGCTGAAATGCCAGATGATAGAGCTGATGATGTCAAAACTTTTTTTAAACTCTCACCATCAGTGCCTAATAATTCACCCAATTCGTATAATTCTGAAAATAGGTTTAAAACTTATTATACCTACAATACAAAATAGACTATAAAACTACTTTCAGATTATTAGTTTACCATAATTAAAAAAAAAAAGAAAAATACATAATTAAGTTACTGTTATACAACTGAAATACATACCATAGTCATTTGTAATAATACATCCTTCAGTTCCATCAATATTATTAGTTGGTACCATATTCAAATTACCTAATTTCAATATACTGCTAACAATTTTAAAAATATTTGTCATTTCAAATTCACTAAGCCCCAACAATTCAAATCCATACTGAAATATTAATCATTGCAAACATATTTTAATAATAATTATTATACATAATTTTTAATTATTTATTAACAACTTTGGTGAGTTAATTAAAATAAATATTATAGTATGATAATAAAATATTTTTATGATATCATAGGTATGTATAATATTATATAGCAAAAAATTTGAAATAAAGTAATTCAATAATGTATTAATAATAATATTTAATAATTCTAAAAAATAGAAACTATAAAGTATAAATCATTAAAAAAATGATTAAGCAACAAAAAAATGTTTAAATTTTATAATCTATTAAATCATTATGCATTATTTAATTCAATTTATTACTTTTACTGATTGGTATTCTGATTGAAAATGAACAATATCAATTTGTCTAATACGATTACTACACTTTAAATAAACATAATTTTCTGAATTCCTGGTGAGTTTTAATGATTCTGGAAATTATAAATAATGACAAAAATTAATTAGGATAAATTATTAAAAATAAATATTATTCCTAATATTGCAATATAAACTCATGCTTACTTAATAAATGTATATCAGCACCATAAATTAGTTGATAAAATATATGAAAATTTCTATTTAATGCACTCTGCGAAGTTACCCTTGCCTATAAATTAATTAATACATTATAATAAAACCAATATAGAATAATAATTAAATTTATAAAACAGTTTAAAACTCTTATTTAACACAATACAATTTTTTTCTTCTCAATATAATCAAATTTTTTATGGATATATAAACAATTAAAGAATACAACTGCGAATTCATATTTATTTTTTTTTTTTTGAAAATATAACGAATAAAATGATACCTAGTAATTGAATAACTCACTTTATCCAATAAATCTTTTTGCAGCCCAAATACAAGAAAACAATTTTTATTATTTAATATTAAAATAGCCATATAACCATAATTATTGTTACTTACATCCTGTAATTGTAGCACCCAAAATATCCCCTTTAAAATTTAATTCTAGATCAAGATGTTTTATCTGAAACATAATATAATAATGATAATAATATAAAATTATGTAAATTATATAAATTATACATACAAAACGAGAAGCATCACCATGAATATGTGTCCTGGCATTACCAAATGCTAAAATAACAATTACAATCAATTAAAAATAATTTTCAAAAATGATGTATCATAAAATTGTCTGTAATAATCTTACAATTTAATATGCTATTAGCATTCAATAAACGTTGATTGAGCAAATTATTATTATTATTGGTCCCACATAAACAATGCAGCATCATCGATATAGAGTGGCTTTTACCTGAACCCGAAATACCTTGTAAAATAACACATTGATCTTGAGCAGCGTCCACCAACCAGCGAAAAGCCCAACTAGCTATAGCATATCTAAAAAAAATCAAATATCATTATTTATTGTTACTGCATTAACATACTATGTAAGACATATTTTAAAGATGGTTACAGATGTGGCGGTAGATGGCCTGATCTCGGTGACATATACATTCGACATAATGGTATAGAAATTTGATTTATTTCTTTATATGGATTTACAGCAATGAGCATATTTCCCATATAAGTCTAGAAAATCATCGTAAAGTAATTTTAATTAACGAGTTTAAATAATATATATATATTATTTTAAACCCGAACATCTATTTTATCATTTGCTAACCCTGGCACAAGATATTATAAGTATTGATTATTTTAAATTTGAAATCAATAAAATTAATTTGATTTGATTGATTTTACAGTATCAAAACAAAGGAATAAATAATTAACTTATAAATAATTTGACTATACCATGGTTTTAACGAATAATGGTATATGTAACTAATTCTTAGTATAAATAATGATGAATCAATAAGTAATTGTTTAAAAAAAAAATGTATGTCTGTATAAATTATGTTATTGCTGTATATATTTCCTGACCTTGTTGAAAGAAAATATTGTGTAGGTCAGGGTTCTGTAATACAGATTAGTAGTGGTTGGATGAGAATGTTGTATTGTTCATAACTGTAAGAAATGAAGTGGGGAAGAACTAGTTTCACATTAATTTAAGACTTCATGCAACAATGTGTACACAATTTAAACCCACAGGCAACAAAAAACCACAGATTTAAAATGACCATGCAAATATTATGAATTATGATAGACATTAATCAATCAACAATTATTCTTTAACCAAAAATAAATAAAGTAATAATTAAATACTTAATGGTCTAAAATTTAATAAAAATAGCTTTAGACTATAGTATTTTATAACACAATTATATTGGTACAGTATCTAAATAAATACAACAAAAATATGGTGTATAAAATATTTAAATACAAAAATAGTTTCTAAATGTAATTTTTCTAATGTAAAATTAATTTATTTTGTAAAACAGCAATTTAACATTGAACCAAATAAAACTTTTGAACTAATTCAGGTTTCCTCTCACATGCTCATTTTTGGTAATTTTTTTTTTCAAAATGTCTGTTTTAAAGCATTCAATTCAAGTGTTTGTAAAAAATTGTTCACACTTTTATTTGTTTTAGTTATACTGATTTTCAAAAATTGTGATGAATAATAAACATATCAAAAAACTATTAATCTAACTATGTTAAAAAAAATGTAAGAAAGCCTCTAATAAAATTGTGAAAAATAAAAACCAATCGGTTTTCATAAAGTTAAGTAATACAATATAATATATGATTGTTAATTGGTATATTTTATCAATGGAAATGTTTATTTTACTTACATAAATAATATTTGAATCATATCTGCAATTCAGATTTGAGATAAATGTATCTTCTGTCAATGGTTCTAGCAAAACACTATCCCATATCCCGTCTTCATCATTGAGATCCATCAGGAAAGCTGAGTGTTCTAGTATCTGTAAAATCCCAACTGAAAACTTTAACATCATAAAATAATATAATACAGCATAGGCATGAAATATTATGTTATGCTCGTGGCAGGTACTATCTGGTACCATATTGATTGTTCACAACTAATCCACTTATTATTATAAGAACCTGTCAACTATAATACCATCGAGTTATCAATACAGAAAAAAAAATAAGATTGAATTATTTTTATCCTGGTGATACAATATTAGTGTCTAATTTATCATGCTATTAAAATTGTATTACTGTAAAAAAAAAAAATTATAATACACTCAATATTCTGAATAAACTTTATAATATTACCCTATTAATGAATGTAAATGTACAATAAATCTACAATAATATTTGAAAATTTTGCAAAATATACTTTATCTTTCTCAATTCTTTACTGTATGTAATAATATAGATTACAATCTATATTATTATACTGATTTTATGTTATTCTTTAAAGTTAGAATAAAAAGAACCCTTTGTAATTTTATTGACTATAAACATGAAGTCTATCATTCTGAAATAGTCTAAAAACAAATACCTTCCCTGTCTGTTACCCATACTAAAACTTAAATTCCTTTTTATATTTTTTGAAAAAAAAACCTTTATTGTCAATCATACTAATTTTATTTATTTATTCCTACCCAAACTGCACTATAAAATTGTCTGGGTGTGTAGTGTTCAATACACACAGACCCAAGCAACTACATATATTTGAAGGACCCACAGCCATTGAAAAAAAACAGTACCAAAAGTATTGAACAATAAGAAAATATTAGTAGTAACTAGGGCTCAAGACATGATGCACTTAAAATCCATAAAAAAAAAGATAAAAACCGTCAAACAAGGCTTGAAAATACACTTAAAAAAAAAAAAAAAAAAATAATTTTTATGAAAGTTCCCCTCTAATGGCTCTAACTTATAAAATACAATTTTCAAACACTACAAAATTATTAACACAAGTTTTTAAATAAAATTTGAAGTATTATAAAAAAAGAAAATTACATGTATTAGATAATTCAATTGCATTTAATGGTTAAACGTTATGTTGGTTGAAGGTGGAAATTTTAAACTTCTCTGGGCCCTGTTATTTTTGCTTTTTAAATTTTTTTTTTCAGAGCTTTTTTGAAGTTTTTAAGCTGTGTTCTGAGGATTTTTTTTAACCCTAATAGAGTTTACAGCAGATGATTTAATATATATTTTTTTTTTTTAATACTGCTTCGCCTATTACTAATGTAAACCTTGTGACAATATGCGAGAGTCAAAATATTATAATATAAGCATTAAACATATAATTCAAACATGACATGAAATAAATTTTATAAATAGTGATCACTTAATTTAACATAGTATAGACTTATAATTTAATAATTGCTGTGGGCCAAAAAAATGTATAATACAAAAATAAAATAATTGTTTAGTAATACAAAAGTTAAGGTATATACATGGTTGGTTTTTTTTTAAAAATAGTATAACTATTACTTAGTAACCATTTTTTAATTAATAATTTAAAAAGAGCATACTTTTTACAATTCTGTATATATACTGGAAGCTTTTCATATAATTTTATTCCAATTATTAAATAACTGTCTTGAAATTGTACAGTATTAATTTTAATTGAATGCATAAAGTCCAGAGCCCTGGTAATAACAGTGTAGATGAACATAAAATATTTTTAATATACCAACATAAGAAATAAGCGTTTGAAAATCTTTTTTAATACAAATGCCAAAGAGGACACTCCTTGGAAAGCAATACATCCCATTAAAACCTAAAGTCTTAAAAATTTGCACACAAATTAATCTTAGAAGCAGCTCAATATAATAACCGCACAAGAGTTCATTTAATATGTAGTTACAACAGTAGAAATTGATTTCACACCAATCCTATTTACTGACAAAAACAGTTTATTAGTTATATAAATAGCGAATTTTTTTAGAGAAAATTTTAAAATAAAACAAAAAATATCGAAAGCAAAATAGGATACTTAACCCTAAATTAACCTTTTACTAAAAAAATCAAAAAAATGAACTGTCATATTTTAAATTTTTAAATAAAACTGCCTGAAAGACGAGCAAGTATAAATACAATTGTATTTTAAATCTCAACATTGTAACTTTTTTAAAAATGTTACAATTAGTCTTTAATTGTATTATTAAATAAAGCCATCTATCCGACAACAAAATTTGTTTTTTCTGTGTTTAAACTTTATACAGTTTATAATAATTTCTTCCATTTTAAAAGCCTAGAGGGATAGCTATAAGGGGGCAGGTGGACAACTGTCCAAGGGGGTCAAAATTAAGAAATTTTAATTGTAATTTGTATCGTTAAAATATTTCAATATACTACCTATATTATAACTATATAAGTACTAAATTATATTTTTAAGAGCAATTATTACATTTTAAATGGCAAATATTATTAGAATATTAATCGTATATATGTATTTTGAATAGATCCAATATTGATAGCTAGTTTCAATTTCTATTATAGTTTGAATTACGGGAAAAATTTAAAATATATACATATATTATTGAAAATAAGTGGTACATAGTATCTAGGGCACAAAATATAAACAACTTTCTCTGGGAATCTTAAATGCCTAGATATGCCACTGAACGAATCAAAATCATTTTAATAATTAAAACTGTTTTTCCATGTGTATTGGTCTGTTATTTTGAAACCAAAAACAACCGAAAACAATTTCTTAGCCGATTTCCTACAATCAAAATAAAGTATTAAATGCTTTCTGAAATAACAGTATGGATGGGAACAACTAATCAATGTTCACCGCAAAGTTAAAATATAAACAATTAACATTTTTTTCACTTGTAAGCCCATCCTGGTTTAAATTCTGTGTTTGAGAACTAGTGATTATTTTGTGATTTATAATCTATTTAGATTATAAAAAAAAATCAACAGTACGAGTATAAATTATAAATATTTGATAATGATGTGTTAGGTAAACAATAATAATTTAAAAAATTATGCACCTACCAAAATATACTAAGTGGGTTGGTGTATTTTGATATATGGCATAAAGTAGACTATCGAGTCATATAGATAGGTAGGTATAAAGCTTACAAATCTTCAATATTCACGATTGAGGTAACTTTAAGTAGGTGTGCCTTTAAAGGTATTTTAATCCCCAGACACTGTCCAGTAAATTGAATTTTGGTATCATTGAACACATAACGACAGTACAACAGCAGACGCATAAAATATTTACTCAACTACTTAGGTTAGGTTCCTAGGTATACCTACTTTTATGTCAAAAAATTTTCATTCGTGTTTGTAAATCCATGGTGGATAACGTTGTGACGTGTTATAAAATACAAACGATATACACAACAATACATGCGAGACTATAACAAAACAACAGTTATTATTAATTTAAAGAAAACGAAAAAAATTAACAATACTTAAATATAACAGGTATAGGTAGACGAAAGAATTAATGCGAAACGAAATGTTGACATTTTGTTCAAAGCAAAGTGTCACGCATTGATAAAGACGGGCAATGGAATATTACGCGGCTCGGGTGCGCTCACTTGCGAGTGATAAAAAAAAAAAAAGGGCTGATAAAACTAGCAGTGCGAGTAAACGCGCGAGAAATTAATACGAAAATTATACCACTGTGTTATAGGATTGAAATTTAACGCGTTTCGCGGAAAACGTGTACCATAGAACTATTGTAATGTCGTTTCCGTCCGTTCGGGAAAACGAAACGGAACGCAATGACGGATCGGGACGGGCATTCCGTATGTTTTGCCCCGTGAATTCCCGGGCCCGTTGACGCTCCGTCCGGATTAAATCGGTTTATAACAATAATACGTCAACACACGCAACCGCGCGCAGGCGATATTATTATTAGATGATAATAATAATAATAGTATCCGGTCCGGCAGATTTCGCGGAGAAAACAAACGAACCGGGGCGATAAACGGACGACCCGAATTCCGTTTTTGCGCAATTTACCGCGCGATTAATACGCGTTTTTTTTTGTTTTTTTTTTTTGCTTATCAAACGCTATGTCACATGATAACAGCGGCCGCGGTACTCGTACCCGCCGAAACGGGTAACCACGCGGCGGGTAATCGGGTGTGATTGCGGACGAGCGTGAACGCGCTAATGCGCGGCGCTACCGCTGGTCCGCGACAACAACGTGCCCGATTATTGTGCGCGGCCCGTCCGCGATCCGCGAGAACATCGTTGCGGACAACGATAACACTACCTGCGCACCGCGGGCGCGTTCACCCGCCGACAACCGCGTGCCCGCGGTACGCCCGGTAGCATGCGGGTACCCCGCGCGCCCGGGCGGGAACATCCGAGACACACGCGATATCGTTATTATCAGAGGGGGTTGTATTTATTTTTTTTTTTTTTGCTCTCCATACCGCGCGTTCGCGGTCACCTCCGGCCGTCGCCACCGCGTACGGTTGTGCCAGATGCGCCCGTGTATTAGATATTACGGCTGTGTGCGCGCGCCGCGCGATGGAGAAAGTTTATAGAATTATGAAATCTTAATAATAATAATAATAATAATAATATTATATTGATTTCGTTTCCCGGGCTTCTTCTCCCCCGGCCCGGGCGTATGCGTTCGCGTCCCCGCCGGGTCGTCGCGCGCTCGATTCGCCCGGGAATGCTGCCTGCCGCCGGCCGCTGTTATGTGCCGGCCGTTTCTATAACGATTTGACAGGGTCGTCGACACTGGTGCGATTTATTGCTGCGGCGGGTCCGACGGGTAGTAGCAGCGGCGAAAAAAAAAAAAAGAAAACAAAAGAGCCGATACCGGGAACGGGTACGGCGGCCACTGTTGTTGGTGGGGAAGTTGGGGAGGTAGGACACGTGAGGTTATGTCATTTATGTCCGTAAGCGACGATAAACCATTGCTTGACGAAAGACGGACGACGGTAATACATAATTTGAAGTGCGGTATTTTATTATTTTTGCGATTTTCGTTTACATTTGATTTCAAAACGCTTATTAAAAACAAACAAAAAAAAGTCGTCCGTACATATTCTTTTTTTTTTCTACCACGTCTAAGTCCAATATAAGTATTATTATTAGTTTCAAGTCTATACTTGTATTTATAACCGAATTACAGCAAAAATACTCCTAAAAATTAAAATTCCATAAAAGCTCAAAAGTGACTTAAAAGTTTTAACCGATAATACCGTAAGAAATTAAATCAAAAAGGCAACAACAAGAAAAGTGTCTTGTGATTTTTCAATTGAATCATTTTTTCTAGTAGAAAACGTCGTCGTGTTTTTATAAAATAATGAATACGTTTTTTTCCCACTTAAGTGCTTTTATTTAAAAAATGATGTCGAAAATTAAAAAAATAACCTCTTTAGAGTAGAGTCTAAACAACTTAAATTTTCAGGAAAGTTGCTACACGTGAAAATCGGAGCAAGTTTACTAGGAAAAAACGTGTCCACAGACTAGAAAAAATAAAAAGAAGAAATAAACAGCATTGTAAAACCAATAGCTCCCTCTCTACGCTTGGAATCTAAAAATGAAAAACAAACTTGTGTCATCAAAAGCGGATGTTGAGCTTGATCCCTTCACCAGGGCCGGCTCTAGACAAAATGAAGTACACATAGACGATTTTCCCAAGAGTTTTCCAAGCAAATGTGAAAAACTGGAAAAAAACATGGGAAAAACGGGAAAATTGGTACAATAATAAACAAATTATTATTAATGAAAATATATAATGACTATTTAATTATTTCTCCATAATATTACATATTATTATTACACATCGTTGACAAAGAATCACTATCAACTAAACTCCGCTCAGAATCGTTTTTTTTCATTAGCAATGGTTTATCGTTGTTTACAGATATACATTAAATTCCATTTTGTATCCTACCTTCCCAACTTTCCATCAACTACAGTGACTGTACCCACGTGCGAAATAGAACTTTCTTCTTTTCCGTCTTTTTTAAATTGTATTTTATTGTTTATTTCTTCTAAAAGATAATGGGCCCCACTGAACAGGTTCGTATGGTGACCCATGAGTTCACAATTTATAATAAGGAAACTAATGCATTCATAATAATAATTTACATTCGATTTTTTTTTTTTACTATTTTAGACTTATTAAATGAAACTAATTTAAAAAAATACGTACAATTTAAGTAACAATAATTAATACACGGAGCCTTAACGTATAATACAGTAATACAGTATAATAAAATATAAATGCAAGCAACTAAATTAAAGGTATAAGATATTTAAAATTGTATATTTGGTTCATTCTTCAACCAGTTATTATTATTATTAATTTTTTTTTTTGAAGTATTAAAGAAAATAAAGTTGTTGTGATATCTAATGGTAGCATATAACTCATATTAAACTCAATTTTTTCTTGTTAACCACTAAGTATGACTTGTAATGAACCTCCTGTAGAATTTTCAAGCATTACTGTTCAGTCTAGCAATTGCGTCTACTGAGTATCTACCGAATAACAATATTACGTAAAGAAACTCGCAAAATTAAAATGTCTATAAATAGCTCAAAAATAGCTCAAACCTTTTGACAATTTTACCATGTCTAGAAAAAAGTAAATATAGGTTTTCTGCCAAAATGTCAAGTATCTACAAATATTTTTAACTGAGTTACAATAAAAAAACAAAATTTAAAATAATAAAAGAATTATTTTAGTAAATTTTCCCGTTCTTTCAACGTTTTTTTACGGTTTTGCTCAATTATTAAAAAAAATTACAAAGAAAATCAAACAAAAAGAAATATAAAAACACATCATAGTAAAACTAATAAATCTTTTGCTACACTAAAAATCTAAAATTCGTCAAATTTTCGTGCGTCGAAATTTAGTTACGTCAAAATGTTGCATATGCCTAATTTCAGCATTGAAATGATACTCACCAACTAAATCCAAAATGCAACAAAACAGAGTTTCTTATAATATTTTTTTTAAAAGTTTTTTCATAAAGTATTTACTGACGGAAAAACAATAGTACCTAGGTAATGTTTATTATAATTTAATTTTGTTTATACATTATAGAACAATTAGAAGAAAAAAAATCATGGATTTAATTTAATAGTAATTTGCGAAAAAAAAAATAGGCACACGTTCCACATCAACTACAAGCTATAGCGTTTTAAATAATCAATATTTAATATGTGAATTTAAATATTTTTGCTGTAGGTAATACTCATACATACAAATCTTGTAGCAAGAATTAAGTAATACATCCATATTAACCTACCTTAATAGATTCCATAAAAATTTCAACCAAATTTGCAATTATTTGCAATTCATTTATAAATTGTTTAACATCATTTTCAATAAAATCGATTGAGGTGGGGCCAACTTCACGTATATAAAATGTCCACAATGTTTTGATAATTTAACGCTGAAGTGAGTTGTTTTTTTTTTTTTTTTTTTTTTTTTTGTACTACGCGCAATAAATAATTCATCTCAAGAAACGACTGCTTAACCTTAGAGATGAAACAGTAAGAACAATAATTATTATGTATTATACAATTATCTAGTAGACACGTATAGCACAGTGGATAGCATTGTGTCGTTTTATTGTGTACATATTGTCTTAATGATATATTAATATAATAACAATTATATATATGTGCGAGTAATAAACGATAACAATAATATATTATATTTGTATTGATAAATTTATGTAAAATGTAATTTTCTATAACATAAGTATTGTTTACCATCACTCCACGGTTTTTTGTTTATGGTTTTTTTTTTTTGTTTTCTTAAATATAAAATCATTTATCGGCATTATCAATTGACAATTGAACATTTCGCGCTTTGTTGAAATGAACGAAATAAACAAAGACGAAAGAATAGGTGATGGTTTTATGTTAAGAATACGGTCACAAAAATTGTTTAAATAATACTACTACTCTAGCTGTTTATAGCTCTGTCTAGTCATCTAAAATACCTAATTAGTTAGGTTTTGTTTGTCTTCATAAACTTATAACTGTATACAAATAGTACGAGATATATAAGAAGCATATAAACGCGGAATTTTTGTTTCGGCATATTGCTTTTTAACGACTCCGTACAATAAAGAATTTTTGAACAACAATAAAGGACAAATGAGAATCAATAACAAATTTATTGTTTTACAGCGTTTTAGCCACATGTTTGTATTTTAAGTGTAACAACTCTGCAGCGATAATATTATTTAGAAAATTATCCTCGCGATTTATTATACAGCGGTCCAAAGACGGACTTGTTTTTATTAGTTTTTACTATCGGTTCGACAGATTTAATTATGAGAAAATGTACGAATACCGATGAATCCCCAATTTAACTTTTATCCTCGTATCAACTCTATATTTCGGTTGGTCTTTCGCATTTTTGTTTAAGAAAAAAAATATCAACAAATTGTTCATATTGATATTATACACCTTTATTGTTCGTATTCCCACAGACAAATAAGTGATCAGATTTCCGATTTACCGATTTTTGACACTTAACACTTAAAGTGTAAAACTTAAATGCCACGAAAATAAT